ATTCGCTGCGGCTTTAAGTCTCTTTATCGCCCCCTGCTGTCAGGTTTGTGATTAAATTAACCCCTCCAAAAAAAAGATCAGAGCAGCTGTTCAACATATGGCAGCCCCTTCTTTGTTTATTAATTCTGGTCTCGGTCAGGTTACATCGTCAATTAGATGCTTCGTTTTTTGTTTTTTCCATCTCTGGAGCTTTTGTCCAGTGCTCCACCTTAACTAACCCATACAGACAATAAACAATGAAATGATTTAATGAAGATTAATAGGTGAAATTTCCTTCTAGCTGGCAGTAGCTGTCAGTAAGTCGGTTTGTATTCTTGTATTAGAAGTGTATGTAGCGCATTTGGGTGTTTTTCATCGAGAAACAGAGCTTCTGTTTGGACAAACAGGCCCGTTTGGAGGCTTAAAGTGGGTGGTCTTTACTTCTCGCCTGTGCGAGGAGAGGTTTTATTTCTCTAGCTGAAATGTAATGTGGATCTCTGGTCAGTGATATTGGTAACCCATTGCTAACTGACATTTTGTTTTGAAGGGGAATTCCACCGCTTTTTCCAAATTCTGTTATTAAGATGTAAACAAAGTCATTCTGGGTGGTTTGATGTGAAACGCTCCGTTCTTTAGCCAGAATTGTTCACAGTGGTGGTGATGGGAACCAGACATCTGAGGAGTTTAATGCCTCTAAAAGCTCCTTCACAGAAAGTTATTACATTAAATGGTTATTAATACACTGCATGATGTTTGAGACATTTGGCCTGTTTTTTTTTAAATCAGTTCAAGGCCGAAAGGCACATTCAAGGCCCTAAAGAATACTTTTTTCAGATTTATTACAACATTTACATATAAAAAATCTCAGATGGAACGTGTTGGTTCACTGGTGGTTTTGGATAGCAAATAAAATGGCTATATGTGTGTTGCAGACATCGTGACCCCTGGTTCCCATCACCACCACCGTAAAGAAAGCTGAGTCGGTAGGTTTCTCTACAATGAACCATTACGTATCAAACCACTCCGAATGACTTTCTTTACATCGCAGCCACTGAATTACACAGAAATGCTGCTAAATTGCTATTCACATTTAATGAACTATAAAGTAGCGCAGCGTCGCTACTGATATGAATACAGATGCGTTCACGGAGGCAAGGTTGATTTAACGATTTTCTGATATTTTTTTTACAGGAAATGCACTTAGACAGGCCACTCAGAGACAGTTCGAATATTTATTTTAGAAATTTCTTTTCTTTTCTTTTCTTTTATCTGCTTAAAATGTCAACATTAAATAAATAAATAAATAAACAAGTACCGAATGTGTGTCTATTTTCTACGGTTTATTTATTTATTTATTTATTTATTTATTTATTTGCAAAAGTAGATAGTTGCTGGTTCCACTTACTCAGTTACATGGACAGTTACAAGTTTTGATGGAGTTGTACTTTCCTAGGTATTTTTCCATTGATGCTCCTTTTACTGTTTTCAGTCATTAACGTTTAATTAGGCTACTAGATCCTTTTTTTGTTTGTTTGTTTAATTGTATTGGTCACATCTCACTGTGGAGCTTTACCGTTTTATTCTAGGCTTTCGCTGGTTATTATTTTACTGAAGCATCAGTGCTTTCATTTCCTTTTGTACTTTATGTTTTATATACCTTATACACTTCATACTTTTACAAATAGTACTTTATTTGCCTGTAGCGTGGTGCATGTATCCAGTTATAAAAGAAGTCTTCTTCATCAGTGCAAACATTTCTCAAGTGCTCATTTTAAAACGTTCTCTGATCGTGTAGCCCAGATCTGTAGGTCTACAGTGTCGAATAAGCTCAATTAAAGTTTTACAAACGAGTCGAACCAAAAGCCACAGCAGCTTTTAACAGCACTGAGAATTCAGCACGAGAGCTTTACAGAACTGAGGAAGAGCAACATCAGAAGCCTTTACAATCACGGTTCATAAACGTCCATAAACATGTCCACACATATGAGGCAGATTCTCTGATATTTAAATAGTAATTTTCTAAAAGAGACGAATAATGATCACAGTGATAGTCAGAAAATAATGATAATAATAATACAATAACAGTAAATCAGAAATAAAGTTTATTGATTTGCTTTCCTTTAGTGACCTTTCATATCTAAGAAAAAAAAGAAAACGTGTTGCTTTAGATTCCACGTGTCAACCACGAGGCTCGCGGGCATGTCAGGCCCAAGGCACAATCCCATCCGGCTCGCAAAATGATTTTTTAAAAATTTCTATGAATATCATCCCATTTCACGATGCGCTGCACTACAGTCCCCAGCATGCACTGCAACTCGATGTGCGCTTCAACTCCCTTCCCCCAACAATATATGTGACAGAGGTTTCACCACAACTCCACAGTCATATCACCAAACACGCTAGCTGCGTTTCGGCAGCAGGTCCACCAATATAAACACTTAGATAGCTAAAAATATCCCACCTAGTTGGCTAAAAAAATACCAAAAGAAAAACGGACAGGGGATTTCAAGGCAGGTCAATACCTTTTTACTTCCATTACGAAAAAACTTCCTCGTTTGCGAAGCCACAATGAAAGAATACAGCATTAGGCACCAGTACGAGACAAAACACCGTAACACCATTACAAATATGGTGAGTTACATAGACAGCGGAGCAGCGAGGCAGCAGAAAGCGGCGGAGATGAAGAAGGACGTTCTCTGGCCTTTACGTTTGTTAAGATTTTTTAATATGGCCCTTTTAGTGATTGAGTTTGACACCCCTGCTTTAGATGGACAAGTTGGTTGGCCTTGCTCTTCTATTTTTGAAAAGACATGAGTAGGAGAGAAGAACAGGGCTGAGAAGACAATTATATGAAACCAAAGCTTAATCAAATCAGCTGACGTGATTTGGATGAATGTAATTTCTGTGGGCGGTTTTTAATGCAAGTGTAACACAGGGGGGCGCAATCTGCATACCATCAACCACAGGTTCTGCTGGGGCAGGTTGCACACCATCCGATTCCTCTGTAAGACTCCACTAGATAGGGATAAGGGAAAGAGTGCGACTGGTTACTGAGGGGCCCTGCATGCCCCCACTCACCCTCCTGATGATGCTGGTGCTTAGTGTACTTCACAGGCTCAAACTAGAACTGTTCAGTCATAAACAGTGTTTGACCCACCTCACAATACACTGAGGTCTTCACCTATTCATACAAACAGATCATCAGGTTAGGCTTCTGAGAGCAGAAGTTCGTGGATGTAACTCTCATTTTCAATGTTATATGCTCAGGGGTGGGTTTAGTGATTCTGGGGAAAAAGATGGGAATGGGGCCCCCTGCATGCACAGCAACCATCTATGCTGAAAAACAGTGAAATCATATTAAATCTAGTCTACATGTTTTTTTTTGTACCAAAAACAGTCATAATTCATTTTTATGTGCCAATTTTGCTACCTCTCATTATCTCTTAGAATTAGGAAGACTGTTTTTATTTTATTACTGTGTAAATATGTAAACGAGCTCTGTTCTGATTGGCTGTCCTGCATTACACCTCATTCAGAAAGCAGTCTGGGCTGAAACACTCCTTATAACTTTAGTGTCAATGGGTGGAACTAAGCTGCTATTGGCTGAATGTGCACATAAACGTATGTAACTTGTAACTGTTTCTTTTTGTGACATCGCAAAAATGATTCAAAGGATCACAATTAAATGTTATTATTATTTCCTTTTTTTCTGTTTCAACAAAAATATTCTTGTCAGAATGCTGTTTATTTCACAGATCTCTGTAAGTCTTCCTGCATGAAGCTCGAAGTCATTGTTCTTTGTCTTTGCAGAGCAGAAGTACATTTGCACACTGAGGGTAATGAATAGTTACTCCTCTGGTTCACTGTTACAACTTCCTGCCTAGAAAGAAAGCATCACTCACTTCCTGCTGTATATAATGTGCATAACATTCAGTGTTGAAACTATGATCTTAATACTGTTCAGCTGACTGTATTGTCAAAACATAAGATGAGCATTGAAGCACTGAAATTAGACTGTATTGTTTTTAATGTAACATCAATAAAAGTGAGCATGAAACTTTATCAGTGCTGTGGACTGACCTAGTGTATAGTGTATTTAACAATGATAATACAAAAAATAATGGTGTATACAATAATCATAACTAAAGAACATGCACATTCATTTCATAGTAGGTGACTTGTCATAAGTCATAAAGGGCAATTCCACCAATTTTTAAAAATTTCTGCAGAATTCAATCATTAAGCTGTGGACGAAGTCATTCAGAGAGGTTTGATGTAAAATGCTCCATTTTAGAGAAACGTCCTGACCCAAAATTGTTCACAGTGGTGGTGAGAGGAACCAGATGTGTGAGGAGTTTAATGCCTCTAAAAGCTGCCTTATGGAAAGTTACATTATGCAATTACATGATTCAGTTACAAGAAATGTTTTTGAATGCACTGCCTGATGTCGGAAACAATGTTCTACAATAGTTTTGAGAAGATTTTTAGTGTAAAACATATTTTTTAAAATTCAGTCATGGTGGGGAGGTACATGTGGGGTGTTCTAAGGCACCATAGTCCCCCAAAAATATTTCTTCAGATTTGCCGCTATTTTACCATTGTCAACATTACATATAAAAACTTAAAAGACATATGTAATGATTTTGGATAGTAAATAAAATGCCAGTATTTGTATTATAGACATTGTGACCTCACCACCACTGTAAAGAAATCTGAGTCTGTAAGTTTATCTGCAGTGAACCATTTCACATCAAACCGCTCTGAATGACTTTGTTTACATCTCAACCATTAAATGACGCAAAAACTCGGAAACACTGGTGGAATTCCCCTTTAAAATTTGTGCTAAAATAATAAGGCTGCAGTTCGATTTGTTCATTTGCATAGCAAAGAGCAACTTTAGCACTACAAACAGCATAAACAGACAGTTTTCTTGTTTAGACTGCAACAAAGGCGGGGAAGGGGAGATCCCCATCCCTCTTTTACCTCGGTAGTGTAAATCCGCCCCCTCTTTACCTGATCTAATGTGTGAGGTGTTTGAGGGTCCCGCTGTGGTCAGTATGGAGCTGTCATGGTCAGTGCAGCACCTGCTGTGTGTTTTTACTGTCTACCTCCTTCCTCTGCAGCCTTCGAAGGGAAACTCAGAGTCTGGTATGCTATCTGTGTGATTGGTTTGAGATCAGAATGCCTTTTTAGAGTGTTGTTTTCCATCAGCTGATTCTTAAAAGTTTTTTGCATGTGAATGTCATTGTTTAGTTTGTTTATGTTTTTGTTTGGTTTTTGTTTGTTTGTTTATTTTACACTAGAAGTATCTGTATTCACTTTAATACGTCTTAAAGGGGAATTCCACCTATTTGTCAAAATTTCAGCATAATTCATATAAACAGTCATATTTAGTACTGAATGAGAAGCTTTGTAGATTAGAGTGTTTTTTAATAGACCAGTCACTGTGTTCTGCGTGTTCTCCTGTTCTTTAGTGTTCCAGTGTTTGAGCTGCTACAACCAGAGTTCTGCACACAGTCTGCACAGTCCTGACCAACTGACTGGACCTACCTCATGCATCAGGCTCTGTCTGCAGCAGCGGTGAGAATATTTCCAGAACTTTCATACAGCTGAAGGGAAAGTATAATGCAAATCACATGTAACTTATAGACGAGTAACAAATGAAAGGAAAAATCTCAATAAATGAATATAACAAGTGCAGATGCTTTCAGACAGGTGTACTCAGGGCCAAGTGGGACTTGTTTTCAGATTGGGAGTTACGTGTTGCAGACCAGCCCACCCAAAACTCCCACTCTCACACACAGCACTGCTTTTGTGCACTCTTTTTTATTATTTATTTGTTACACTGGGATAACCAAGGTGCTCATTAGAGTAATACACTGAGCAGCAATCTAGCTTCTTGTTTCTACACTCATTGTCCATTTTATCAGCTCTACTTACCATACAGGTGCACTTTGTAGTTCAGACTGTTGTCCATTTGTTAGCCCCTTTTTACCCTGTTCTTCAATGGTTAGGACCCACACAGGACCCTCACAGAGCAGGTAATATTTGGATGGTGAATCATTCTCACTACTGCAGTGACACTGACGTGGTGATGGTGTGTTAGTGTGTGTTGTGCTGGTATGACTGGATCAGACACAGCAGTGCTGCTGAAGTTTTTAAACACCTCACTGTCACTGCTGGACTGAGAAAAGTCCACCAACCAAAAATATCCAGCCAGCAGCATCCGGTAGGCAGTGTCCTGTGAACATTGATGAAGGACTAGAGGATGACCAACACAAACTGTGCAGCAGCAGATGAGTTATCATCTCTGACTTTACATCTACAAGGTGGACCAACAAGGCAGGAGTGTCTAATAGAGTGGACAGTGAGTGGAAAAAACTCCAGCAACACTGCTGTGTCTGATCCACTCATACCAGCACAACACACACTAACACACCACCACCACGTCAGTGTCACTGCAGTGCTGAGAATGATCCACCACCCAAAGAATACCTGCTCTGTGGTGGTCCTCAGGGGGTCCTGACCATTGAAGAACAGGGTAAAAGGGGTCTAACAAACCATGCAGAAAAACAGATGGACTACAGTCTGTAATAAGAACTACAAAGAACTACACAGTGCTCCTATATGGTAAGTGGGGATGATAAAATGAGCAAAGAGTTTAGATGCACGGAGGTGATTTTAATGGCTGATCAGTGTATAAGACAGTGTATATCATCCCCTTCTATAAAATGGCCTGGTTACTGAAATGATCACTGCCATCATTATAAGCCTTAGTCCTATTTATATAGACACTGAGCTTGTACTGATTGATGATTATATTTCTTATAATTAGATGATAAATGTTGCAGATGGCCTTATAATGATATTTAAATGGACTTAATTCCATCATTTAGTTTGAAAACAGTATTCATTTTGTATCACAATCACCTGTTTCCTTTATTTAAGAATTAATTAAATTAGTAATTTAGTAATGAATAATAAACACTATGTTTAAAATAATGAAGTTATATCACAGCGGCAGGAAGTCCAATTAGAAACTATAATCCAGTATAAGAAGGCCTGCTGTAATTGCATTTCTACAAAAAATAAGAGTACAAGTTAACATTTTAACCCAAAGCTATATAAAAATATGGCTGCCTTGAGCAAATCATTAATTTTTACACATTAATAAGCAATCGAATTAACCACCATCAAATCTCTTGTATTTTCAGGTCACAGACAGTTTAGGCTAACACATTATAAAAAGCTGTCTGAGCTTAAAATTGTTGTCAAAGTCTGTTGATAAGAAAAAAAAAACAAAGTTTAAGAGGTGCTACATATTTTATATTTTAAATATGGTCAAATTAATAAAGATATGATTTATATGTTAAACAATTCAATTTCTGAGAAGCCTAGTGTCTCCTGAAAATAGCAGCATATGGCATGTGTGATTGTCTCATATAAATACTTTGTAATTGTAATTGTAATTGACCAAAATACCACAACAATTACACACCATATTATCTGAGACTTGTATATGTTAAATAAATCTAAGATATTTGAGAAAGCAGTTAAACCCAGCTGTCTGAAAATGGGTAAATCATGTAGGCCAGTGTTTAACAGGTTATCTCTTAAAATTCCAGTCGTATTACATTCTTGGGCTTATTATTAAGTAATTAAATGTACAACAGTACAAACTGGCTGTTAAAGAAGTGGAATGAAATTTCAGACCTGACCATTTATGAGGTTAAGAAAGTGTGTAGGGCCTGTTGAAGTAAATAGTATTGCTTTTTTATGGATTTAGTTTTTGATCCATATTTACATGGAATTTCATATCAACTCAGTTAACTTGCATAGTTACCATATGAAATACATGTTGTAGGTTGAATTGACAATTTCTCAGTAAGTACAAGAGCAGTGTCTCAAACAACAATAATAACAGCCACAGAGACAGTAATACTGCAATAATAGCAACACAGACAATAACAGCCAGTTCAGTACAGAGATGTAATTGCTTAAAATAATAAAACATAAATAACTGCAAACCACAGGATAATATTCTATTTATTCATGAAAGTAAAAGATTGTGCTCATTTTATCTCCTACTCCTGGCTTTTGGACAGATGCTTCGGTTCTAGATCCGTTCCCCATGGAGATGTTTTGAGTGTTGGGCCGTATGTTCATAATGTTGCTGTGGATGATTTGATTGGCAGCTTGCACACTGGAAAGCCCCACCCCCAACTCTCAGCATGTGTGGCTGCATCGTCTTTACAAGACACAGGTGAGATCATCTAATATTGAATATTGTTACCTAGTATTATTGGAGCTGTAGGTTATAATTGTTGATTTTAACATTCTCAGGAGATCATGAACAACATTTAGGTGCTGTAATGTTTGACCTCTGATGATCTCGAATTTGCTTCTCAGCTGTTCAGATCTACACTGAGAAGCGAGCGTACACCACAGGAACTGATGTAACCTTCCTGGCTGTGACGAAAGAAGCTGATCCGCTGGAGTTTCACTGGCAGTTTGGGGACTCAGTTACATTTACAACTAAATCCAGAACCTTCATTAAGAGATTCTTCCTTCCTGAAAGGTGTATATGCATCTGTTTATGGCTTGATTTATAGTATGTATAAATCTAGCCATCTGTATGATGCAGTTTAGTTTCTCACTCTCATAATTACAGAACTTGCACATTAGTTTTACAGTAGATGCGGAATAATTCATAGTAGTTATTGGAAATGTATAGTAGATACTGAATAATTTATACATTATAGTATGTGTAGATGAATAATTAATACTATATAATCAATCATTTGTAGCTCTTATAAGTTAGAGTTGATACTGAATAGTAGTTGCTAAAAAAGTCAAAGTAAATGTTGAATAATTGACCATAGAATACAGATTCAGCAAATAGATGTTAGGTCAAAATATTCCTTTAAGAGGAAGTTCAAGAGTAAATCAGCTTTTAGTTAGAATGCTTTTCTTTCTGAAAAATCAGAACACTTAAAAACACAATGCAATGGCAATGCAACCCTAACATTTAATGAATATGAATGATATGATGTATGTTGTGCATCATTAATATTGAGTTGTTTTCTCCTGGTTTGTAGGTACAATGTCACTGTCCGTGTGTCCAATGCTTTTCACTCTGTTAGCTCAGAGATTTATCCTGTGGTGATTCAAACTGCAGTCCAGCCCAACAGACTGCTTTTCATGCCCTCAGTGCTGCTGGACACTTCAGTGACATTCACCTGCAGAATCGATGCTGGCACAAACGTCTCTTATCTGTGGGATTTTGGAGATGGAACCCAGAGACCGGGACACAGCGCTGAGCAGCATTTGTTTAACAGGTAGAATCTAATCATTTATATTCCAAATGCAGATGATTCCACAATAAATCTGTGTATCGACGGTAATACAGTTGATGTCATGAATGCCTTATATTTAAAAACCAGTGATTAAATCTCACTGACAAAAATAGTAAATAGTTCATAGTAATTCCATGACAAGAAATCGCAAAGACAATTACAATTTATCATTAAATAACACTTGCATTCACTATTATCTGAATTTCGTCTTGTTCCTGAAGTACTTTAAATTGTAAATAAACTATCAGTTTATGTTTTGTGTCTATGACATTTTAGCTTACACTGTATTAATGATTATTAAAAATGTGACAAGTGATTCCAAAAGGTACCACATTTTGAACAATAGTGTATAACACTGAAACATTTGAATCGAGTCAATTGAAATGATCATGTTTTCTCTGCTTTATGCAGTTGTATGCAAAAGTTTGGGCACCCATTTTTGTTTGTTTTTTAAGTGAAAATAAGTTAACACATCCTCTACAGAGAACACACTTCTGCACATTTAAATGCACATTTACTGTTTATTTACTGAAATTAACATATTGGGAACAAAAATAAAACAAAAAATGTGGTCTGTGTCAACATTATGGCACATTTTATATTTAATGTTTTTTTTTTCAAATGTTTTAAATATAAACTCAAATAAATAGAAAGTACACAGTAAAATCTGTAGAATATGTTGACTGGGGTGCACATACTTTACATGCGTAAAGTTTGTAGTTTGTGGCTCTAATCATGTTACATATTTATGTGCATTTTCTTCTGTAGAACCGGCGAGTTCACAGTTGAAGTGACTGTATTCAACCTGGTAAGTTCTGCCTCTTTGAAAGGACATCTGTTCATAGTTTCTGAGCCATGCCAACCTCCACCTGTGAAGAACATGGGCCCCAGCAAGATACAGGTCAGAGATACATCAAAGCGCAAGCAGTTCATGTACATTGCAAAAAAATATCTTATCAATTCTATATTCATAAAAACACTCCCTGCTACCTTGCTCTTGTTTCTCCTTGTTGGTGTAGTTTGTGTAGCTGTAGACTGTAGCTTATGTGTAGATGCACATTTTGTGTTGTCCATCCTGTGGTCCAGTTTCCAATCAAAGTGCTCCAGCGTTACATCTTTACATTAACTTGGATTAAAAGTTAAGAAAGTTCCTGCCTTCTTTTGTAAAGTTACAACTTGGGAGATACTTGCTTTTTTGCCTGATGCTAAAAAATGAATAACTTATAAATGAATAAATTAATAAAAATTAAATAAATGAATGTTGCCTTTTTTGCACGGTACCATGTATAAAATGGTGAAATATCATTTCTAATCTAATACATGGGTGTTTACTTTAAGCCAGGAAAAAATGATGGCTTACTAATAAATCTTTTTCTCCATTCCTTCAGGTGTGGCGTTACCAGCCTGTGTCCATCGGTGTGACCTTTGAATCTCAGATTGAGTGCAACATCTCCAGCGGTCTGCTCTACACCTGGTTCCTCTATAAACCGACTGGACAGCAACTGCACATCCCACTCGTTCAGACAAACAGACAGAGTCTTGAACTGCCTGAGTATCTGCTTCATTATGGCACTTACAAAGCAGTAGCAAAGGTGAAAGGTCTCATTTTCTGTACAAAGTTCTGTACACTGTTTAAAGTTAAAGCAACAGTTTGGCAAAAAAATCCTTTTTTCACAGCTTTCACCTCAGCCCAAAAAGTAGTCAATCAGCCAAGACATGTTTGGTTTGCTTCTTTAGTTTTGCACTGGAGCTACAAAGCTAATGTCGCTAACAAGAAATGAAAATGTATTTATATCCATCGATCCATGTTCATAGATAACAGTGTCAGAAACCACATAAAGTCTATGACAGATTATTTAATAACTCTACATGGTTTAGGACGAGTGTGTGCAGTGCTAATTAAGGGGCATAAGCTTCTGTAATTTTGTTACCTCATTTGGAGGATGGGGAAAACTTTTGCAAATTTGTTTTTTTTCTTCATATTTTTCATATGTAAAATATTTGTGAAATATTAACAGATTTCTTTATTTATCCTAAAGGTTCATGTTGTAGGCAGCATAGTTTACAGCAATTACTCAGTTCAGATTGAGGTGATGTCCAGCCTTCCTGTCATTGTCATCAGTGGAGGCACTAATGTGTTCATCAATCGCAACAACAACGTCATCACTCTGGATGGACAAAAGTCATATGACCCAGATTACCCAGGTTATGCTATGAGGTACGGAGGGAGTAGTAAGCACAAATAAATCTTTTTATACAGTGAATGTTCAACCTTCATCTTAACCCTTCATTAACTATTAATTATTAATTATATCATTATTCAGTTGCTAACATGAAATATTTGTTTACTACCATGAAACGTACATGTAAACTGTAGACATAAATAAATAAATAAATAAGGTGTTTAGATATAGCACTATATAGAGGCATTGAGATACACCATTGTAGTTTATTGTCACATACAGTACAGTGCATATAAAACTAATAATGTGATTTTCTTCTCACCTCTTATAGTTACAGGTGGAAGTGCAGGCCGGTAAACTCAGCCGAAAGCTCCTGTTTCAGAGAGAACCTTCCAGATTCATCTGCAGTGCTGACGTTTCCTGCTCACGCTCTCCAGCCTGACTGTGACCTGTTCAAATTCACTCTGACTGTACAAAGTGCTAATCGCTCTTCATCATCCCACATCTTCATCACTGTCAGGTCAAAACCAACCAGGTGCACTTTTATACCTTTTAGATTTTTATAGTCACACATCGTTTTTGAAATTTCATATGAGGTCAGTCTTTCCCTGACCATTATAATGAATTTTAACGAGTGCATACCGAATGATTCTGAGCTGCATAATAGGGGCACCTTATTGGTTAATAAAGCCTGTGTTAAGCGAAACTCTCCATCTAGTGCTGTTAGTCTTCCATCATCTCAGCAGGAACAATACATACACATGTACAATAACAACACGTACACGTGTATAATATGTAAATATTGTACCCACATATTGTTGTTCAAATCTCTCTTTAACTGTCTATCTATCTATCTATCTATCTATCTATCTATCTATCTATCTATCTATCTATCTATCTGTCTGCCTGTGTTTCTGTCTATTTATCCATCTATCTATTTAATATCCAACTATCTATGTGTCTGTCTATCTGTCTGTCAGTCTACCTGTCTGTCTGTCTGTCTGTCTGTCTGTCTGTCTATCTATCTGTCTATCTATCTATCTATCTTTCTTGTGGTATTTTAATCATCTTAGACTGGAAAAATACTGGTTGATTGATTTTGTCGTAATAAAATACAATAACATTAACGTTAATACTGCCAAAAGTAAGTAAATTTAAAGACTGTGTTTGCTTTGAGGCAGTATATGTTTTCATTTATCTGAATCAAGTAAACTGCACTATGGTGTATTTTTCAGTGTATGATTATTGATAAAATAGAATACAGCTTTGATTTGTGATTTCTCTGCAGCTTTGTTCACATATCATGCAAAGAGTGCAGAGGAAACTCTATAAACTGGAATGAGCCATTTTCTGTCACTGCTGTGTCTGAAAACTGTCCAGAAACTGTCACCTATTCCTGGAAACTATACTCAGTAAACACCTCAAGTAAAACTGTCCCAGAAGGTAAGAAGTTTGGTAGTGGGTTTTTCCCTTTACTTTTTAGTTTTGTTTTATTAACACTGTTTTAGTGACAGTGGCATATTTAGAGATGCATTTTTTTATGTATGAAAGGTATTTTTTTGTACAAAATGACTATTGTTGTTGTTATTGTGCAAGGTTTATTTGCTAATTTACGCTTTTCTTTTCCATCTAGGTCCTTTCTGCAGCAGTGTGGACATAAGCTTACCCTCTAAAATGGAGGAGGACAAGGTTTTATTTCCACAATCTGAAGTGACCTCTCAGACCTCAGCTGTTAGCCACCCTGAAAAGATCTCCAGTCATTATCTTCCTAACTCTACTGGTTCAGTTCTGTTGGCTCAGATATGGAACAAAATGTCCAGCAACTCTGACGATTTACCTGATACAATTAACATTTATCACACTACCGTTACTAGAGCATCAGAAGTGACCTCCACAAGTCCATTACCTTTGCTTTTACCAAACTCTCAGCCTTTAGCTGGAGTGAAAGAGTCTCACAGGAGCAAGAGCAGATTGGAGAGGTCAGTGGAGCACCAAGAGGGACCATTAACTCCTTTTGATCTTCTGTCTGGTCTTGAAAGTGCTTCAGGTATGACACTGTACATATGTAAATCCTGAGGTCTTCTATACACTGTTCTCTCTAAAGTTCATTTTAAGAGCAAAGACCAGCTCGCAAATTACTCTTGCTGCTGTTCATTTTGCCCAGATGAACTGTGCTTATATACTTGGTTCAGGTTCTTGGGTTGGATGTACAGTTCTAAGGACAAAAAAAAATGGTATAGAACCTTTATATTATATGGTGGTTTTAAATAATTTTTTGCAAACATTTTACATTTACAAAAATGATCCTTTAAAAAACAATCAATCCATGTAAAGGTTCTTCTGTGGTTTTTTGCAACCTTAATTGTTTGCAAATTTAAAGACACTTGTTGTTAGGTTTGCCCAAATGTACTCATAGGACACAGTCTGTGTTTAATTGTCGAATGAGATTTGGTTCCCCCTTGTGGCAGTCTTTGTTCATGATTGCAGAAATTACTAACTGGACAAATAAACACAATATTTTCATTGATATTGTTTTGATTATGAGTTAATTTTTCAACAGTTTATACAGCTACATTAACAGTCAAATGTTTGGACACCATTTAAAAATGCCTTTTCTCATCCATCATCTTTACATAAAGGTTTCTTATGTAAAAGAACCATGTTTAAGAACCATGTACCAAAACACTAACGAGTTACCTACTCATACAAATAGTTTTGTTTACACACACACACACACACACACACATATATATATATATATAAATATATATATATATATATATATATATTTATATATGCTCTAATTCACATTTAATAAGAAACAGGCTGAATCTCAAATTGTTTCCTACTCCCTATATAATGCGCTGCATAAGTCATGAAACAATTGCTTCTACACCCAAATGGAGCATTAAATGTTAGATAGAGGATTGTGCAGCTTGAAGCTGACTATAAACTGCTTTATATTAGACATGTGATGCACTATTTGGGGATAGAAGTCAATATTTTGGACATAAATTCACAGATAGGCATCAATTTGTCTGAGAAACAGCTTTGAAACTATTAAGCATAATCCTTTCAATCAGGTGTGTCCAAACTTGTGACTGGTAGTGTATGCTTTCTTTCTTTTATTTGGAGCAACCAGGGTTTTAACCATGTTTCTGTCACTGCTGGTTCATCACAGCGGCAGAGTCCTCAGGAGCTTCAAGTGAAGATGATTACCTCTATGCTGTGGACACTGAAGATGAAAACACCAACAAGAACAATGTCACCTTCAAACATTCCAGTATTCATGGTGATCTAGGTGGGAAAAAGATTTTCAAATGGTATATTTGTACTTTTCTGAAGATATAATGCCCGTGAAGCATAAACATTGTAAATAGAAAAAGACTATTTCCTAGAAATTTCTACTAGGCAGTTTATGCCACCCAACCAAATTTCCATAATGAAAGGTTTATAACAGATGTATGTTAAGTGTAGGATATTGTTGTACATTTCAGGACTGAGGTCATTACATACCTCAGGATTCCAGGCACCAGACATTTGTTTAGACTTCGACAGCTATACTGTCCACCCTTAATTTATTCCACGGCCATTAAGTACAAGTTATGAATTTTTCAGCATCATGAAAAAAATCCCAAAACATGAATGTTACAACAACTATATATACCAAGTTTTCAGTATTTTGTTTGTCCACTCTTTGCCTTTATTACAGCTTCCACTCATTTCAGGAGACTCACTTTCAGTTTTTAAAGACATTTATTCACACCTCCAAAGCTCATTCTGCTTCTCACAAATCAAGTATTCCCAAACACATTCAGTGATGTTGACTCTGGGGTGGTCAGTCTGTTGTTCTGAGAACACCAGCAGCTTCTTTGTTTGATTTGCCTGTTTCCTTTTCTCAGTAAGTGCTTCCTAACAGCTACACACCCTTTCAGACCCGATAGTGTTGAGTTGTCATCTCACAGTGGAAGGATGGAAAGAAACACCTGTGAATTTTTTCAGATCTGAAGCAAGAGTGGAGCTTGACTTTCTCTCTCAAAGAGGAAAATGCTGTTTATCTGGTGTGGACAGTTTTGGTGGTCTGCTAAGTCTTGCAGGAATCCTTGTTCTGTTTTTTTTTTCACTTATTGTTATGTAATTTTATATGGCCATTTTGACTGGAAATGAAATAAGTGAAGGGTGGCTTCAGACTTTTGCACAGCAATGTACAACTCATATATCTGTAGGCCATTTACATTAACAAAAAATCAACTACAGTATCTAATGTTTATATGCATTTTTTCCAGACTATGAGTATTTCCATTCTGGAATAGAGGAGGCTGATGCAGGGGGGCCTGTCGGGCGACCCACAGGTACATACAGACAACCTTCAGCACACCATAACAACAGCAAAAGTTAAAAACACTAATATACCATGCTATGTTTTCAGGCCCCATCGGTTTAGATGATATGATCCTTCACTCTGACGAGCGTGAGGGGGACAACCTGGTGGACCCCAGCAGTGTTGGCCGTTTGGTGGTGTCTGAGAAAACTCTGCTGGATCTGGACAGAGAGCTTGTCCAGCCGGCCCTGTTTCAGTCTTACATATTCACAGGTATAAATGACATGTACCATATCTGTAGATAATATCATTCAGTGTACACTGTGTGTCCAGAAGTATCCAGGCGTCTCTTTTAATGAATGAGTTCACCTACTTTAAAGTGCACTGGGCTGTAGAGCAGTTGAACTGCATTCTCTGGAGTGATGGAGCTCCGCCCAATACCTTTAGGATGAGTTGGAGTGATGTTTGTGATTCAGAATATCTGTTTTAAAGCCACAGTATCTAAAACAGTCTAAACAAAAGTTGGAAAATGGTCATTTAAAAGTAAAATATGTCTGTTTTTGGTATATGAAACCACAAATGTCATGGGTTGACCTCAGAGAAAGAAAACAAGAAAACTGTAGGATATGGGCCCTTTAAAGCTTGAATCTGCTCTATAAATTGAACCCATCAGAATATAATAATAGTCTTCATGTCTGTGCTAATTGTGTTTTGGTTCATTTTACTGTTTGTGTTGTCTGAATGTCTCAGGGACGTCCTCCCCCAGTATTACATTTAAGCCCACTTCACTGAAACCCGAAAGTCTATACATGCTGGAGGTCTCTGCAAGTAAGTTCATCTGCCTTTGGTGTTTGTGATAATTGTCCTTTTCCTCATACTACTTAGACGTCCCTAAGATTACGTGGTAATTACTTTTAATAAGGTGAGTCCATGAATTAATACATTGAGGCCACAAATTAATATATTGAAACTATGACATGGTTTCTTGTAGCTACGATTAAGATATTGAGATCACAAATACATTGAGGCCACTAGTTAATGCAAATTACACATTTTTTTTGGTTGTACTATTCTGTGTAAGGTACACGATGCACCAGTAAGTGTTTAAGTATAATAAACAGCAAAGTTGTATATTGTATTATATTCTCCTAATATAAAATATATTTCTCCTTGCTCATGCTTCAGCCTGTTAGTAAATGAAGTGGGTTCTGAAGCATTTCTCCTCGTTCGTGTTGTCAGGTTTTGATCAGGCTCTGCAGGGAAAAGCCCAGCTGTTCTTCAACACTCACTCCATTCCTGAGGGAACAGCCTGCCACGTCCAGCCCAGCACAGGCCTGGAGATACACACACACTTCAGCATCTTCTGCACTTCAGGAAGACAGGTCTGCAGATCATTTCTTTTATTTTTTCTCCTTTTTTATTGTTCTTCTGTTGAATGTCTTTGCTTGTATTGCTAAATGAGGTGCTGGATAAATAAAATCTATTATTATTACTATTAGTCATAGTAGCAAAAGCATTAGGTCTAGACCTGATTTATCTATAACTAGCAATATTTGAAGACATGCTTTGAGTTGTTTTAATTTTATGTGCCTTTGTTTTTAATCAGGATCTGATGTATGAATATAGCTTTAGTGTAGGTAACTCTACAAAAAAGCTTCTCTACGAGGGCCGAGATTTCCAACACTACTTTAATCTTCCAGCTGGAGACCCGTACAACAATTATGAAGGTAATCAAGAGCTGAACTGTTTTAAACAATTGACTGTTGGCCAAATTCAGAGGAAGTGCCACCTTTCAGCTCAGACTTCCTGGTAGCATCTGCAACACTCATACTAACAGAGTAAAGTTCAAAGCACAAAGGAAAATTTAGAAGCACACTGAAGAAAACATCTGAAACCTTTTATATAAAAAAAAAAACTGGCTTTATCGACATTCAATGCAGACAAACAGGTTTAAGAATTGGCCAATATAAAGCTAACAAAAAATATTCTGGAAGCCAAGGTTTACTTTAATCAAACCAGGGAAATTGTTTAGTCACTTGATGCCAAAACAGTAGGCTTTCATGTCTGATAAGGAGGAGGTTTTAGCAACGGAAGCTGTTCCTTCAGATGTGCTAATGCTAAAGCTAACACTGGAACCAGTCAGAGCAACATTAGATGCTGAGGAGGACTTGTCATCTTTTACACGAGATCTTTCAGCAACCTTTAATAAGCAGTACAAAGCACAGCACATGTATGAGTGCATTAATATTTATCTTTACACAGAATGTTTCCATCATGAATATGAGTGCTGTGTAGTCCAATTTAATCAGACTGATTTATCAAGTTATACCAGTTTTCTAAATCATATGCATTTTTGTCCAAAAATATTCCATCAATGTTACTGAATAAAATTAAAGCTACTGGAGTCTACGTTACCTTAAAACCAGTACAAGTCAGTCTGTTAATAGTTCAGACAAGCTGTGAGTTTGTGAGTTTAATCCAAAACCTTTTTAGCTTCACGAATGGACTAAAAACAGCACCATCCTCCAGTCAGGCACTGTACGCTCCTCTCTAACAGCTTTCCACCATTTCTTATAATAATTCCAAGTTACAGTCAACATCGTTCTCACTGCAGGTTTGTTTTGAAAGAGTTCTCTTTTAAGTTTCTATTTCACATGATGGAGAAATGAACATTTAGGGACGATTGTGATTGGCTGAGAGGCTTGTCAATCATAATTTTGCAAATGGTCAATTGCTTGTTACCACATGAAATAATCATTTAGACTGTGAACCGTTTTTACATTGGATTGTTATTGTAGGGACTTTGATATGGAATCCTGTTGTTTTGTGTCTAGTGTGTCTGGTGCATGTTGGAACTGTTTTGGGGCCAGAATGTTCCTGATGGACTGAATGTAGTGAATCTTCAACCTTTAACCTTTGGCATTTCAATTATTTCTTATGTCACCTTCTGTCCATTGTCCTGCCTTTTCCAACACAGTTACCATCTACATTGAAATTCGGAATAGATTTGGATCAGCTACAAAGCCGTGCCCTGTTACTGTCACGGTCCAGCCGAGCTTCCAGAGAACTCCATCCTCAAATCCAGACCAGGAGCTGTAAGAATCAGAAAACAGTTTTAACAATAGAATAGTAGAAACATCTAACTTACACAGTTCCCTCCTTACCTTAAATGTAATCAGTCAGTGAGGTTCGTTTACTAGTGCCGGAGCTACAAGGCTATATTATGTCTAGCATAATTGACAAAAGTATGGACAAAATTCAGGCTACAAGTTGGCTCCTACTGCTGTTTTTAGCCATGCTAATGCACTTTTCCATATATAACAGAATATCAGTGTCAGAAACCACAGAAGTAAGTCTATTAGAAGTTACTTAACAATTTGAAGGTGTTTGAAGCAACTGAGTGATGATTTAGGCATGTAGTTAGCACCATGCTAATTATATTGCTAGTTACATTATTGCTAGTTACTGCAGTGTTTTACGGCAAAAATGTCCTTGAAGAGTTACTAAAGTGTCCCTTTTTGCAGGTTTGTTTATGGTCTAGGTAATCTCACTAGCTTGATGCTGATGAGGAACAGCAGAGACATCATTAACCACATTTATCTCCTCACTGTGGTGTTGAACCGGCTGAGTTTGGACACAAAATCATCTATGAAACTGCAGACAGATACACGAGCTGATCTAATTTCAGCAGTGTGTCAGCTGACCGTCTCCAGCAAGGTACCGACTCTCACTGGCCTTTGAACTCTGATATTATGTACCATCTGCTCTATTTCATTCCAGAGAGATATGACAAATATTTAGGGAGAATGGCTGGAGAGTGCAATGGAAAAAACTGGGCTTGACCAATATATCAGTTGGCCGATAATGTCAGCTGATATTGCCCGACAGATTTGTTGGTATAAAATGTAACAGTGACAGTCATATCAGTCAGCATATTCTTGTATATTTTTAATTAATATAATCAAATCTGTGATCAGATTAACTAGGACCCATTTGGCTATCTGTGCATGTAAATTGTTGAGACTCTATGTTGAGCTGCTAGCGAGCAATGAGGGGCATCTCTATATATACAAACTATATACTCTCTCTGTATATGAATAAATATACATAGACATACAGATATACAAGTGTACAAATGTTATAATTGCATATAACATTTTTAGCTCCTGAACGTCAAATTCATATTCTGTATTTTATTCTACTTTTTTTCTCATAGGATTTGTTGCTTGATATCTTACACACTCTCACAGATCTTCTGAATACTTCTAATCAAGTGAGTAAAGATCTTTTCATGATCAAATAATAAATGCCTCCTCAAAATAACAGTGTTGATTGTTTCCATATACAATATCTTTACTTAGGTGACATTTGACAGTGCCATACTGGTAACAAAATACGTGCATCATGTATCATCTCTGCGAGAGACCAACTTGCCTGCGAATCACATTTTGGATGTGAATGTGGTGAAAGCAGTGGTGTTTGTCCTCTCTAATATCCTGGACGCCCCAATCCCTTCTTCCAGACCAGGGATCCAACTGACACAACATGTTCTCCACATCATCACTAACTCAGTGCTGGTAAGATTAATGTCACTGAAATATAGATGGCAGTCAGTGGGCTGTGGATCAGTCATGGATGTGTAAAGGAGAGAAGTATGTAGGTGCTACAGTAAAAGCTCATTTTTACAGTAAAAGCTTTATTGCATGTTACTGCACTCAGTTAATATGTAAATAGTTTATTAGGGTCTTTCTCACCCACTGGGCCACAGACCACAAGCACCCTCTGGTGGTCCTCGAGTCAATACTGAGAAGTAGCAATGGTCCATCATGGGCCATCCCTGTGATAAAATCAATGAAAAAGAATTGACTTAATAATAAGAATGAAATCTAAAATGTTTTTAAAAGGTGAACAATAATAATACGAACTCTGCAATGACACAAAAAGCAAGTTCGTCAGTTTTTTGCCCCTTGCTTCTAGATTCAAAATTGTCCATTTCAGTCACTTGCTCGCAAGCATTAAAAATGCATTGCAGAAACATTCCACTTAATGTGCTATCATTCCACCTAATTTCAGGTATAAAACAAGCTTATGTTACCCTTATCTGTTGGTATTTCATTTTTAATGACATGCATTTCATATTGTGGGGGTAGGCACCCAAATATCACTGTGTTGAATGAAAATGTTGGGTTTTGTTTTTCTGTGCTTTTCATGCCTTCTAGTGATAAATAGGAGGGCCTTGAGGTAGAAAAGGCTGAGAATCCCATACTATCCATATCACAGTGGTCACCAACACTGGTCCTGAAGATCTACCTTCCTGTGAAGTCTAGTTCCAACCACAATTTGGCACACTTGCTCCAACTAATTACCTTCTTCAGAAGTTTTTGATTAGATGCAGATTGGAAAGTAGATTTCCAGGAGGAAGGTTGATGACCACTGCTATACCATATACTATACTGTAATATATTATATCATTTTATACTTTATACTATATTGTACTATATTATATTATTTTGTGCTATGTACTAAACCGTACTATACCAAGTTTGGATAAGCCTAAAGGTATATGCACATTTCCTCATTTTAAGTTTAAATGGAAACGAAAATTGTTTAGAAGACCAATCTGCATATTGAAGCTGAAAATATTTACAAAACAAATAATATAAATGTAAATATTATTTATCTATTATTATTTATTACAGTATTATTTAATATAATATTATTTATTTATTATTGTGTATTATATTAATATATCTTTTTTAACTGCGTTCCTCTCCTATGAAATTTTATCTGAAGGTACTGGGTTAATCTAGTAATGATAATTATCGCTGCTGTTGGAAGAAAACCTCATATCTCCATTTTTGTTGTTTTTCAGTTTTTGACATAATTTAAAAATGCCTGTTGCTCTTTACATTGTGTGCAAATTTCATGATGAATGGACAAAAAGAAATGGCACAAAATTACTTGGACAAAAGTCTGGTTCCACTGACTTACATTAAAAGTAAAGTATGTTTTTTCTTCTCCTATAAAGTTACCATTTTGGAGATACAAGGTTTTTTTCCAGCATTATGTATTTATAGGTTACAGTAAGAATTAAAACCTAAACTTTATGTTTATTAACCTGTTTTCCATTGCAGATGTTTATGCATTCCAGCAAAGACCCACAGTTCAGCGTGAACACCACAACCATGAATCTGATTGCTTGGCAGCATTATGGTTCACCTCCAACAGTGAAAACTCTTCATACGACCACATTTTACATTCCTGATCTACTGGATATGCACAATAAACAAGGGAGGAATGCTGATGAACAAAGCTCATGCTTCATCACTCAGCTCGTATCATACAGGCAGAACCCATATCACTGGACCAGGACTCCTGCGCAGGTAAACAGTTGAACATAACAGATCATTTCAGTGCATGTCTCTCACTTTATGAAGCCACATCATGTATGTAATGTGATGTTTTACAGCTGAATGGAGACGTGGCTGAGGTGAAGCTCTTTAACTGCACCGGCAGAAAAGAGATAAGATGGAGATACCTGTCCACTCCAGTCGTTGTGGAGTTCCAGAAGCATGACGAGATAAATGTACACTTCTCAGTGAAACATCTTCTTTCTTTTATTTTCATTATTTAATGTTTTTTGTGTGTGGTTCCTAAGCCTGCTCCTCATATGAATGAGTGTGAAATGCGCATTACTCTGAAATATGATTACTTCTTTCCTAGAAGAGCAGAAACATGAAGTTCACTCTCGCTCGCTCTGAGGTGAACATACACCTGTTCAGCATCACACCTGAGCTCCTGCAGAAGACCATTGAGCTCAGAGTGGAGTTCAGCAGGCCAACACGGCGCGCATTTCCCGTCATGCTGCTCTTGAGGTAAAGGAAGACCTCCACCATATCTTTCATCTCTCAAATTTAATCAAATGAGGAGCATAGGGCCAGTGCTAGCTGCCTTACATTTGTGTTATGGAGAGTTTGAATGACTTCAGTCCAATTTAACTGAATATCATTAGCGTTTAGTGTATTGCTGAACATTTGCTGACCTCTGTAGTTCTGTTATCCTCTGAAACCACAGAAAAAGTTCTGCTAGCTACTATTATCATCTGTAATTCCAATCAGACTGATAATAATGATTACATTTTCCCATGTCTTTGGTGGATATGGCATATTGGCTGATGATACCTTATGCACTTTTCGGATGATATTTTCTGTCACAGGATGCATAAGAAACCAACACTAACTTTGTACAACATACAGAAAGTGTATCATTGGAAAGAAACAATGGCACAGATCTTCCTGCCCCCTTTATCTCTGAAAGGTTGGACTGCATTTTTTTTTATCCCATTCTAGATTTTGGACTTGCATACTGCTGTAGGGGAAATGGTTTCTACCACCCATTTCTGAATGTAGATGTACCAAAAGAGCTTTTGTGCACTTTTAACAGGCTCAGAGGAAAAAATGCCTTTCTTAAACAGAAATAAAGCAGATCTCAATATTTTATTAATGAAGAATCTTAGATTTCTGAATTCTTTCTCCTACACTGCCCCTTAAGAGAAAAGACGAGATTAACATAAGCATTTCATTGTGAGAAATTCTGGTGATGAACAAGAAAAGCATGAGTTCTCCTTCTGCACTGATAGCTTGCTGAAGAAGTTCTCTGATATAGAGTAGAGCTATATAAGAAAACAATGAGATCTTACACTTTTCTCTTTTTCAGTTAAGACTGGGGTGAGATGAGTCAGACACAAAAGTGTTAGTCTATATATATATGACCTCATTTTGATGAAAGTGAGAAAATCTCAATTTTATTTCTCAGGAGCCAGATTTCAGAAGTAGGAGAAAATGGCTTAAGTCTCACTCTGATTTTAAACTAGATTTAACCCTATCAAGGAGAAGTACTTGAGATCAAGAGGAGATCTCATTTAGAATATTTGAAGAGTTCATTTGCAAAAACACATCTCTGCATTTTAATGAATCTTCATAAATCATGTGTTTTATTGTGCATTCCAGGTAATAGCAATCAAACTGCAGTTGGGTTGTCTTGATTAAGTGAAAATAACTGAACAAAATACAGGTAACTTACAAAATTAAACTATATGTTTTTTTGCAAATGAACTCTTCATTTCTTTCCTCTGGATCTGTAACTGGTCTACACTAAATAGTCTCTGTAACCGGAACATACTCTGCCTTCATTAGAGTCAGCTGAACGGGCTAACAGACTGCTCCAATAATATTCAGAGACAGGCTTTCATTTTTGCCCACTAAAAACTACAACAGACATATCTATCAAATCATGTTACCTACATGCCAGTCAGTTTCAAATGTATGTGGTTAAGGTGGAGCTTGGCTTAAATGTCATAAAATATGAATATACACCACTGCTAACACAAGATGCTAACATAACATAAGGAATCCCATAAAGGCTAGCAGAAATTACCATTATTCTAGCTGTGGTGATCAGACAAAAAAGGCTAATTAAAAAACTAATTGCAAGGTTTTGTGTTAAACAGTGCTAGTAATGACTTGTGCAGATGGCACATGATTTTATCTGGTTCTCAGTGTAAACAAAATTAAAGAAAAAAACTATTAGTTCTTTCTTACTTAGCAGCTGGCAAAAAGACATGTCAACAAGTAGGTCTAAACAGCCCTATCTTTTTCATTTAATTAAATAAAATATACTCTGTATATTTTAGGTAGTGAAAAAAATTGTAATTGTCATTCTTATGTAATTGTAATTGTCAACAGACAGTTTTGGTGGCCCTTAGATATAAAAAAAATCAAGGACGTAAAACCAAATTACGCCACTGCAAAGCATAGATATTGATTATAGAATACATGTTGAAATGCCATTGACGCACAATAAACATTGTCTTTTTTAATCTGGTGGGCAGATGCAGGGACCGCATATCTGATGCTTCTCAATGCTGACTACAATAAAAGTCCCATCAATAAGTACACAGCAAATGCAGTGAACTATACACTGAGCATTGAGTCCATTCAGTGTTTGGCCTGGGATGGACTGAGAGAGTGGAGACCTGACAGCTGTTCTGTACTAAAGGGCTTCTCTACAACCAGAATCAACTGCAGGTATAGTACATGCCTTGATCACTATGCATTTAAAACTTATGTAAAACTAATTTCCAGCTTGGCACTTTGCATATAAGCAGATTTTAAATTATGGTGGCAGTCATAAGACAAGCCCTTGTACCTCCAAAACAGAAGGAGCAATGTGCCTCATTCACCAACTGTTCTTAACAGGAAATTTCTTCTTAAAATCCACTCATGCACTTTTCATGAAGATTCTCACATTCATCAATGTTTTTTTTATTTGGGATTTGTTCTTATAGAACAGAATCTGCGCACACTCAAGAGCACAAAGGTGCGAACAGTTCTGGAGTGTAAGCGCAATGTTATTAACATTTAAAGGTAACTTAAAAAGAAATGAAAGCTTCACTTTGAAACCTTTGATTGGTCAATTTATCACAACATTTTCACACAATGGGCAGCTGGTGTTTGCAAAACAATAAAAATGTATCATTTTACACCATATTTTTTCTTATGATATGAAAAAGTGACACATTGAAATTTACTTGATTCCAATTTGTACATTATTTCCTCATGAAAATACACTTCTGAACATTTTAGTGCATGGTTACTGTCCAGTTGCTGAATTTAACATATTGGGAAAAAATAACATTATACATTAAATATAATATATTCACCCTGACACTTCTCTGCTACACAAGTACATTGGCAATAAAGTAAGCTACAGCAATAGGACGATACATTCTGACAAATTTGGCAAATGGATAAAAAAATACAGTACTGTGCAAGAGTCAGAAGTCACCTTTGATTTTTTTAATTTCCAGACAAAACAATGATTAAGTATAATTTTTCGGAGGTATTTCTAAGGAGATTAGATATAACATAATCCACTTGCATAATTAGGAAGAAAATAAGAGAAAAAAAACAAGGAGTTTCCAAAACTGGAGTTCAAAAATGATTAAAAGCTACACAGAAAATGGGACTCTTAACAACCACCTGCAAGACCTGGTAGACATTACAATATATTACATGCAATATAAAAAGAATATAAAATATTATACAATTCTCTAACAGAATTCAATGCATCATTTTTCAGTGCAGTTTCAAATATACAAACCTAACATATATTGACTACAGCATTTTGTTTCTTGATCTTTCAGTTGCAGCCGCCTGACATCATTCACTGTTACACATCAGACCATCTACAGCAATTACAGTGTTACAAACATCACTGAGTACACCAGGTAATGATGACACCTCTGTATCTTCATTTAACCTCAGAGCTTCATTACTGGGGTCTGATCTACACTGTGGGCCACCCTGTTGTGTTTTTCAGCGCTCGTTCCAGCCTTACATTGTATATTCTAATAGCAGTGTCAGCAGCTATGTATGCTGTGCTGTTGGTCTTTTGTAAACACGCTGATGTTCGTACGGAGAAGAGCTCAGGATCATTCCTCTTGCCAGATAATGATCCTTCAGACCAGTTCCTCTACGCTGTTACCATCCACACAGGCCTCAGATCTAGAGCCAGTATGACAGCAAAGGTAACACTACAAACCCTTTACTTCTACTCACTGGCCACATCATTAGAAACACCTGTCTTTTACTTCCACTCACTGGCCACTTTGTTAGAAACACCTACACTTTACTTCTACTCACTGGCCACTTTATCAGAAACACCTACCTTGTACTTTCACTTACTGGCCACTTTATTAGAAACACCAGCTTTGTACTTCCTCTTGCTGGCCACTTTATTAAAAACACCAGCCTTGTACTTCCATTCATTGGCCACTTTATTGGAAACACCTACCCACCTGTAGATGTACAGTACAGGTGGTTGTCCATCGGTTGCTGCTCAGTTTATCAGCATCCCTTTACCCCTATTTATCCTGGTCAGTGTCTGACCACAGGACCACTGCTGTCTAGACATTATTTGGGTGGTGGTCCATTCTCTGCACAGCAGAGACACTGACACACACTGGAGTGTGTGGTGCTGGTACAAGTCTATCAGCCGCAATGGTGTCAGTGCAAGGTCCACCATCCAAAAAAAATATACAGCCAAGAACACCTGTGGGGTCAGATACAAGAGAGAGGTTTCTAATGAAGCGACCACTGACTGTACAGTAAACTTCACTTAATTTAATTGTTTCAGGTTTATATCATTTTGTATGGTGAAAATGGAGCCTCACAAACCAGGGAGCTCAGCAGTTCTGACCACAAACTCTTTACCTCCAATTCTACAAACACATTTATCCTGAGGTAACAGCTTCCTCCACTGCCAAACAACTAACAAAACCAGAACATTCATTTTTTATTATAATCAGTGCACATTATTCAAAAATGAATGCTGTTGAATCACTGCTTTCAGATCCATGTTTAATTCCCTTCCTATTGTTTCAGCACACCATGCAGCCTGGGACAGGTATGGCAGGTGCATCTGTGGCACGACGCTTCAGGCTCATCTCCCAGCTGGTTTCTGAGCCGTGTGCTGGTGAAGGATCTGCTGCAGGGCTGTAGCTGGATCTTCCAGGCTCAGTGCTGGCTGGCTGTGGATGAAGGAGACGGTCGGGTGGAGAGGAGACTGCAGGCTTTAGAACAAAAGCTCACGTTCAGAGAGGTGGCTGTCAGAGTGAATCACTTTAAAATGTTGCATGATGTGATCACAATTTTTCAATTTTGTTAATCGATACAATATTGTGCAAATGTCAGAAAACAGCAGAAAGTACCACCTCTTATTTTTTTCAGCATCAGAAAAAAAGAGGAAACAAAATGAACAAAAATTACACAGAAGCCTCAACAACAAAGTATATCAAAGCTGTCAGTATTTGATCTTTACTTCTGTGCACCTGCTGCTGCTCCTTCCTGTCCTAAAACTGGGAAAAGGAAATGGACAAAACAGAATACAGATTGCACCACAACACTGAAACCTGACATCTGAGATGTGAAGTAAGGTTGTATGGGCCGATGGGTCTAAATTTGAGAGCTTTGGAAATAACAGAAGTCACTATGTTCACTGCTGAAGCAATGAAAGACTCATGTCTACAACAATCAGCCAAGCACGGTGAAGGACCAGTGCAGGTTTGAAGAGAACATCTGGAGCTGGTGATTTGTTTTTGTTTGAAGGCATCATGAATGCTAATAAGTAATTATTAAATAATGCTAATATTAATACATCATACATTATACATACCTACCTTGATTGGGAAGAAATGTATTCTATAGCAAGATAACAACCCCAAGCACACTGCTGAGAAGATTCAGAGACTGACCACCCCAGTCCAGACCTTAACATCACTGATTGTATTTAGGATTATTGGGATCATGAGAAGCAGAAAGTTCAAAACAAACTTCTAAGACTGAACTTTGAAGATATGCAGAAATATCCCTGCAGATTTATTTGAAAAACTGAAAGCAAATCTCATGAAAAGAATGGAAGTTATAATCAAGTTAAAGAGAGAGGGGACACATTAAATACTGAAATAAATATTAAGAAATTAGTTTGTTTGTGGAAAAGCTACTACTTTAACCCACTTAAATGACCAGGACCCACCAGCAGGTACAAACCTTTACTACACACTTCTATAATCTAAGAATAACTCAGGCAGTTTGCAATGTAGTCCAAGTACTTACTGATTAATAAACCTTAGCATGTATTAAGCCTGGGATGTTAAGTGGTTAATTGTATTCTCAATATAATGTTTTCTCTATAAAAGTTTTTATTAATACTTTACATTTTTACATTTTTTTTGTACAATGTTTATGTAACAGTAATATAACACAAATGTAACATTTTGTAACAGTGGTTAAATGGTGATTTTGATTCTGATGTATCTGAATATGCTTTTTGTTTAACATTTGTATTTAATTATGTTTTCTGTTATTATATGAGATTATTATTGTTGTTGTTGTTGGTGTTGTTGTTGTTGTTGTTGTACTGTATATTATTCCGTTTATAATTATCTTCTAATATTTCCTCATCTGTCCAGATGCTTTATCTGAAGCTGAAGGAGTGTTTAGAGGATTTCCATCCATGGTTGTCTGTCTACAGCCGTCCATCCTACAGCACTCATACACACACTCAGCGCTTTAGTGTGTGTTTTCTGCTCCTGCAAGCCTACATGTGTGCAAACACAGTGCTCATATATCTGCAGGAAGAGCAGGTGACTCAGTTTACTCTCAGAAACATGCAGTAACTGTTATATAACACCTATATGACCTATATTATTAACCAGTAAATTAAAGGGAAATTCCACCTATTTTCAGAGTTTCTGTTTAATTAAATCATTGTGATTTAAACAAAGTCATTCAGAGTGGTTTGATGTGAAATGCTTCATTCTAGAGTCAGAATTGTTCACAGTGGTGGTGATCCAAACCAGACAGCTGAACAGTTTAGTGTCACTAAAAGTTCCCCCACAGGACGTTATTAAATAAAATGATCATTAACACATTGCCTGATGTCTGGTGACATTGTTTTATGATAGTTTTGAGAAACGTTTGGCTCAAAACATATTTTTATGGTGGAGGGGTAACTGCAGGGTGCTGTAAGGCAAAATAATCCCTAAAGAAAACTTATTTTTCACATTTACCACTATTTTACCCTCATTAACATTACATATAAAAACTCAGAAGACATGTTTCACTGGTGGTTTTGGATAGTAAATAAAATGGCTAGAATTGTGTTGTAGACATCATGACCTCTGGTTCCTACCACTGTAAAGACATCTGAGTCTCTGAGTTTAGAAGTTTAATTTTTACATCAAACCACTCTAAACGAATTTGTTTGCATTTATGCAGAAACTATGCAGAAATTTTGAAAAAGTGATGGAACTTCCCTTTAATACCTTGCTTGGGTTGATACAGATCAAAATTAATCTTAAAATGAGTTCAGTCTTGTTAAGATGCCTGGCATAATTTAGGCTACATAGAATGATTTTTCAGATTATGTTTTTTAAGGTACTGTTCTGTTCTGCCGTGTTAAAACAGTGATGTGTTATTCTCTCTGTTACTGATGATGTCAGTACTCCTCAGAGTTGGGCCTGATTGGTGTGTCACCAGTCTCCGTGGTAACAGGGCTGTGTGCTTTAACTGTGGTGCCAGTAGGGATTCTGGCATCCTACCTGTTTCGCATCAGCAAGGTTAGAAACACAAAGCAAAGTTGGTTGCATTTTGTATTCAACAGCTTGTTCTGGTCAGCCTAGTTGTCCAAGCTGAGAACCGTTTAGGAACCTTTATTTTTAAGTGTACTATACAATTTATAGTAGTTACTGAATAACACACCTACAGTTTAAATGGTTAAAGCTGTTTCATATCATACGAACCACTAGAACCTGTGAGCATGACCTTGCAGTATTTTTTCGTATATTGCCATTGATGGTCCTATTTTTCTGTATTGTAGACAAACAAAAGCAGAAATAAGTCTGGGGAGCAGTATAAGGTCAGACTGCCCCATGTCTACACTGTGGAAGGTATATTTAAGCAAGATCTCCTCTACAATAAGAGTATTATTGCTCTTCCTATTGTCTATCACAGAATAATAAACATGTCTTTCACAGAACATCATGATGCCCTTCTGCTGAGGAGTAGCGTATCTGAGCCAAACCTTTCATGGACACAGAACAGAGAAAAAAGTGAGGTAGAGTGGAATCAATTTTTGTGGAAGTGCCTTCACCATATTTATATATGTGCCTTGCAAAAATATTCATCGCCCTTAAAAGTCATCAGAGTCATCTGGATTACAAATGACACTTATACATGCACTTAAAGTAAATTTTCAAAGTCAACATTCAATATTTATCGAGAAATCTTAAAAAAAAAGAGAAAAAAAAAGAAAAATGCTGCTTGCATAAGTATTCCAGCCCTTCAGACAAGTACTTGGTAAAGACACTTTTGCTGCAGTGACAACTTTGAGAGTTTCTACCACCACTGCACACTGTTTGGGAGACATTTTTGTCCATTTTCCTGGCAGATTTGCTACAGGTTATTCAGGTTGGTTAGATGATGCTTATGGACTGTGATTTTCAAATAGTACCACAGATTCTTGGTTGGACTAGGCTTGGCTGGTGTGGTCACTGATGCTTTCTGGCAAATTCCAGACATGCTTTGATTTTTTTTTCTTTAGAAATGACTTCTTTCTAACCATCCTTCCACATTGGCTAGTTGTATGCAAAACTCTTGATTTTGTTAACTGGTGCATCTTCACTCCAGTCTCAGCCACTGACTTCTGTAGCTCCTTCAAAGTGATTGTTGGCCTCTCTGTGGCTTCCCTCTCATGTCCCCTTTTTGCTCTGATGCTGACTTTTGACAGACAACCTTATCTAAGCGGAGCCTGGGTGGTATGGTGCAGTTTCCATTTCCTCACAATTGATCCAACAGTCTTCACTGGGATATTATTTTGTAGCCTCTTTCTGCTTTGTGCATGTCTATAACTTTATCCCTGATTGCCTTAAAGTGGTCTTCAGTCTTTAGATTCATAGTCTGATCAATGGTGCTTGACTTAAGAGAGTCTTTATCCCAGTAAAGGTATACTTTTTTAATGATTCACAAGTAGAGACCAATTGTAGGCCAATTGTGTCCTCACTAGTGCAATATCTTTCAGGTGTGTAAAGTAGGTGCTTCCACAGAACAGGGGTTAATTATTTATGCAAACAGTATTTTAAGTTAGTCATTTTTGTCACAGAATATTTTCTTACCTCTACAAAGAACAAACTTAAATATAGATTTTAGTGCACAATTTCTATTTATTTGCTAAGAAAACAATAAACATAAAACATAAAATGGGCTATAACTTTTGCACAGGCCCCATTAATGTTTTATTTTTCCTCCAATGTGTTCAATTCAGCAAATGCGCAGTAATTGTGCATTAAAATATGGAGTAGTGTATTCTCTGTAAAATCAGTAAAATGAATAAAATGTTATTGGACCAGGGGCACCCAAACTTTTACATATTACTGAATATACCATTAAAAGTTACTAACTGGGGACAATGAATTACCCACATCATAATTTAAGATGACTTACATTCCTTTTGAAGGAAATGATACCGGTTCTGACTGATTTTACAGTAATTTTGTGTTTTACAAGGTGGATCAGATTTGGTTTTGCATAATTAAATGTTTAATGTGTCCAACTGCAGGGGATCCAGGACTGGAAATATAACCATGATTCTACTTGGGTAACCTGCAACAAACTGGCCAGTGACTCAAAACTTCAGAGAACAACGGACTCCAGCTCTTGCATTGAAATCATTGAAGAAAACATCCCTGAGAGTAATGAGAAATTACAAGACCAAAGCTTCAAACACAGCCTGTCCAATCTACAATCAAGCTCACCTACAGGTTTTTTTATACTCATCATATATTAGACTAAAACCCTACTGGAGCTGCGTTACTTTTACTTGGGAAGGCTCTATAATTTAGGTGATTAGTGATAAAATCTGTGATTGTAATCCATTATGAATCCACAGTGTGTGTAGTTTTACAGTCTGACAGTAATAAATTTGGAGTATTGTAATGCAATATGAATCTGCAATATTCATTTTTTGATTGAACTGAAGTAGATTAAGTATTTCATTTTGTGCCTGCAGTAAAAGATTCCTCAAAGAATCATCCGTCTTGTGGAAGCAGGACCAACACTCTGCAGGTGTGGTGCTACTATGCAACATGGGCTGTTTGGCTGTGTTTGTGTCTCACTTTCATGATCATCACTGCAATTCTGGGATTAAAGTAGGTCCTTAGTACTAATGATTTCCCCATCATTTTGTGTTTAGAGCAATGACGGTAAAGCATCACAGCAAATTAACTGAAAGTGTTAACATTTTCCTTCACAGGTTCAACTCTACAAAGAGTCTTCTCTGGATTCAGTCTGTTTTCTTCTCTCTGCTCTTCTGTGCTTTTGCAATACATCCAGCAATGGTAAACACATCATTTACACTTATGCTGTTTCAGCTTCAGGCATTTCACTGGAGCACTTATGGGCTAAACAACAACACATGTTTTGTGGTATCACTATTTAAAAGGAAAATTTCACAATTTTAAAAATTTCTGTTTAATTCAGTCACACAGATGTAAACAAAGTTGTTCAGAGTTGTTTGATGTAAAATGTCTCATTATAGAAAAATGTACTGTCTCAGATTTCTTTACAGTGGTGGTGATAGGAACCAGGGGTTACAATGTCTATGACACAAATATAGTCATTTTATTTACTATGCAGAACCACCAAGGATATATAAGACATACAGTATAAAGAGAGGAAAATGGTTGGAAAATAATCAAGTACATAAAAGATGGTACATAAAACCATGTATATGTTATAAAACTATATTTTTAAGACATTTATATGTCATAAAACATCTATATTTAAATGCATATAACACTTTAAGAAACATTCAAAAAGCATTTAATTAAAAATCTGTGTCTCTTGTAATTTATCTTTTTAATTTGATCCGAGTCATTTTCTTGTATGGTTTTAAATTAGTACTTACAATTTCCTTTATTACTATCAAGCCTTATTTAGCAGCCACATGAAGTGCTACATATATAAATAAAGATTATTATTTTTTTTATTTATATAAGTGGACATTATAAGAGGACAAATAAAACGCAATAAAAAAGTACAATAGTGGGATATGGGCCCTTTAAGTCAGTATTAACCATTTTCTTATATCCAACCAAGCTTTAAATGCCTATCACCACCACTGTAAACAATTCTGAATTGATCATTTCACATCAAACCACTCATTCCCACATGAATCAAATATGTGATATTAACTATTGCCCAAAGTAAATAAAGTAAAAGACAAAAGTAAAATTGTACTCATGTAATTAATTTTTATTAATATTGAAAAGAAATGTAGACATTGTGCATCATTGCATCACAGGGTAGTGATAAATACAATTTAGGCCAAAATATTTTATTATGTTGAATTTGATAATGTATAAATATTATCCTATATTTATTAATATGCAAATTATGTACAGAAGTATATTTAATGCTTTCCTTTTTTAGTGCAGTATTCAGTTCATAACTGTGAAGCTGTGTTTTAATTCCCTGATGCAGATTCTTATCGTTGCGATCTGCGCGACTCTGCGGTGTAAAGAGCTAAGTTATTTTTACCAAAGCTCTGCTTTCGATGAGCCTGTAACTGAGCTGCTGAAACAGAATAAGCAGAGCAGAGTATGTTTCCACAAGCATTTCACATCCTGCTCCCACCATCAGCCTGAGGAGATCAGTATGTATTATGAGAAGGTAAAGATCATGAACTGTCACTCTGATCCTTAAATGCATTTAATGTTGAACTTAATGTACTTATACTTTTGATATGTAACGTTGCTCATATTACTGAAGTTAATATAACCTATATTGGCATGCAGTATTAGTCAGAATATTTTCCTAAAGTCCTTCTAACTATTGTTTTTACTATGAACTGGCAGAGAAAGCAGGGCTGACTCCAGCCTTTTTTCCAGTAAACGCTTTTTCCATGGCGTGTCTTTCCTATTAAAGCAAAAATTTAAACATGGCTAGACAGGCTCTTTAAATAAAAAAAAAAGTATGCAAAGTATTCTAATGTATGTGTTTCTGTTTATGATGTGATATGTCTATTGAAGTGCCTCTGTGTCAGATATCAGTTTAGTTCATTCAGTGGTGTGTTTGATTGACAGGTGCTGGCGTCTCGTCAGAGAGAGAGATACCTGCGGCTCGCTCGCCCACCAACTTCAACACAGCTAAAATGTGTGAGACGCCAAATTAGAAAGAGGACACTCATTAAGAAAACTATAAGGTCACTCTCTTTCTTCATCATCATTATTAATATTCAGATACTATACAAAACCACACACACACTAAAACAGGCTTAAACCTTTTTAGCTAAAAGCTCTTTAAACTGTAAAGGTCCATATGTAGGCCTAATTCCTGACTCTCATATATACCTACCTTACATGTTAGTGCCATGGTAGTCATTGAATAATAAGTCTGTATTTTAAGGGATTTAAGCTGTTTCTCACTGTGATAATACCCTACAACCTGTCTTGTTGGCATGTCTTGACAGCATTTTTCTTACGGTCTTAGTGACTAGGATTAGGATGGTTAATATTATTAATATTGTTGAAATATTAGTGCTATACTTACTCTTATTATTGTTATTAATGCTAACTAGTTTTATAGTATTAAAGTATTGATATATTATAATATTAATATTAGTAATGAACTTTTAAAGTTAAACTTAAAAGTAATTAACTTTTAATATCTGAATAATACGCCTAGGGCCTAGGGGTTAATTCAGGGTTTTGACATTAAAATGTTATCTCGTTCTCACAGGGAGTTGATGCTGTACATGATCACCTTGTCAACTGCTGGCTTCGTGGCTTATGGAAAGTTTTCTAATGATATGTTTTATTTAAATCAGGCGGTCACAACTTTATTTTCAAGGTAAATTCCACTATTTTCATGTAGCAGCTAAAATACTGTACATTCTAATTTCATTGGTATCATCACTTTACAGGAGAAGGAAAAAAACCTTCAATTGTAATTGAATTTAATGGAACAAGATGTTTTCCCAAGTCACTTTAAAAGTAAAAAACGACAAACATGGAGATATTTTTTTTCTTTCTGTGACAGCAATGACATGCCAGTACACTTTGTTTAAATTGCAGGTATTTGCACAGACCGCTTAGCTCCATTCAGAAACCTGAGGCCTGGTGGAACTGGGCAGAAATTGCTATTCTAGATGGGCTTTATCAACAGAATACATCTTATGATGGGATGGAAAACAATGTAAGCTTTGAAAACTAATAAGAGTTTCTGTTTTCTGTAATCCTGAAACACAAACCCATTTCCAAAAAAGTTGGGACCATATGTTGAATACAGATAAAAACAGAAAACAGTGATTCGAAAATATCCACTTCGACCTGTATTTGAACAAAAACAATACAAAGACAAGTAATGCTTTACCTTATCAATTACCTTAGCAATTATTTTTGTAAATATGTGTGCATTATGAAACTGATGCCTGCAACACATTCCTAAAACAGTATGACAAGAGCAATTTAAGACTAGGAACATTGTGAATTGTTCCAAACAACCATCCTAAACAGGTAATATTGTAATATGCTTGAGCATGAAAGGAGCATCCAGGAAAGGCCTTGTCGTTTATGAGCAATGAATACTCGAGGCTTGCCAAAAATGCATCATCAAAAAATTCAGCTGTTTAAAAATAACATTCCTTAGCAAGCAACTGCGAGGATTTAAGGTATGTCATCCTCTATAATATTATATCCTCATAATATTATAAAAAATCAGGAAATCTGGAAAAAACCCCAACAAATCCTTTGATCCCTCAGATGGCACTGCAATAAAAACCGGAATGTTTCTGTGATGGATATCACTGCATGGGCTCAGGAATAATGTAATAATTTAACAACATAACACTGTTCATCGCTGCATCCACAAGTTCAAGTTAATACTGTACAATGCACAGCAGAAACCATATTTCAGCAATGTCAAGAAATGCCACCGACTTCTCTGTGCAAGCGCACATCTGAAATGGGCTGATGCACAGTGAAAACATATTTTGTGGTCTGACAAGTCACCTTTCAGATTTTTTATAGAATTAATGGACGTCAAGTTCTATAGGCCAAAGAAGAAAAGGACAAGCATGTTACCAGTGTAAAGCTCAAAAGCCAGCATAGGGTATAGGGGGGTGTTAGTGGGTAACTTGCACATCTGTGAAAGCACCATCAACGCCAAACACATGTTAGAGCAGCACAATCTGCCTTGTAGACGACATCTTTTTTCAGGGACATCTATGCTTATCTCATCATGTCAATGCCAAGAAACATTCTGCACATTACAACAGCATGGCTGCGTAATCAGAGAGTGTGGGGTCTAGGCTGGCCTTTCTGCAATTTTAAACTGTTAATAAGCTCAAAATACAACAACAAAGGCCCAGTTCAGTTGCACATCTGAAGACTTGTATAACTGAAGAATACCAAAAAATCCCAGTTTCAAAACTGGATCAGCTTTTTCTTGAATGTCCCAATGTTTATTAAATGCTGTCAAAGGGAAAAGTGATGCGTAACATGATAGATATGGTCCTGTCCCAACTTTTTTGGAATGTGATGCAGGTTTCAGATATCGAATGAGTGTTTATTTACAAAAAAAGTGTTTTTGCACTGTTTTTAATTTAATACAGATTGAACAGAATCTACTAATCACTGCTTTCTTTTTTTTATCATTTCACATACCTTCACAACTTTTTGGAATTCGGTTTGTACATCACTGTCTGTTTTTTCATTGATGTTCTCATATTAACAGGCAAAAACATTGAGAGGAACTTTCTCTCGCATTGGAGATCCAGTCATTAAAAAGATGGACTATACAAACTCATTGTCTCAGGTAAATTGTTATGACTAGCTCTGAAGAACTGTTAGATTCACAATTTAAACAGAGACAGTCGTTTTAATTGATTTAAAAAATCATATTGTTTTAAAAATTCAAGTTTACAAAACCTAGTCACAAAAGCTAACTTAGTATTGACATGTTTCCTTTTAGTTTTTCCAGATTTGCAGATTTTCAGGTCTGTCCAACAGACCACAACTGTGTGGGAAATTAGGATGCTATGAAGGAGCAGGAATTCATGTCCATCTAGGAAAAAACAGGTTAGAACTGATCAGTCTACACTTATATTTTTCAGTGTTTCATGATTTTTAAATTAATGTTTGCCTTCTTTGTGTAAATTTTATCACATTTTGTGATGCTTAAAAATTAAACTGACCAAAAAATCACTTTAAAAAAGTGATTAATTTCTTAAAGGTAACCCTAATATAACAAAATTTTACTCCAAGCACACGACAATATTGCAAAAACATTGCTTCACTACTTCATGCTGCCTTCACATGCTTTGTCACATGGTTCTGTTTCTCACTAATTGTGATGTTTTGTGTTAAAGTTCTTTTGCAGTTGTTAACAGTGTTAGCTAGCCAGCCTAATCAATTGTAGTTCAGTTACCTGGTATACTTTAGTATTGCTTGCACAGTGTACAGTTTCCCCTCACTGTTAAAAGGTACATTTATAAAAATTAAGAATTATGCACCATCGACCACATAATGAAATATAATGAAAGGGTCAGGTAGTACAAAGTTGGGATATCAGAAATGTTTCAAAAGTTTCCACTTGAAGGGATGTTCATGTCAGAAATTCCAGCAGTTGTTCAACATTTCTGCCTAATTCAATAGTTGAGATGTAAACAAAGTCAGTTAGAGTGGTTTGATGAGAAATGGTTCAATGTAGAGAAACTTACTGACTCAGATTTATTTACAGTGGTGGTGATGGGAACCAGGGGTCATGATATCTACAACACAAATGTAGCCATTTTATCTACTATCCAAACCACCAGTGAACCTACACATGGCTAAATTACAACCACCTCAAACTAGTCTCAGCCTAATCATTGCATAGTTAACTTCACAAAACTGTTATTTTTGCACACAAGAGGGCTTGTTCACAAAGCTGTTTATTAGATGCACATAACTTTGTAATGAGAAAGAAAAACGAATACAGGAAAGAAAATATTGAGGTTTGGCAAGTCATCTGTTACTTTTTATGTGAAAATATTTTAACATAGCTGATTTAACATAAATCATGATAAATGGACCAGTTACCCACAAGTTAAAACAGCACAGTACAATACTGAGTTATATATTGTTTGTTAATCATTATCACAATATTTTACATCGTGCTGAGCTACAATACTAGAATATGCAAATTAGATCTCTAATCAATCACAGTCCTGACCAATTATAGTTCCAGGTGAGTTTCTGTGGGTGTTTTGAGGAATTGAGACGTGTAAGCCAAAAGTAAATAACTTTGGTCAAAATTATGCAAGCCAGTCTTTAATCATATCACTTGACCAACTCCATTTTTAAATATATTGCAAGGCATATCACACTCACATTATGTCATGATGTATGTACCATTTTTTTCATATCATGTAGCCCTAACTAAAGAACTAATTGCTCTGAAGGCCAAACATATCTTTGGTGTTTTCTATTATTTTGCAGGTCTGAAGTGTCCCGCACACTTCAGAAGCTAAGCGCTACAAGCTGGACGGACCGTAACACCAAAGCCATGATAGTCCAGTTCACCCTATACAGCCCTGCCTACAATCTCTTTACTACGGTCACTATGCTGGAAGAACAACCGCCCATAGGAGGCTTTCAGCCTACAGTCTTCGTCCACTCCACACAGCTCTATAACTCAGCCACTGCCCTTGATTACTGGCTTATGGCTGCAGAGGTGGGAAAACGACGGCTGCTTCTTATCTTATCTACTGTATCACATGACGTATGATAGTTTGAGCAGTATTGAGGCTGATTGTGGCAGCATTAATTCCAAAGGTTAGATTAGATATTGCAGCTGGCAATGAGCATATGTTATTTCTTATCTGAAACAATGCCACCGTTTCCCTTTGAATAATTAAACATGACGTGTAGTTTGACTACTGAATTAGTATCAATGCTAATCACAGTTATATCAATTAATAATGACTTGATTCAAGGAATTGAGTATCATACATGTCATGAAAGGATATTCAGCGAAAACATTTCAGCTACAGTTGAAACGAGAATCATCCATTTAAGCAGGTCTCATTGGTTTTGTGTACTTTTGTGAGAATGAGAAGCTGATCTAGCCAAAACCACCATCATCACCACCATAAACACCATCATGGTTAATATAATAGCTTTTAGCTTTTAGCATGAAGATGGCTTCATGGCCCTTAGAGAAGAATTCCACTGATTTTTCAAAATTTGAATTGATTGAGTGGTTGAGATGTAAACAAAGTTAATTGTGGTGTGATATGGAAATATATGATATATGATATTGAAATGGCTCATTCTAGGGAAACTCACAGATTTCTTTACAGTGGTGATGATAGTACCCAGGGGTTGCGATGTCTACAACACAAATATAGCCATTTTATTGACTATCAAAACCACCAGTGAACCTACATATAAAACACACAATTACAGCCACCTCAAATGAGTCTCAACTAAAGGTTTGCATTATTATCTAAGTTCACAAAACTGCTATTTATGCACATTTACAAAACCATCAGTGAACTTGCATGTTATCTGTGTTTTAAAATGTAATGCTGATGATGGTCAAATAGAGGTCAATCTAAAAATTGACATCTTTTCTGGGGACTACTTTGCCACACAGCACCCTGTATGTAACTCTCCACCATGAATCTATTTTTAAAAAATTTAAATTAGACACAAATTTATGCCAAAACCTTCTCAAAACTATCATAAAACAATACCAGGCAGTGTAGTCATAACCATCTCATGTAAATTTGTGTGAGGGAGCTTTCAGAGGCAGAGGTCTGGTTCCTATCACCTCCACTGTGAATAATTCTGATTCTGTAAGTTTCTCTAGAATTAAATTTGAATCATCTTTATTCAATGTATCACTTTTTCTGTGATACCACAAACGAGCTCTTTTTTTAATATGGTTTTAACCACTTTCTCCTTTTTGCCATCTCCCCAGCTTCTCTTCCTGCTCCTCACTCTGCTTCAGTTATACATTCAAATATGTGTTATGGCTCAGAAAGCATTGCTTTACTGGACAAACCTGTGGAACTGGCTCGAGGTGAGCTGCAGCAGTTTTATTTCTTTTTCGCTATCAATCACTTTGACAGCTAACTGCGATTATTCTCTCTCCAAAATCTTTTTTCTTGAAGGTGGTGTCACTTCTGATCAGTTTTCTGAGCTTCATCTGTGCCGTGCAGCACTTCACACTCAGAACAGACACAATCGAACACCTGCAGAGGGAAGATTTTAAGAAATTTGTTGACATGAGTCCTGTATCCTCTTGGGAACAGGTAATTCAAAGAAAACAAGACTTATCTGACTGTCAGTTGAGATAAACACATTGACTGAGACCAGATTAGAGCAGATTTTTCATTATGGATTTGTCAGCTTGGTCAGTAGACCTGTCACATAAATGGCTGCTTGCGCTGAAGATGCCATTAAACCCTGACTGCTTTACTGTGTTCCATATGCAAAGAACATATATTTACATATTGTAACGTCCACCACAATGAAAGACAACACAGCTTATGCACAAGTCATTGTGCTTTATGAATGAGCTGTTGTTGGCCACAGCTACGCCGTACATAAAGAGAGTTTTTTCTAACAATTTGCCTTGCTACATCTTACTTCCATAGCTGTCAGCATTAGACTGATTCAGTACTTCTTGGTACACAGAACGCAGCTTCAGGTTAGCCCCAACTTCAGAATACAGAAAAAACACCAAATAATTATTGGTGCAGAAATCTATTGCAAAAATTGCATTATGCATGTATTCTTTAACACTGCAAATATGTGCATATAATCAACATTATATGTTGATATAGTGGCATATAATCAAATATTAAGAATTACCATATTTAATAATAAATATACTGAGCTCAAATCTATACATATAATGTGTAAAATTTTATAAAGAATAATTGTCAGGTTAAGTATTTGTTATGAATACTTAATAATATTTGTTATGTTTTGAAAAATAAGACAATTATAATAAGCTTTATTATAATATAAAATATTATTAGAATGAATCATTTTTCTGAAACAATGAGTGGGCTTAACTGTGCCCCTTTAAACCTGTTCCAAACGTTTTATCTTTTCTGGTCTTTATTTTTTTTTTTAATTTTTAAAATAAATTATGTAAAACTTGCTTGATTGTGTTGAAAGAAAGATTCATTCATTCACTTTCAATTTAATTCTAAGATGTATCACAGAAACCCTGAAAAATCCATATAAAATTTACTTAGACTTAAATGTGGTTGTTGGGGGCTTTGTCACTATATTGTAAACACGTATAAGTATATTTACAATATAGTAAATCTAGTTAAAGTTAAATGCTAAATCATCATATAATTGACATAAATGGAACATATCTTTGCTGTTGGAACAGAACCTTGTATTTTTAGATGAATGGAATAGTTCTTATCCTGTAGTCTGCTGTAATCCACTTAAATGTAATGGAATGTGTTGTGGTATGAAGATCACTCACGGTTTGGAGTATCTGAGGTGTCTTTTTGTCTTTCACAGTTTTCTCGCTCACTTCACGGTATTCTTGTGTTCCTTCTTCTGATGAAGTGTTGCTTCATGCTGCGCATAAATGAAGTGATGACTGCTGCAGTATCTTCAATGGCACTGATCTTCTCCAACCTGCTTTGGCCACTGGTATTTATACATGTAGTTGTAGATGTAAAAAAACAGCATTAACTTAATAATTTAGCTAAAAATCTAACTTACAGTTTTTCCTTTTACCCCAAATGTAGTCAGTCTAAGACATGTTTGGACTTTGTGTCTTTAGTTTTGCTCTGGAGCTACAGAACTGTGAGACCACTCTTCATTTATTTAATTCTGAGGAGATTAGATATAAGATAATCCACTTGCATAAGGAGTTTCAAACATTACTAACGATCGTGCAAGACCACCAAAACTGTCCTCATCAGATAAACAGCACTTAAACTTTCATCTTTGAAAGAGAGGAGAAAATCAAGCTCCTATTTCGCTTCAGGTTTGAAAAAATCCACAGCCATCCTTCCACTGTGAGAAGATAACCCAACACTATGAGTGTGAAAGGATGTGTAGCTGTCAAGAGGCTCTCGCTGAGAAAAGTAAACAAACACATCGTATAAAGAAGCTGCTGGTGTTCTCAGAACAATGGACTGACCACCTCAGAGTCCAGACCTGAACAACACGGAATGTGTTTGGGATTACTTTTATTGTGAGAAGCAGAAAATGAAGACTAAGACTGAACTTTGGAGGTGTGGAAAAAAAAGATTTCTCTGAAAAACTGAAAGTGAGCCTCCTGAAAAGAATGGAAGATGTAATAAAAGAGTGGACACACTAAATACTAACAAACATGTAATTCTGTATTTAGTTGTTGAGGTTTCTATATAAATTTCTGTTAAATATGTTTTGCTTGACTGAAAAATAAAACTTGTATTTAATAATCGTTTTCCTGGAAATTAAATAAGTGAAGCGTGGTCTCTCACTTTTGCACAGTACTGAATGGGAAATGCAGAAAAGTACACTAAATAGTTAAAAACAATAAAATTCATCTTGTAACTTGATTGCCTGTATATTTGTCTGTGCAATTCTGTTAGAGATTACTCAAAAAGCACTGCATTAGGCAAGTTTTGATTTAGGTATGCAGTTAGCACCATGTTGATTTGTGGACTATTAGCTTTCATTGCTTGTTAGCTACATTACTCCCGTAGCTCCAGTGCAAATTAATGAAGCAAACTTCAGACACCAAACATGTCATACCTGATCAAGTACATTTTAGGAAACTGTGTAAACTTGATTTTGCCCAAACTTTTGAACAAGTTTTAACTTCGTGTTAATTTACTGTGGATGTGCAACAGCATTAAAAGCCTGCTTGGTTTCTTGCTGTTGTTTCAGATAGCTGGTGTGATCCTGATCATTGCCTTCTCCTGTTTGGGAAACCTGCTTTTCCATTCAAACGCATCAGTCTTCAGGACCTTACCAAGATCTGTTTATTGGATTATCTCTCACTGCTTTGGCTGGGGACGGCTCAGATACCTCTGGGGACTCGATCACAAAACTCAAGCTTCCTTGGTGCTCTATGTCTATGGAGCCTTATTGTGCACAGTGTCTGTTGCTTTTAAAGCAGTGGTATGTGTGACAGTCTAAGTCTCCACCCTGAAATATAAAGATCCCTAAATGGTTCTTGGCTTGGTGCATGGCTGTAGGGAAAGGTTTTACTGGTACATATATGTTAGACACTGACCAGCCACTTTATTCAGTACACCTCCTTGTTTCTACGTTCTTTGTCCATTTTATCAGCTCCACTTACCATTAAGGTGCACTTTGTAGTTCTACAATTACAGTCTGTAGTCCATCTGTTTCTCTGCATACTTTGTTAGCCCCCTTTTACCCTTTTCGTCAGTGATCAGGGCCCCACAGAGCAGGTATTAATTTGGTGTATCATTCTCAGCACTGCAGTAACACCGACGTAGTGGTGCTGTGCTAGTGTGTCTGTTGCACTGCACATATGAGGGGATCAGACACACAGAGTTTTTTAAGACCTCAGTGTCCCTGCTGGACTGAGAATAGTCCACCCACCTATGACCACTGATGAAGGACTAGAGGATGACCAACACAAACTGTGCAGCATCAGATGAGCTTCTGTCTCTGACTTTGCACCTACAAGGTGGACCAACAAGGTAGGAGAGTCTAATAGAGTGGACAGTGAGTGGACTCAGTGTTTAAAAAATCCAGCAGCACTGCTGTGTCTGATCCACTTGTACAGCACAACACACACTAACACACCACCACCACGTCAGTGTCACTGCAGGGCTGCGAATGACCCATCACCCAAATAATACCTGCTCTGTGGGGGTCCTGACCATTGAAGAACAGGGTAAAAGGGGGCTGATAAAGTATGCAGAGAAACAGATGGACTACAGTCTGTAATTGTAGAACTACAAAGTGCACCTATATGGTAAGCAGAGCTGATAAAATAGACAATGAGTGTAGGTGTGCCTAATGAAGTGGCTGGTCATTGTATGTTGAATATGTTGTTAGGAAGCTCCAAAAGATAAATAAAATATTTCAATTTTCCATACTCTACATCTTAATATGAATGACATTCAAGTTGTGCCTTTTTGCAGGTAACTGGTGCGGTCACCTCCTTTGTGAAAAAGGCAGCAAAATCCCAAAGAAGAAAACCTCATCTATCTGTGTCTGACCTGCTCACTTACACCAGAGACGTGGCTTTGGTTCTCATTGGCAAAGGCAGGCAGAACTGGATGGATAATCATGATAACGCTAATGTGAGAAATTTCTTAACACTTCAAAACTGGATTTTTTAATATTGTATTTTGTTCATAATTTTTTTTTTATAGTGTTGACAGGCAACAATTTTAGCTTATACAGTATTATTCTGTTAGATGTTGTAGTAAAATTAATTATAATTGAATTTAATTTAATTAAATAAACCATATTAATATAAAGTGTGTGGATTACATTTAGAAATTTTTGTTGATACTTCTCAGAACATTCTAAATCTGCAATAAAAGTACATAATTTGTATGAAAATTTCAAAGAAACCATTCCAAACCTGATCTCACACAGCATTAAAACTTCTTCTTTCACAGAATTTGTACCTGGAGGAGTTTGAGGAGCTTGTTGATGAGCTGTTGTTGCGGCTCAATGTGATTTCCAACAGCGACACCCTTGAAGAACAAGAAAACCATAAGAACCAGAGATGCCTCAGTTTTGAACACGATTACAGCTCAGAGGTGACCATTGTGACCCTCATTATACTGAACTCTTTATTTCCAATACATTGTTCATAACAGTATGATTTTGAGGTTTGTAATGTTACTGCTTTCCAAAGTGGAACGCTAACCTTTCATAGGAATATTGGTAACACTATTTGAAACACTCTGTTGATGCTTTATAGCTGCTTATCTTGACTTATTTTTTTAACATGACTTATTATTCCCCTAAACCTGAACTTAAACTTAACACTTACTCTAACCCTTAACCTAAACATCGAACCAAAGCCTATACCTAAAACTAACACTGAGTCTAATCCTATAATTAACCTCAACCTGAAACGTAAAACCTAAACCTAACACTCACTCTAATCCTAAATCTTACCTCAACCTAATACCTAAACTAAATCTAACACTCACTCTAATCCTAAACTTAACCTCAACCCAAAACCTAAACCTAATACTCACTCTAATCCTTAACTTCAACCGAAAACCTAAACTTACCACTTATTCTAATCCTAAATTTAACCTCAACCTAAAACCTAAAATAACATTACTTTAATCCTAAACTTAACCTCAACCCAAAACTTAAACCTAACTTACTCTAACCCTAACCTGAACCTTAACCCAAAACCTTAACCTAAACCTAACACTCCAGCTAACTCTAACCTATAACCAAACTGAAACTTAAACTCTGAATTTAACAATCGTTCAAACCCTAATTTAAACACCTGCACAAAACCTAGACTTCACACTCACTCTAAACCCTAACCTAAACCAGAGCCTAAACCTAAACCTAACACTTGTGCTAACCCTAACATAATTTTCAATCCAGTACCTAAACGCAACAGCTCACTCTAACCCTAACCTAAACCTGAAACCAAAGCCTAAACCTAAACCTTACATTCATTCTAACCCTAACATAATGCTCAACCCAAAACCTAAACGCAACATGTACTCTAACCATAATCTAAACCTCAACCAAAAACTTAGCCCTAAACTTCACAGTCACTCTAACTTAAATCTGAACCCAAAACCTAAAATTAAACTTAACACTCACTCTAATCCTAATCTAAACCTCAACCCAAAACCTAAACCTAACATTCACTGTAATTTTAAAGTTAACCTCAACCCAACACCTAACGCACACTTTAATCCTCTCTAAACCTCACCTAAACCTAAAAGCCAGAACCTAAACCCAATCCTAATAACACACACACAATAAGCCTTTAAAATAAAGGTGCTGAAAATGGTTATTTAACCCTTGTGTGGTGTTGATGTGTTTGTTACTCAGTGGTCTGGTGGACCCACAGCAATTTTGTTTTTTAAATCAATACAGCCAAAACAATTGATGTAAAAATACCAGATGTTTAAAATATCACAAGTGTCCAGCGTAGGGTTCTCCTTTAGCAGCTGTAGCCAGTCAGCAGCCTGTCCATGTTGCCCACCCTCACACACTCGCACACATATACAAACACACACAGACACACACACGCTAACATCTGGCCATGTAGGAGGAGAACAGAGTGAAGGGCCACAGCACCTCCACACTTTTATTCCCCGCAGGTTCACCCTAACACCACATGTAATATAAATGTGTAGGGGGTGGACAGTGTGAAGTCATTGAAAATGTGTTATATGTTCTCCATAGAAAATGCGCAAAGGCCAAGGAATCTGAGGTTCAAATAACAATAAATCTCATCATTTTTTATTTTGGTAAACATTGACAATGGGTCCCACAGACCCGAACACCACACACAGGTTAGAGCAGTGCCACAGAAGGACTGCTTTTGATTTGCTAAAGGTCCTTTCAGTGGATGCATTTTTGTAAATGAGGTGTGTGAGTGTGAAGAACTATTTTTTAATTGTTTTTATTTTAAAGAGCCTATATCATGGAAAACTGAATTTTCTGAAATAAAACTTTGATGTAGTATAAAAACATTGGTTTGTTTTTTCAAAACATACCATTCACTTCATAGTCTGTGCAGTCCAGTGTATGAAAACTAAGCTGCAAAAATAACCTATTTTGAATTCACTGTTTCTGTGAAGCCACGAAAAACCAAAATATTTACATATAACCACCCATTCAGCCCATAGTTTAGCTCCGCCATTTCAGGATGGCGTTAAATGGAGTGTTTCAGTGTGGAATGCTTTTTGAATGAGCCAGCGCCACCAGTCAGAACAGAGCTCATTTACAAATGTAAGTCTTAATGTGATAAGGTAACAAAAACAGCCTGGTCGGAAAATGATAATGTACAAATGAATTGACTGTTTTTGGTATATAAAACAACATAAATGTAATAAATGGACCTTTAAGTTTAAAGAACCACCATATAATGCAATGGTTCTATTCAAGATTTTTCTTAGCCAGTAATCATTTTGCAGTTAGCTTTGAGTATTTGTATTTAAGCTATAGGACACCATCAAAATATAGTGTGACCGAAACACCACTTTCATATGAATAGTAAATAATGTGCCTTTAACTGATGATAAAAAATACAGGGCATTCTGTTATTTCATTTGAAATAGTAGCTTTATAGCAGAGGGAAAAAAACATTCTGAACATTTTATCCTCTGTAAATTTGGGCCAATTCTATATTTTCAAGTACTGTAAAAAATAAATAAACTGAAAAAAATGATGGAGGTTTTGATTTAACAGCTGTTGTTTTTTTCTTTATACTGCAGGATGCTGAGGAGGAGAAAGTGATGACCCCAATGGAGCTGGAGACCTCTTGTGCATGCAGTATTTCTTCATACATATGTGAAGAATATGAAGAACGGAGTCACAGGTAAAGCTCTCCTCACGCTTAAAATGAAACTCTATCAAGGTGCAACTGACATTAATGCCAAAGTAAATATAAGCTCTGTAAATATGTACTAATTTTACTACAAGGTCACCGCTCAACTGGAAAACCCTTCAGCCTTTTGGAGGAAGCAGAGGAATGACCTATGACAGACCCATTTCCACAGACCAGAAGATCTGCAGAAACAGCACTGTAGCGCCGGGGAAGAAATCAAAGGACTCGCAAACTTTACTTTGTGTCAGCGTTCAGATTGAATGCAGTGATACACTGAGCTCAAACAGAGATCAACACTTTAACCTGGCCTGCGAAGATAATATCCTGCATAAAGCTGGGAGCACAAAAATACAACCAGCCACAGTTTTAAACTCTCCTCCTGATAACATAACCAGTCATTCATCTCACACAAAGGCATGTGGACAGTTCTGTATCTACAAAACAACACAGGCACATTCTGAAAAACAAACAGTCAATATTCCAGGTCAGTGTTTTTAAGGTCATGCAAGTCTGCTCATAACTTATACAGGCCTGATACAGGAATGTTGCTAAATTAAATTTATTAATATTAGATATTAATCTGATATTAGAAAATATTATATTTAATCTAGTATTTTAGCATTTCTTTCTTTAGATACAAAAATAAAAAAAAGGAATAGGCCAAAAAACCACAAGTGAATGCCATGACCTTTGACCCCTCAGAAAGCACTGCATTAAAAACAGCCACATTTCTGTGATAGATATCATTGCATGAGCTTGGGAATACTTTGAAAAACAGTTGTCAATAAACTTTATCAGTTGCAGATCCACAAATGCAAATCAAGACTGTACTATGCACAGTGGAAGCCATATGTCAACAGCATCCAGAAACGCTGCCAACTTCTCTGGGCTCTAGCTAATCTGAAACGGACTGATGCACAGTGGAAACATGTTTTGTGGTCTAATGAATAAACCTTTTTGATTCTTTATGGAAACAATGGATGTTGTGTTCAGTGGACCAAACATGAAAAGTTCAAAAGCCAGCATCTGTCATGTTATAGGGGTGTATAAGTGAGTAGCTTGAACGTCTGTAAAGGCACCATTAACGCTGAACACATTTTGGAGCAACATATGCTGCCTTTTATTTCAACATGACAACACCAAGTCACATTGTTTATGTGTTACAACAGCATTGCTGTGTAATCAGAGAGTGCAGGTGCTTGACTGGCCTGCCTGCAGTAGAGAACTGTCTGCCATTGAAAACGTGTGTCTAATTAAGCTCAAAATACAACAATGAATGTCCTGTATGGCTGCATAGCTGAAGGCTTGTATAATTAAAGAATCGCAAACAATTCAGTTTTTGTCTTTAGTTCCTAAATGTTTATTAAGTCCTGTTAAAAGAAAACGTGATGTAACACAGTGATAAACATGCTCCCGTGCCAACTTTTTTTTGGGGGGGAATGTGTTGCAGGCATCAAATTTGGAATGATGAAAAAGTTCATAAGGTCAAATATTGTGTTTTTGTAATGTTTTCAATTTGATACAGGTCAAACAGAATATACTAATCACTGCTTTCTTTTTTTGCTTTTTTGCATACTGTCCCAACTTATTTGGAATTAGGTTTGTACCGTGACATCCTCATACCAGGTAATGAGCACTCAACCACCTCCAGTGCTTTTGGAATAGACTTATATTGTGTTATTATTAATACCACTATTACATGTCAAAATGTGGAAGATGTTTAACACCCCAGAATACAGAATACATACAAATATGTATATTACATTACATATATTTCAGTTCAATAGTATGATTTGGTGAGTTAGTGCCAACAGGTTTGAAGAAATTCATGAGGTATATCTAATGTGATAGATAGTAATCATATCTAGTCATCTTTGAGTAAACATGGAGTACACATTCCAAAAAAATCATCTTCCCCTTGACAACTTTTAGTATAATATTGCCTTGAATTTTGAATCCTCTGTATTCTCAATAAATATGACAATAAAACGAACTTGAACTTGGGCTCGAATTAGAAAGTTGATTATAGATCAGCCTAAGCCTTTGTAATTGATTTTAAAGTAGTTTAAGCACCATTCATGCTGGTAAAGCAATCCACATAGTATGGATTTTTGGTATCTATTGCTAAAATTAATATTAGACTTCTCCTCTCCTTTCTTTAAAAACACGCATTCCTTTACAGACACAAAGAATCTTGGTTTGAATAGTTTCTCATCTCAGTCTCCGTCAACCAATAGCAGCTCTGAACGTACAGACTTGAGTGGCGGTGTGTGATTGGTTGGTTTGGCGGCAGACAGCCAATCAGCGCGTGGCAAGTCAGACAAGTTGAGGGTGAGGAGTGCAGGAGCGATCAGGGAAAAGTCAATACAGACAGGCGGTTTAGAGTTGAAGCGTCATACAGTTCAGTGTCCTTCAGCTTTACACCAACTTCTGCCTTAATGCAGGAGTGACCTGAAACAGTGCGAGGCTTAAATAGCAATAAGAGGCACGTTAGAGTGGTGCAGGCCGCTGGCGTGGAGAAGGAAAGGGAGGAGAACATAGCCTAGCTAGAGAAACGCCGGTGAAGAACAGAGAAAATGAAGAAGATCACGCTTCTGCTGATCGTGTTGCTTGGACTAACACACTTCATCTCGCTTAGTCGGTGTGAGGAAGATGGTAAGAAACACCTAAGACGGCTAGCAGGCACTTAAATCACACAGCTTAGAGATTTATCACCATGCTAATGCAGAGCGTGGATTTTAGCCATGCAGGAATAAGCGTGGATGTTAGCCTGTGACGAAGCTTATGTCAGCTTCTTGCTCGAATTTTCCCGTTCCACCTTAAATGGTGCCGCAGTTAGTAGTTGCCCAGGCACCAGAATGTAGCTAACTGCGGCACCATTTAAGGTGGAACGGGAAAGCCTCGTTAGAATGAGCTACTAGTTAACCTACTGAATACTGCCTTTCATGAAAGCTATCTCAAGTTTAAGAAGGATGTATTTGTAGTTTTCAGAGTGCTAATGTGTTTATTTATGTGAGAAAAAAATACTAATAAGACTCCACGAAACTATCTGACATGCTGCTTTGTTTTTGAGTTAGGACCAACTTTGAAATTGTTAATTTACAGTGGTGGTGATAGAAACCAGGGGTTGCGATATCTAAAAGACAAATGTTACTAACTTATTTTATTTACTATCCAAAACCACCAGCGAACCTACACGAGTTTTTAATAAATATGTGCAGAAAAAAGTCAAGTGCTCGAAATACACCTGTATAAATAACGTGTAAGAAACACATCAACACAAATTTTAAAGTGGAATTCCACCGATTTTCCAAAGTTTCAGCTTAATTTAGTCATTAAGATCTAAACACAGTAATTCAGACTGGGTTGATGTGAAATGGTTCATTGTGGGGGGCGGGGAAAGTACTGACTAATTTCTTTGCAGTGGTGGTGATAGGAACCGGGGGTCACAATGTCTACAACACAAATATAGCCATTTTGTGTACTATCCTAAACCAACCATGAACCTACACGTCTTCTGAGTTTTTATAAGTAATGTTGATGATGGTAAAATAGTGGTAATTCAGGAAAAGTAGGTTTTCTTTAGGGACTATTTTTCCTTGTAATGCCCTTCATGGAACTCTCCACCATGAGTGGATTTTTAAAAATATGTTTTAACTTATTTCAAAACTATAATAAAGCAGGGTCTCAGGCACCAGGTATTCATAACCTTTTCATGACAAAACTTTGGGCAGGAACTTTTAGAGTGGACGTCTGGTTCCTGTCACCACCACTGTGAACAGTTCTGACTCTTAAGTTTCTCTTGAACGAAGCATTTCACATCAAACTATTCAGGATAACTTTGTTTACATCTTAACAACTGAACTTGAATCTGGAAAAATCAGAAGAATATTCCTTTAAGAAGTCATTTTAGTCAACAAATATTTTCCCTTAAAAAATAGATATTTTTGCAATATACATAGACGTACATATGTCTAGTACTTTATAACACTTCTATTGAATGCTATAATATTTTTCATATTATATCATGTTAAATTTTCATGTGTGAATTTGAACAGATGATGTTGGTGAAAAGGTGGAAGAGGGAGATGATGACGATGGTGATGGCGATGATGATGACGACGATGACGATGATGATGATAGCACTGAGGTCAAAGAGGAGAACGGAGTGCTTGTTCTAAATGATGCCAACTTCGACACTTTCATAGAAGGCAAAGACACCGTGCTGGTGGAGTTCTATGCACCGTGGTAAGTTACGTGGTGAGCTGCTAATGGAAAGATTCTGTCGTACCCTTTTGAAGTGCTTGACTGTGCAATCAGTACTTCCTGTTCCCCTCCAGGTGCGGCCACTGCAAGCAGTTTGCCCCCGAATATGAGAAAATTGCTCAAACGCTCAAAGAGAGTGATCCACCTATCCCTGTGGCCAAAGTAGACGCTACTAAAGCTAATGCTCTTGCAAGTCGGTTTGAAGTGTCTGGCTATCCTACCATCAAAATTTTGAAAAAGGGAAAGCCGCTGGAATACGACGGAGATCGAACTGAAAAGGGTGAGCTTGTTGTAACGAGCACTGAGAGCTTTTTGTTACTGACTAAACTCAATTACCTGATGCCTTTTAAGTGAATCAGCAATGAGTAGTTTGCAGTTAGTTATAATAATGCATATTTTGCTTTCTCTTACAGTAATCATGCATGCATATTTACGTGCTTTTCTTTTTCTATAGTGAAGTGTTTTTAAAGGGCCTGTATCCTATTTTTCTGATATTTAAATTTTTTCCCTGAGGTCCACATAAAACTTTGTGTGGTTTTGTGCACCAAAAACAGACACAATGGCCATTTCCCAACTTCTGTTTAGCCCTCAGAAACAGGCTATTTTTGTTTCTGTGCCTCTAGGAGTAATATATGCAAATTAGCTCCGTTCTGAATGGCTGCCCTGTATTGTACCTCATTCAAAAAGCAGCCTGGTTTTTGTGACATCACAAAAACAGTGTGTTCAAAATCAGCCATTTCCCAGCTTAGTTTCCATATATGAATTGGGGAATGAATGGTACAGCTTGATATTTTTGTTTCTCAAATAAAAAGGGAGGAAAGTTCCGTTTTCCTGATACAGGCCCTTTAATGGCTTCTTAGTTTATTGTTTCCAGCAAGGCTGTCTATGGTTTGTTATTTTCAGTTTTCATTTTTTAAACCTCTGATTATTCAGCTGTTAATTAGCAGTGAGCCCTACTGAGCTCTAAATGCTGTTTAATAAAGCTTACTTTTTTCAGTCGTATTTAAGTGCACAGAGTGTGAAACGACGATTATTAGCTTCAGTTTGTTGTTTGTATCATTAATACTGGAAACGGCTTTAACTTTAATTTCACAGCGATCGTTGAGCGGGTTAAAGAAGTTGCAAAGCCAGACTGGAAACCTCCTCCAGAGGCCACCTTGGTGCTCACGAAGGACAACTTTGATGATGTGGTTGATAACGCTGACATCATTTTGGTGGAATTCTATGCACCCTGGTCAGTACTTTGTTTGGTTTTTATATGTTGATGTAGCACTTTTTCATAGTGTGCACAGTATATTTAAGTATTGCTCCAGTTGAATAGTGTCTGTTTATCTAAGTTGTACATTTTATATTTTAAAATAAATAGGTGTGGTCACTGTAAACGACTCGCTCCTGAATATGAAAAGGCTGCGAAGGAGCTCAGCAACCGCACTCCTCCTATACCACTGGCTAAAGTTGATGCAACTGTAGAGAATGACATCGCATCCCGGTTTAACGTAACTGGATACCCAACACTCAAAATCTTCAGGAAGGGCAAGGCCTTCGAGTACAACGGACCACGAGAGAAATTCGGTATGTCATGTTATCAACTTGTTTTAAGATTCCAGAATCGCAGTAAAAGTTTCCTCCACAAATAAAATTTCACCCCTACCTCAGATGTAGTGGATTGGTCAAGACGTGTTTAATGTCCAAAGTTTGTTTCTTTAGGTTTGCACTGGAGCTTCAAGGCTAATTTAGAAACTAACTAGTAATGGAAGTTCACAGTCCTGTGCAAAAGTTAAAACATTCCTGGTCAAATTACATGTTTTGTAGATTTTATTTATTTATTTTTTTTATTATTTTATTTATTTATTTTTTTAAAAGTAGAAATAAGCACATCTAAATCATCACACTCAAACTGTGTCAAATTGAACTTCTGTCCATTTTTGTAGTTAACAAAAACCAGTAAGTCTATTTGAGGTTAACAACTCAATGCAGTTTGAGGCATACAGTTAACACAATGCTAATATCAGCAAATATCAGACGCATGTCTTTGCAGAACAGTTGCCTGACAGGTAAGGGAGGAAATTGTGTACATTTGATTTTTGGCTGAAACATTGCTTCAAGGTTGTCACAGCTGCATGTCTGAAAATGTTTGTGTCCAGGTATTGTTGATTACATGAGTGAGCAATCTGGCCCACCATCCAAACAAGTCCAGGCCCTGAAACAAATTCAAGAATTATTGAAGGATGGCGATGATGCTTTGATAGTTGGCGTGTTCTCCAGTGAAGAGGATGCTGGCTATGAGGTCTATCAGGAGGCGTGTAAGTACCAGTGCAAGTTCTTCTGCTTTCTACATCTTTATTAAAGGATATTTTGAAACGATTAGGGTTAAAACACCTTAATAGATGATGACAGGCTGCATAAATCTTTATCACTTTTATTACTGTTGCTTATTCTGGAGTACAGAAATGCGCATGTCACTCATGGTCAAATTCAGTTTTCACTAGACCTTTGAATTGCTCCGGTTACAGCATTCTGTATAAAATAATTATGTTATAAGAGTTCAGCGACACCGTCTGATTCAGAAGTGTTCTACTGTCACTATTCACAATAACCAGTATTTCACTGAGTGCCGTTACTGGGGCCTTTTTTAAAAAAAATCTTCTTCCAGACCACCAGCATTTTTGTAAATTTCTGTTCACATGAGAATGCAGCCCACTAGAATGTTCCTCATAAAATTTTATTTTATGCCTTAAGATGAACATTGTAAGCATGTGTACTTCACAAAGTATACATGCTTTGTGCTGAAGCAGGGATTTTCTTACAGTGAATGTAATGTGTTACAGACACTGTAGGCTTTGACTTGCAGGCCATCAGGCCTCCATAATACAATATATAACACTGATTCCAAGTCTGGTTTCTATCAGTAAACATAAGCTTAAAAAGCAAAAGAGAGCCTACCATTTGCTACTGTTGGCCTGTTTATGTTACCATAATTACACCACAATCTCTGAAATGTCCACTCTGCTCTGATCAGGCAGAGAACCTGAGTTTGTCTGGCTTTTTACTACAATTGACTTCTGGATTTAAAAATCTGTTTGATTAATAAAATTATCAAGTTGCAGATGTATGAGAATTGAGGTATTTTTAAAACTTGCATCAAAGTGACCCCCCCTATTTTAAAGTACATTCCATTTGAATAAATCACAACCATGAAGTTATAATCACAATAACACACTCTCTCTCTTGTTCCACTGCTTTAATCCATATGATAATTTTATTGATTGGCAGGCAACAGTCTGAGAGATGACTACAAATTCCGGCACGTGTTCAGCAGTGAAATAGCCAAATTCCTCAAGGCCTCACCTGGACAGGTGGTCATGCTCCAGCCTGAGAAGTTCAGGTCAAAATTTGAGCCTTCATCTCAAGCCTTCACTATTAAAGTAAGTTCTCTGATGTCCTTCAGCACCAAAAAAATAGAAAACTTTTTTGGTAGTGTTGTAATTTTACATGTTTTTGTCTCAGGATTCCACTACTGCTTTAGAACTTCAAGATTTCTTCAAGAAACACACCCTGCCTTTAGTCGGACACAGAAAACCGAGCAATGATGGAAAGAGATACACGAAACGGCCGCTGGTGGTTGTGTATTATGGAGTTGACTTCAGCTTTGACTATAGAGTCGGTGAGGCTCAAGAAGTTTCTCTCCTGTAAAAATCAGTCAGTGGGTGAATGTGTTTGAACTCTGTGTGCTGTGTAGGAAACACACAATACCCATTTTCCCTGAATTTGGTAAAACAGACCTTTTCAGAGGGGAGTGTTACTGAGCAAAAAGTGCTCATGAATATTGATTGTGTTAAAAATGTCATCAGCTTGGATTAATGCATTTGTTCTGCTCATAGCGAGGCTTTTGAAAATAACTCCCTAACTAGTGCTACAGTGCCATCTGCTGGACAGAAATGCAATTGACTGCTTCTAATGTATCCTTTTTTTCTTTTTAATGCACAGCCACTCAGTTTTGGAGGAGCAAAGTTCTGGAGGTGGCGAAGGATTTCCCTGAGTACACTTTTGCTATTGCTGATGAGGAAGACTATTCTGATGAGCTGAAGAGCCTTGGTCTGAGTGAGAGCGGGGAGGAGGTTAATGTCGGTATTCTTGCCGAAGGAGGAAAAAAGTATGCAATGGAACCGGAGGAATTCGACTCGGAAGTGCTTCGGGAATTTGTTGTGGCCTTCAAAAAAGGTGAGGAATTGGCTGATTCCCTCATCCATCTGCTTCTCTATTGTGCTTTATAGATACTATGCGATTGGAAGACAAAGGCTTTAGTTACTGTTAATAAATCTTTCTGACTAGAAATAAGTGATATGATGCTCTGTCTTTATCATAAATTAGTTCTTACCTGCACACACAGATTCATATATATGTGTGTGTGTGTGTATACACATACACATTTTTTGAGGATGCTGGTGCTTTCTGATTGGCTCTGCTCTGTTAAATACAATGATATATGCTATGAAATTAAATACTTCATAAAAATAATTGTACTTAGTTTTTAAAGTGGCTCTACTGGGTCATTTTATCTGTTCCAACTCTCACATTTCAGAAAAGTGAAATATTGTAGCATGTGTTGTGTATTATGCAAATGTCTTCTGGTGTCATAATATATTTTTGCTGTAATGCCCACCTCCAGTTGAAGTTTGCACCACAGAGATATTTTATTTCACTGGCATCTGTTTGCACTGCATAGACATTGTTGGTAGGAGCCAAGATTTAAATTATCTTTGTGAAACAGGCCTAAAAGCCTTCCAAGTATTATGTTATTAGTAGGGATGTAACGATTTACAAATTTCATAATTTGATCTGATAGTGATGTTTCAATTCAATACATCTTCCAAAAAATAAGTGTTTGAAAACGTTGTTTATACTAATGTTATTTTTTCTTTTTTAATTTAATATAATTCAACATTTATAATTTTTTTTTAAAAAGTACAATTTCTGAAATAAGTTGAGCTGTGAGTCTCAATCTAACGCTCTAGTCACAAGCTAATATGTTTGCCCCAAACTAACACACTAGCCATAAGCTAATGCTAGTCATGATAGCACAATACAATATGCTGAGCTATAGTATGATGCATGTTGTTGAATTATTGGCAGATGATCATAGGTATTTTGTGTCCTCCTTAACAGGCAAACTGAAGCCCATTATCAAGTCGCAGCCTATTCCTAAGAACAAGGGACCCGTGAAGGTGGTCGTCGGCAAGACATTTGATGAAATTGTTCTGGATACGAAGAGGGACGTCCTTATTGAATTCTACGCACCGTGGTGCGGTCACTGTAAAAAACTAGAGCCTGATTATCTTGCTCTTGGGAAGAAATACAAGAATGAGAAAAACCTAGTGATCGCCAAAATGGACGCTACTGCCAATGACGTGCCTCACAACAGCTACCAAGTAGAGGGATTCCCAACAATATACTTCGCTCCGAGCAACAAGAAGCAGAGTCCCATCAAATTTGAAGGTGGTGAAAGGAATGTTGAGAGCTTGAGCAAATTCATTGAGGAACATGCAACAAAACTATCACAAAAGAAAGATGAACTCTAGACGTTTTCTTCGGAAACCATGAACTTTAATAACTTCAGATACAGGAAGTGATCTGGAGTGGCTGATGATGCAGACCATGGAAGTCTGGTTTGATTTTGTTGTAACCTTTTGTTCCTGAAAGCAGAATCTTCTTTTCCATTCCAAAGCACGCACTGTTTATTAGGTTTCTTTTCAAAATCTTTTTAAATAAAAAATGTGAAAATGGGGAATTGAATGTCTGCTTTCTCTAAGGTTATACACTTCTGCTAAAGAGACTCCAGACATACAGGATAAAATACATCAGAACTTGTCACGTTGGTCCTGTAGAGAGCCTGATCAGTCATGGCAGGTTACCTGCCTGCTTTAAAGGTATTGTCCTTCTTGAAAGAACAGTCACATCTGCATCATATTGTTGATTACAACAGACAACAAAATGCAGAATCTTTGCCTGTAGTTGGAAAAGAACATACCCAAAATGATTATAAGAGAAGACAATGGGTGGTTACTGAATTCTGTGAATACACATTTGTAATCAATGATTATGCCAGTGATTTGGATCAGCCCGCACCACTGTGCTAGTAATGAATTACTACAGATTTTTACCATACATATTCTGTAGTGCGATATTATATACCTCAGCCGTTCTTTGTGTTTTCATTCATCAGTATTTTCTCACTACAGTACCGAGCATGCATTATGCAAATATGTAAGTTTTGGAATTCCTTACAGGTAGGAGGGGACACTTTTTTCAAATATTCCTCCCAGCTTCAAAATGCATCATCAGAAAAGGGTTTTCCTGGTCTTTAAACTGGAATATTTTACTCTGGAGGCTATTTTTGTACAGCTGCTGTATTAGAGTAGACCTATTTACTGCAGATGTATTAATGGTTCGATTTATATTTTGGCTATAGTGCCACTTTAAATCACAATTACATTTGACTAAAGCAGTGGTTCCCGCCCACACTTCTCTTTCATCCTCATGTCGTGGTTTAAGTTGGGGCAAAAATGTGGACCACTGAACCAAAGAATTCATGAATGCACTCTACAAAAATATCTTACATTTTTGTTGGTTAATAGTCAACAGATTGTTCTTTTTTTAAGTTCTGGTGAAATACTTTACCATTGTATGTGGTAGTCAAACATGCTACAGATGCTTCAGACAGTGATTAAGTTGAAATGCTGAAGTGTTCCTTTAACCTGTCAAACTGGAACAACATGCTAATGGGCCCATATTGTACTTTTTTTGGCTTTGACTCTTTCCCCTGATGTCAACATGTAACATTAGTGTGGGCTGATGTACCAGACACATTCAAAATTCATTTTTACATCACCATTTTCCAATCTCTCATTATCTCTTAGAACAAAACTGGCTGTTTTGTGCTTTTAAGACTGATATATTTAAATGACCTCTGCTCTGATTAGGGTGCCCTGTGTTGCACCTTGTTCAAAAATCAGTCTGAGCCAAAACACTCCTTATACCTTCAGTGTGAATGGGTGGAGCTAAACTGCTGTAGGCTGAATAGGTGGAAATATGTAAACGTGCTGGTTTTGGTGACATCACAGAAACAGTAAATTCAAAATGGGCTGCTTTTGCAGCTTAGTTTCCATGTATGGACAGTGTAGTGAGTGCGGTAAACTTTAACAGTGTTTACATACTACATTAAACCTTTATATCTCCCTGAAATGGGCTCTGTAAGACATTTGTCCATGTCTTTATATATATATTTATACCTTTACCAATCTGGTCAACTCTTTGGCTTTCACTGTCTCCACAAATGAAACTTGCAGCAACTGAATCTATACTTTTGTCTGCGTTTGACTACAGTTTTCTAATCACATGGCTGCATGATAATGACAAAATTCCATACTGCAATTATATTGCTTGAGAATAGTGATTGATATAACTTGATATAACTTGCAATATATTAAAAACACATTGGCATCCCCTTGAGGTGGCATGACTAAATATTGGCCTGCATTATTTTGACTCAAATAATGAACTTTTGTTCTATCAATTTCATGCTTCAACCAAACACCTGCAGAAACTTACCCGGAACCAAAGCCGTCTTTTTTAGTTTTTAACTGGCCACTTTATTAGAAACACCCACCTTGTACTTCCATTCACCAGCCACTTTATTAGAAACACCCACCTTGTACTTCCATTCACCAGCCACTTTATTAGAAACACCCACCTTGTACTTCCACTCACTGGACACTTTATCAGAAACACCTAACTTGTGCCTCCAGTCACTGTCCACTTTATATAAACACCCACATTGTACTTCCACTCATTGGACACTTTATTAGAAACAACTACCTTGTACTTCCACTCACTGGCCAATTTATTAGAAACACCCACATTGTACTTCCACTAACTGGCCACTTTATTAGAAACACCTAACTTGTACTTCCACTCACTGGCCACTTTATCAGAAACACCTACATTGTATTTCTACTAACTGGCCACTTTATTAGAAACACCTACCTTGTACTTCTACTCACTGGCCACTTCATCAGAAACCCCTACTTGTACTTCCATTCACTGGCCACTTTATTAGAAACACCTACCTTGCACTTCCATTCACCGGCCACTTTATTAGAAACACCCACCTTGTACTTCAACTCACTTGCCGCTTCATTAGAAACACCCGCCTTGTACTTCTACTCACTGGCCACTTTATTAGAAACACCCCCCTTGTACTTCCATTCACTGGCCACTTTATCAGAAACACCTACTTGTACTTCCATTCACTGGCCACTTTATTAGAAACACCCACCTTGTACTTCCATTCACCGGCCACTTTATTAGAAACACCCACCTTGTATTTCTACTCACTGGCCACTTTATCAGAAACACCCGCCTTGTACTTCCACTCACTGGCCACTTTATCAGAAACACCCACCTTGTACCTCCAGTCACTGTCCCCTTTATCAGAAACACCCACATTGTACTTCCACTAACTGGCCACTTTATCAGAAACACCCACCTTGCACTTCTACTAACTGGCCACTGTATTAGAAACACCTACCTTGTACTTCCACCCACTGGACACTTAATTGGAAACATCTACATTGCATTAACACTGACCACTTTATAGAACCACCTACTTTGTACTTCCACTCACTGGTCACTATTAGAAACACCAACCTTATGCTTCCACTATCTGGCCACTATTAGGCCACGTTATACTACCCTCATTGGCCACTTTATTTAAGTGGTCAGATGACAAGAAATCATTCTGCCTGCATCAATAAGTGGTTATTGTGCTTTGACAAAGACTCCAGCAGTGTTGTGACAAATACAAAATTATACAATGGAGTAATATAAAATATTAGTTTACATTTCAACTGCATTTCATCTGAGATTTCTTTTTATTTATTGCTTTTGTGATGTCATGAAAAAAACAATGCATTTACAAATTTCTGTCTGTTTAGCCTGCAGCAGTTTAGCCCCACCCACTCACAGCTAGTGATAATGAGTATTGCCTGGATGGCTTTTTGAATGAGGCACAATATAAAGCAGCCAATCAGATCAGAGCTCATTTAAATACACCAGTCTTAAAGGCACAGAAACAAAAAAACAAGTCTGTTAAATTCTAATAGGTAAAGAAAGCTTAAAAACGGCCTAAAATAAAATATGACTCATAACACAAACGTTAAAAGTGGAAAATGTAGCATAGGGGCCCTTTAACTCATGAGTTATGATAAACACGTTGCAAAATTTATTGATTATTTATTTGTAAAAATCTATATAACAAAAAACCCATTAGGTTAAGTGTTGAAATATTTATATTATTATATTATCCCATTGAGACAATTACATTGACTGATAAAAGGGTAACTACATTATTATTATTATTGTTTCTACAGTGTTGCATTTAAATCATCTCCAGAAACACATTTCTCGGTAATCTTTTGGAGAGTAGCTATACATCTAGGCTTAAAAATAATCTTTAATGCTTATGTTTTATTCTTTTTCTTTCTTGACACACGATCTTGTTGCTGTAAAAAAAAAACCTGGGACGGCCAAGTGGAAAAGACAATTAGGAAATACAATTTCAGTTCACTTTTCCATTTCTAGTTGTATTTTCAGGTGTACTGTGGCACACTTGATGTTCCATAATTAACCAATAAGCTCAATGGACATTATAGTGTTTGTTGTATGAGGCGACGAAAGCCAGCAGTTTGCTAGAACTCTGAGTTGAGGGTTACCCCCGATTTTGGGGGTGAAAGGATGAAGGTTTTTCCTCCCTAACTAAAGCTGTTAATCCCCATAAAATGGCTTTACTGCATTTATATGGAACGCTGACGTATAGCTACGCATTAAAGTGGGCGGGTCTTGACGAACCGGTTGACCTGAGTTCAGTGAGTCCAAAGGAAAAGAGCAGAAATTCATGGATAGAAAACGACCCGATGATGTTTACATCGACGCAATACAAACAAAACTACAGTCTTTAGTTTCGAATTACACCAACCCCTTATTAGGCTCTTTATGTAAGAGAAATTTGGCATTTAATTCGTGTGAGAGCAGTGCTCACCAAAGGGAATTCGTACATTTGTGTTATTCTAATGTGCTGATATAATACTGGAATGATATTAAGAAATTACATGAATACATTAATAATACATAATTGTACTGCTATGATACACTACGATAGCATATGATGTGGTATAAACAGTACCCTTAGTTGTGGCTTAAAATTACCCTGAGAAATGTCGTTAACAGATATAAACGAGCTCAGACCGTTTATAATGCAAAATTGTGCGTTTGTTGAAAATGAAGAACAAAGAGAGTTTCTCCACATGTTCCCCACTCCGGGCCCCGCTGCAGAACCTCGTCTGATTGGACAGTCCGCGGGCACGCTATGGCCAATAGGAGTCCGCGTCTGTGAGAGGCTTGAGTGCGGTGGATTCTGATTGGGTCATGCGTTTGGCGGTCGGCGGCTGTGCAGTAGGCGGAGAGAGAACCGCGGAGAGCGGGCAGAGTTAGAGCGGGAATACCGGCGATTATTTGACAAAAAACGGACTTAATTGAACCGAAGCCCGGGTTTAATTTGAAGTCGTGAGTGTGAGGATATCGGACTGGTTCAGAGGCGGCGAAAGGAAGCGGTTAGTTTTCGTTTATCAGCCCGAGTTGCTTGTCAGCTAACCGGTATCGGTTAAAAAAAGAAAGAAAGCGCCTCCCTTCAGTGTTAGCGGAGTTAGCGTTAGCATTAGCTATAGCTTCAGCTTCATTTCTCATCTGCTCCTGATCGCTTACAATTTCTGACAGAAAACAAAAATATCACTCTGTTTAATGTGGACTGGACTCCTGCAGGTAGGCGAGCAATGTGTGAAAATGTTTGAATTAAACTGTTTTGACTTTCAGTCTTGGTGGCTATGCTAACGATGAGTGTTGATAAGTGGACCTTATGAACCTGATGGAAACATTGTGTTAATGGTAAATTAATATATTCACTAAATATGATTAAGACCAACGATTAAGCTACTTCTGCCTTTTAGCCAGTGAGATATGAATTTGAAAGTGGGTGGCGAACTGACTCAGTTTGGGGGAGACGCAGTTAAGTTATAAGTAAACCTGTCAGAAATAGCCAGACTGACACAGGCGGCTTGCGTTATCTGTTTATATATCTGCTCATTTATGACGATGTTTTAAATAATGTAGGTTTACTTATAGATGAGTTTGTTAGTATATTCTGCCCCACAGAAGTCACATTGTGTTTTTTATGTTTTATGTTTTCTGATTTACGTTTTATATTAGGAAAGTATTTAGCTACAGGAAAAAGTCAGAAAATAAGGAAGCTTATCTTTATCTTACTCGGGCGCTGCGTTTGCTCATAGAAACACGGTCGCTGTAGTTAACCCATTCTTGTCCTACAGATTTGCATTGTGGCAAATTGCCACAGAACTTGTTCTGATTGCTGTAACTAAAGCGATGGAAGTGTAGGTTATATAACTACTTAGTTATACCTTGGGTGAACATCCAACATTACCCATTCGTTTATTTTATTGCCTAGCATTTTGATACTTTTTGCTCACAATCAAATTTGTATTTTCTGTTGTTTTGTTAAACATGAGTAATCTCGTGTGACCATAAGACTTAGTATTTAGGTTTGAGTAATTAAAACAAGTCTTCAGATTTGTACACAAGCAAGCTCAGAACATGGACCAAAGAAAATGTAAAAAAAATTCAGATGTGGACAATAATGGGTTACTAAGGACTGGACCCCTGTAGGCAGGAAGATCAACATGTCAATGTGGATAAAAGTTTCACTGTCTTACAGCCGTGGCGGTTAAGCCAAGTACAGAAAGGAAGTCTCTATGGTGAATGCTAACTGGTTAGCAGGTTCAGCTAACCAGCAACATCTAATTCAAAAAAGCAGAACCGAAGCCGCTTTTTCACTGCATGGTTCGACTCTGCTCGCTTTTGGTACCAGCTACTTCGTTTTTCTACCGCAGATATAGAGACCCTCAGTGTGACTGGTCGTCATAGCGACGCCGCGTGAAACTGCCGAGACATGAAGGAGACAAAATTTTGTTCAGAAAAGGTTGATGGCAGCAGACAAAATACTGCTGAAATAAACCAGGAGAGTTTAGGAAATACTACACGGAGACGAGACGATTCTGGTTGCTCAAATGCGACGCAGGAGAGCGCGCTAGCCCGGTAGCTAACGTAACGTTATGTGTTTAGCGACTCTCTCCGACCAATCAGTAGTCTGTCTCGTCTTTACGTCACCTTTTGGTATCGACTCAGCTCGCTTGGAACCTCGACGGAGATGGTACTCGAAACAGTCCCCAGTACCAGGTTTGCCTAGTGCAAAACCAAAAGAGCGAGTCGAGCTGGTACCGTGAAGCGGAAAAGCGGCTTTAGTTAGCGTTCAAGCTAATATAGCAGCGTTGCGGTTATGTTAACTATAAATACTAAATTCAGTTCATGTATGTATTAATTTATACACATATACGTGTATATATTGAAGAGAGCTTGGCTGAACACAATTCTGAAGAACATATTGAATATTATTTGTTTTAACCACTTATCAATTTAAATTGAGTCTTTTGGTCAAACGAGACTAGATTTTTAACAAACCCAGATAAAAACAGATACGTGCATTTTATTTTATATTTAAGATACATTTCAAACGAATTGTTTGATTCCAGAATGATTTCCAAACACTAAAGTAAAAACAATTTTTTTTTTTTTTTCATACATTTCAGACGTATCTGGTAAATATACTTTCCATGTATTTCTTTTCTGTATGAGAAGCAGTAGAAGAATTAATGTTCTCCCAAGTTTCAGTAAATATACAAAATTTCATCACTTCAGAACAAACTCTGTGTCTGTTTTTTATGATACTAAATTTAGCTGTGGGATTAAAATAAATCTTAATCTGAGAAACCTTTCTTGTGTCTGTGAGATAGATATAGCTGTGCCAGAAATAACAGGGCTTGCACAGATTTGTTTGTTGATTCTCTGCATAGTGTTTTACATCGTAGAAGCTATTTTGAAGTGTTTACAGAAAGAGCTGTTACATACAGGGCAGACATAAGGAGTATCCTTATTATATGTTATGTGATCTCTGCATTTAAATTCTCTCAGATTTTTTTCCCCTTTTTTTTACGCTTTTAATTATGTACTTGTTTGTCATGCTGCAGCTGTTTTTTTTTTCATGTTGATGTTTGAGAGCGATTGTTGCTATTTTGTTAATGATTGTCTTTCTCAGAATCTCTTGCTTAATCAGTGACGTTAATGATCTTTAACAGTTAATTCCCCTTGTTTGCCCTAAGATGTGGCTTTTTTGCCATTGTGTATGGAATATGATCAGTAGACAGACAAATGAGGCTAGTTTTCTTTTAGTTATGAATACCAGAGTTGCATGATGTAAGTTACAAATGTATGAAATCAAGTGTGAAAATCACTATTATTTATTAATAACAGTTTACACTTGGCATGTTTTTTTGCCTTGTCTTGCTTTCTTTGCCCAGATTATTGCATCAGTAGTAGATGTCAGTACTTAGTAATATACACAGTGGGTTTTATATGCTCACTCTTCTGGTGTGAAATGACTGCAGTGTTTTGCTGTGGCTTCAGCGAATGACATTATTCATGTAACCTATATATTTTAGATTATTTTGCAATGTGAAATGACAACATTGCTAGCCTTCATTATTTTTGCCTTTTTCAGTCTCAGACTTACACTCCAAAATAAAATAATGCATTAAACAGTAACTCAGCAAGCAAAATTACAGTACAGACACAAAGCAAGAGTCTTAAAAAGGAACTAGGAATAATAAAATTATAGCAGGTCAAGATATAAATGTATATATGAAGAAATAAAGTGAAGCATGTAAAGGGATTATTTTGCATGTAGCATATCATTGCTCTCCAAAACATTTTTCAGGAGAAAAGGAAAAAAACTGTTTCATTGGTCTCTTCATTATTAAATGTTCCCACAATGTAAATGGAAGAAGTTTTTTAATTGTATTGAAAAATGGAGATACAAGGTTTGTTCCCGACAGCAATGATATGTAATAATACTGAATATAGTTTGGTAATTTTTAATATGGGTGGTGTACCTCAGTTAAAATGTGAAAAAAGTAAAATCTGAAAACAAAATGGACCTTTTTTGCCTTTTGTCGTGTCATATTAAAATTAAAAGACAAAACTCTTCCATGATCTACCATCAAAATGCAAGGATTGTAGTCCCACCTCTAAAACATCTTCTGATTTTTGATCTAGCTCAGAGACCCTCCCTAAAACTGTTTCACTACCTCATGGTACAAAAGAACATGTCTTATGATTTCCCGTTCACATTGGCTTATAAAGAAGAGTAGCTTATGCAATCACGGCTGTTTTGAGAAAATGGCATTACAAAAATAGGGAACAGATGAACACGCTGTACAAATATTATTTTCATTAATATTTGTACAGCTTGTTCTGGTGCATAAATACTCATTTTGGATTGTGCGTTGCATAAGAAACTCAGTGTGTGACTTTTTAATTTGGCACCCAACTTATCCTGTTTGTCTGACTCAATGTTTTTTATTCAGCAGTGATGTTAGACATGCAGATGGCTATTTCTATTTTTACTGTGACATTTTTCTGTGTTCAATTTCCACTTTTTTTTTTTTTTGTAAAACGTTTGGATGCAAAGCGTTGATGAACTTGCCCAGAAAGCTGTACTTGCGAATTTGTCAGTGTTCTTTGACGCTTAGTCAGCGTCTGCCGCGTTTCCTTTCCAAAGATATGGAGTTCTACAATATGGCAGAAATGGACAGCTTGCTGTTAGGGAAGGTATACGGACATAAAAGTGAATATTGGTGTTGTTGTCCTAGGATATGGATTTATTAAATTGTGGATACTGTAATAAGCTTGAAAATGATGCATGTGCATAAAGTTGGAACACCTCAGGCCATGTTTTGTCAATTTTCCCAAGTGAAAAATAAGTTAATAAAATCTCTACCAGTTTAAATAATTACATGTTTCTGCACATTGTAATGCACAATTTCTATTTGTTTCTATTTGTTTGGGGGGGGAATTATAAACTCTTGTGATGGCCACATTTTGTTTTATTTTTTCCCACATGTAAAATTCAGCAAATAAACAGTAATTGTGCATTAAAATGTGCAGAAGTGTGTTCTCTTTAGAGAATAACTTAATTTTCATTTAGAAAAATCAACAAAACATGTAGTTTGCCCAAGGGTGTTTAAACTTTTGCTATGACTGTAGGTCTACAGGTCATTAAGCTACTGTGTATGCCATGTGTTTTTTATAGGGAAACCATGGGCTTGACTGGGAAGAAATTGGAGAAAGGCCCAGTGTGCTGGAGGAAGAGAGTGAAGTCTGTGTACATGCGGCTCCGACAGCTGAAACGCTTCAGGAGAGCTGATGAGGTGAAGGTAAGCATGAAGGACAATATGCAGTGAATTTACACTGGTGGCGTGAGTAAAAGCTGTACACCTGTGGTTTCTTTTAGTATATCTTGTAACCCGATAAAGTGGAGTGTTTCTCCATAGCTTTTGGTTTTACACTAATTGCCAGTGGAAAAACATTAAGGCTGGCTTTATCCAGTGGAACTTTTATGTTACTAGTTGCATGTTGAGTTGCCCACAACTTAATTTCCGTGCAATATTTACAGTTAGACGAAGCAAATTAAAAACAAAGTTGCATGCAACGCATTTGATTGCTCAACTAGCCAAATTAGCAGCTTATATTATTTTAGATACTCTATCAGCTGCAAGGTTTAATAAAACATATTTGCAGTTCATATTCATATATTTTTTCAATTGCTGTTTTTTCTTCTATATCCATATATCTGTCATTTATCTATCTTGCCATCTATGATTCTTTACTGTGTCTTTGACTTTTAATGTTTAAGTAGATATGGTTCCCCTGTCTAAGGCCTAATTCACACAGGCTACATTTGTGCAGCATGAGCGATGTGGCAGCATGACTGCTACAGCTCTCACATGCTGGCCTTTCATACATACAGCATTTGTGCTGTGGAGCAGCGAGGAACTTAAACAGACCTTCTGTTTCAGGCCTAATCAGGCAATCTGCTCAATGTATAAACGGGCATGGTATATTTGTTAACCCACAGCTACATTCTGACTTGTGATTATGTTTCAAGCCTGGTTGACCAGCTGGGAAATTTGTTTGCAGCATGGAATGTTTAACTAGTATTTAGATTGATAACCTTAATAAATTAATGAAAGAATTCACGTTTTTAATGTTTTTATTCAGGTGTCTGTGTAATTTTAATTGCTCATGGGGAAAAAAAATGGCTCCTGGTCTATTCTCTAAATACAGCACCGCTTCAGCGCCACGTCTGGGACGCTGTGCTGCTTCGCTTGCACAGCCTGTGTGAAAGCACTGACCTGTTAACAAACTGAAATCAACCGAAATGAAAATCAAGCCATTAAGTAGTATGTGTGAATCAGTAGCAATTCATTCTGTCCTAGAAGCACAAGAACTTCATCGCGGTGCACGTCTCACTTTCTTCTTCTATAATCATTTTCATCTTTTGGATCCCAAATGAATCTGAATTCCATGTAAAATTAGTTAAGTGAGGAGAAAATGAAAACAGCAGGCTAACTAAGAATAAATGGTGGTACAAGCATTAACGGCTCTTAACATTAGCTGGCTATTTAACCAGCTGAAAAACCTGAAGGGAACAGGGTTTTGAACCGTCCAGTAAACCATGTTTTTATCATCTGTTTGTGAAATTAGTCACTTGAAATGGTGTCCTTTTAATATGATCCTGTGATGTGTTATTGCTGTTTTTGATTGGCTGTTTCAGCCATGTTGCAAGGTCAGTACTGTTTTGCTGTGTTGAGGTTTTGGACTGTGAACGTCTGAAGTAGATGGCTGTTTCAGTCTGCTTTGTTTAATTATTAAAGGGAAAATATTTGAATTTGAGTAGAAATAGTTCTTTTGGAAACACCAAAGAGCCATGTAAGATTTATTTGTGTTGTTTATTTGTTGTCCTTTTATTGTTAGTTTGTGTTTTAACATAATGCAGAATGCTAAATATTAAACATTAATAATTGGAAAAACTAATTACTGCACTTTTCCTTTGCCCAATTAATTGAAATCATAAGAAGCTGATTTATATGTTTATTTATTTATTCATGCATCTGTGGTGGCCTTAAAAAACAGTAGCCAGGTGACAACAAGCTGCTGAAGCTTGCATAAATTATTCTAGGAATGAAGTGGACAAAACTAGAGATACACTAACATTACAGGGCCGATGGTGATGGCAGATATTTTTCATGTACACTCGCCGCCCACTTCATTAAGTACACCTCCTTGTTTCTACACTCACTGTCCATTTTATCAGCTCCACTTACCAAATAGTAACTTTGTAGTTTTACCACTTTGTAGTTTTACAATTACAGACTCTAGTCCATCTGTTTCTCTGCATACTTTGTTAGCCGCCTTTTACTCTGGTCATCAATGGTCAGGACCCTCACAGAGCAAGTACTATTTGGGTGGTGGATCATTCTCAGCACTGCAGTAACACTGACATGGTGGTGACGTGTTAGTGTGTGTTGTGCTGGTACGAGTGGATCAGACACAGCAGTGCTGCTGGAGTTTTTAAACACTTCAGTGACACTGCTGGACTGAGAACAGTCCACCAACCAAAAATATCCAGGCAACAGCTTCCTGCGACTAGAGGATGATTAACACAAACTGCGCATTAACAGATGAGCCCTTGTCTCTGACTTTATATCCACATAATGGACCAACAAGGTAGGAATGTCTAATAGAGTGGACACAGTGTTTGAAAACTCCAGCAGCCCTGCTGGGTCTGATTTAACTGGACCAGAGCAAAACACACTAACACACAGCCACCACGTCAGTGTCACTGCAGTGCTGAGAATGATCCACCACCCAAATAGTACCCGCTCTGTGAGGGTCCTGAACAATGAAGAACAGGGTAAAAGGGGGCTAATAAAGTATGTAGAGTAACAGATGGACTAAAGTCTGTAATTGTAGAACTGCAAAGTGCACCTTTACAATAAATGGAGCTGATAAAATGTGAAGTGTGGATACAACGTGGTGTGCTTAATGAAATGGCCGGTCTCTGTATATATCTGCTAATGGTGATACAGAAACGTTTTATGAAATGTCCAAGTTGTATCTACCTGAAATTAGCACCAGAAAAATGGATATCTATTTGTAGAGGGTTACAAAAGCAGCAAAGTTTATAAAACCAAGACATTTTAGTACATTGAACCTTCTGCTCTTTAAATATCATTCAGATCTAACCATCTGCCGTATGTTGACGGTTTGTTTATTTTATTTTTTCTTTTTTAAATTGTCTGCCAACACTAATATGACTGATATTGTCATACAGTTTGTGAAAATGAATCACTTTCATTGTGTCACTGTAATAATATTGGTTGATGTGTGCAAAGAATACAAAACAGTTGATTGTATCTTTTTATTCATCTCCACAGAGTATGTTCAACTCCAACAGACAGAAGATTCTGGAGCGCACTGACATTCTGAATCAAGAGTGGAAACTGCGGCGAATTCAGCCTGTGCATATCATGACACCTGTGAGCTCCTTACGTGGAACAAGAGAGGTGAGCTCACTTGCCTCATAATTCAGCTCCTGTAGCTACAGACTCAGATAAAGCTACATTTCCACATGGAAACATTCATGCCAGACTGTTTGTTTTTCCCAGCCATAGTTTGTTAGCGTTTCAGTACTTAACACTTGGCTTGATGATTGAGTAGTTTATGGAAAAAATGCCAGTGATTAAAATGTTACATGACTCAAGTTTGCAGAGCTTTTTAAAACGCAACACAACTCTTGTTTTACAGTGCACGGTTGACAGTGGCTTTCGCAGAGTTCTCCAAACAAGTCATTCCCCTCAAAACACTGAATGCTGTAGCATCTGTACCTGTGATGTATTCATGGTCCCCACTCCAGCAAAATTTTATGGTAAGGTAAAATATATTCAGAAATAGGACTGGCAGTGTTATTCAGTTAAACTAAAAATAGAGTAAAATGTACCTTCTTGATGAATCAGTAGTGATTAGTTGTCAGAATATTTTGAATTCTTCTACTGCTCTCTCTTAGAATAAGAAACAGATTAGATGCACACTTCGCCACTTAGTGTTATTTGTATTAATATTTTGATGTCTGCAAAACTAAATTAATGATTTCCAAAGTCATGCCGACTTGCTTTACAAATAAAAAAAAAGAAGTGTTTTCCATTGTTATAGCAGACACACCCTGGAGTTCAGCTTTTAGAAAACCATGAAGTATTATATTTTAATGGAATTTTTTTTTTTTTTTTGAAGAATTCAACTTATTTGAACTTCTGGGGCACTTTAATGCAGCATTTTCCATACAGCTTTTCTTCTTCAGACACATTTCCTCAGAAGATACAGCAGAGAATTTACACTAACATTGCCAGACAGCCTTTAAATGTTTTAACAGTAGAAATGTATAAAACGGGCTCCTGAGTGGTGCAGCCGTCCAGATCATCAGGAGATCATGAGTTCAATCCCTGGTGATACTACAGCCGTCCGTGGCCGGGAGTCTGTTAGCTGATGTAACAGAACTGACGGTTCGTGTTTTCCTCAGAGCGCATTCAGCGGTCTGGTGACGTTGCGGTAGCAGCAGTTCAAAAAGATGTGATGGTGCTTCACAGGTCTCGGAGGAAGCCTGTGCTAATTTTCGCCCTCCTAGCAGTGGTGGTATCATGTGATTCTGATCGTTGGTACAGAAACTCAGAGAAAAATGATTTATGAGTTGGTTCTTTAGCTTCATATACCAAACCTGAAGTACGAAACCTGGGTGTGATCTTAGACTCTGAGCTCTGTTTTATCCTGCATGTAAACACCGTCACTAAAGTAGCTTTTTATCATTGGAGAAATATTGCCAAAGTTCGGCCTTTTCTCTCTCAGAGTGATGCAGAGAAACTTGCATTTGTTACAATCAGACTTGACTACTGTAATGCTCTTCTTACTGGACTTCCTAACAAAACTATACATCCCTTACAACTCGTACAAAATGCAGCAGCGCGCGTCCTAACAAAAACAAAAAAGAGAGATCACATCACTCCTGTTTTAAAAGAACTGCACTGGCTACCTGTATCATTCATGATGGATTTTAAAGTTCTGCTGCTAGTTTTTAAAGCTCAAAACGAACTAGCATCTGCTTACATCACAGAGTATCTGTCTGTTTATGTTCCCGCACGTAATCAAAGGTCTGCAGATAGTGGCCTTCCACAAATACCCTCTGTAAAATACAGAAAACATGGAGAGGCCTCTTTATGCTTCTAAACTGTGGAACTCAGTTTCACCTTTTATTAGACAGTCTAGCTCAGTGCTCACTTTTAAGAAGCATCTAAAAATGTTTGTCTTTAACTTAGCATTCAATCAAAACTCTACGTCTCATGGTATTTATCTTCAAATTTGATCTTTTTTCATTTTCTTCTGATTCTAAATAAATACTAATGATTTAATATATAACTGTTTTATCACCTGTCTGTTAAGCGCTTTGAGCTGCCAGCAGCATGAAAAGTGCTATATAAATAAAAATTATTATTATTATTATTATATTATTGGGGGAGTCCTAACTGGTGGGCTGAATTGGATATGTCTAAAGTGGAGAGTAGATAAAGGGGGGGTGGATAAAACATTGCATACATATTGTTTAATATTATTTGTTACCTTTTTCTGATCCTGTTTCCGAGCTGTAGACAGGTATCAGAGAAACTTTCTTTGCTTCTAAATGTTACAGGCCTAAAGCTAACTTAGCTGCTGTATGTTAACACCTAGTCATTTAGCTTTTTTCTTGCAGTGAATTCACACTGAACCAAGCTGAAGTTCCAAACCATGTCAGCATTTCTTTTAGGGTTACATGCACTCAAGTTAATCTTAACGTAGCTTCTTAAACTTTTTAAATCTCTGTCGGTTTTTCAACACGCCGATTATCACCTTTTAAGCATCACTGTCGGGTTACTTGTCCATCATCGACAATATCAGATTACATTGCCTTGTCGCCCAGACCTAGTATGAAGTCTTTTAAGGCTATGCATAGTTTGTTGTTTATTTAAGTAACATTTTTATTCTTTTGCCTTTTTAAAACTGATTACTCGATTAATTGTCAAATTAATCTGCAGCTTATTCGATTACTAATATGATCAACGGTGACGGTGCTATTTTGCTTAAGTGATTTAGAATTACTTACTGAAGATTTCTATTTCCCTGGATTAATCTTTATTCATTATTATAGGTTGAAGATGAGACGGTTTTACACAACATCCCTTACATGGGAGATGAAATCCTAGACCAAGATGGCACCTTTATTGAAGAGCTTATTAAGAACTATGATGGAAAAGTCCATGGAGATAGAGGTTTGTGCAAGAAGGATTTCTTACAAGCAAGATTTTTCTAAATGTGGGGAGAAATGTGTTCAACATAAAAACAGTGCTGGTTGGTATACTAACTGTGCCAGGACACCATGATGCTAACACTGTGTTATAGATTTTCTCTGTTGAAGGGGAATTCCGCTAATTTTTTTCTAAATTTCTGCATAATTCATAATAATCACTGAAATGTAAACAAAGTCATTCAGAGTGGTTTGATATGAAATGGTTAAATGTAGAGAGACATGCCAACTCCATTTCTTTGAAATGGTGATGATGGGACCAGGGTTGCCATGTCTGCAACACCAATATAGCCATTTTATTTACTATCCAAAACCACCAGTGAACCTACACGTGTCTTCTGAGTTTTTACAGTGATGTGCCAAAAGTCATGGGACAGGAAGTAGAATTGTGTAGGACCCTCTCTAGCCCAGTGAAGTGCAGCAACTCAACGTGGCATTGATTTCACAAGTGGACAAGATGTGTAGAGAAATGTTGAACCATGCTGTCTGGATAGCCACCCACAGCTCCATGGTATTTGTAGGTGTAGGATCTCAGGTGTGAGTGGATCTTCCCATCACATCCCATAAATGCTTGATTGGGCTCATGTCAGGAGAACGTGCAAGCCACACCATTTGTCGGAACTCCCCAGAGTGCTCCTCAAACCAATTATGGACAACTTGTGCCCGATGGCACGGTGCATTATCCTGCTGGAATGTCCCATCATTGTGGGGGTACATGAAGTCCATGAAGAGCTGCAAAGGGTCACCAAGTAGTAACACGCAGCGGTCACAGGTCAGTGATGTGTTTAGGGGGACCAGTGGACCCAACCCATGCCGTGAGAACACACCCCACACCACTGTGGAACCACCACCATCCAGAATGCTGCACTAACCTGCGGGTTATGCGTGTGGGGCCTCCTGCATTAAATGTGGAAGTGATTTCTGCCAGACTCGCCGCTGGTCACGATCTTTAAGCACCCATGGGCAGCCAAACTTTTGTAAAACTATGTCTCAGACATCAGGCAGTGTATTCATAACCTTTTCAATAACTTTCTGTGAGGGAGCTTTTAGAGGCATTACACTCGTGTTGTCTGGTTCCTCTCACCTCCGTAATAAACAATTCTGACTCGGTAAGTTTCACGTCACACATTTTACATCAAATCAATTTCAATGACTGTTTACATGTTAATGATTTGAACCATGTGGAAATGTGGAAAAATTGGTGGAATTGGTTGAATTTAAAGGGGGATGTTCATTGTTATATTCATATTAAGATTCTGTTGCATAAAGTAGCGACGTCCCTGTTCTCTTTGTTTCTAGTTGTTTTATTTAGTTTTCTTTTGTTGTGTTTAAACATGCCAAAGACCTGACAGTTAACTGCAGCCTATGCTGTTTGCTGGATGCTTGAGCAGTTCAAGATACATGAAAAAAATCTAATAAAATCGTAAATTTCCTTTCTGGAAGTCTCGTTTCTAGAATCCTGTGTAAGGTTCAACTTGGTGTAATTCAGAACAAAGCAGACCACTCAAAACAAGCTTGATGCATACAGCTCATAGTAAAAAATATACAATGATTGTGAATACTATGAAATAAACTTACCTTAGTTTGTAGTCCTGAGATTGTACTTTGAGACTTAAGACAAAATCCGTAATTTTTTTTAAAATTTCATTTCTTTATAGAATGTGGCTTTATAAATGACGAGATTTTCGTGGAGTTGGTGAATGCGCTGAACCAGTACAGTGACAATGAAGATGATGATGATGAAGAGGATCAGCATGATTATAAACTGGAAAAGATGGACGTCTGTGATGGGAAGGATGATGCTGATGATTCTCGCAAGGACCTTCTCAACTCCGAGAGTAAGGATGGCCATCCACTATTTGGTTTGAATTGTTGTACACCATAATACATCATCTAAATCTTGATAGTTTTGATTTTGCAGTTCCAAGTTTCAAATGTCACTCAGTTGAATGTAAGGGGTGTAATGATTACAACTTAGGTTCATATTGAATTAGCCCTGATTTTCATGTCTTTTTGTTTGTTTGTTTTTTCTTTTGCTTCTTAATTCCCTTACTTCCCAAAGGGTAATCCTTAACATGTATTGAATGAGATGCTTGTCATGCCTCTGCAATCTATCTTTTAAAATTAACAAATATTGGGTTGATATATTTTAAACACAGTCGCTAAGTCAGCAGAGTTATTTAGAGCAGCCATGATTGTTCACATAGCATAACATTATTAGCCACAGTGGAGAAGTGTTTGCACTTTGCGCTGTAACTTTTTCCTCATATCAGATAATCCTCTTTAACAATAAAGCTTTTCAACATTAAAAGAAAACGGTAATAAAAATCGTGGTCACATCTCTTTTAGTGCTCTTTTTTTTTAAAATGCTATGTGCACTCAGCCTGAATGTTGGCTGTAGGCTGTGTTTTGTTTTTTGACTGATCTCAAACCTGATCTCTAAGCCTGTGTTCTGGTGTTGTCGTTACAGGTCGAGGCAACGACTGCTCTAAAAAGTTCCCCTCCGATAAAATCTTTGAAGCCATCTCCTCCATGTTCCCTGATAAAGGTTCACCAGAAGAACTCAAAGAGAAGTAAGTCCTGAAAGTGTCTCACACACAGTTCGTTATGAAGTGGTTTCTTATTAACTGGTTATGGTGTCCTGAGGCATCACAGTAAACCTGCTGCAGTCGTGTTCCACATTGTAGTTTGGAGTTTACTGAAGCGAAACTGAAGTGTGATGTGGACAAACCAACCAAAAACATTGCCCTTAGATTTACATCTTTTAGCAGAGGCTTTTATTTGTGTAGTATGCGAGCATTCAAAACGGGCCTCCTTATGTATTGAACATATCGTCGCTGTCGTATCTCCACTTTTGCCTTATTTTAACTTATTTGCATAATCTGTAGTTACCCTTTGCATTGTGTTAAATTTACATGGCAATTTTCGAAGCAATACTTTGAAGAAATATTGTTACGTTAACTTTCATTACACATGAAGAATTTTTTCTTCTTGACACGACTGTACGTCTCTCTTAATGGTATTTTATAGTGATGTTTGTTATCTCTAATAAAATGTCAGTAAAATATCAATACTTTGGCCTCTGTCAGTGCTATTTGAATAGTAAATAGTATTTTGGTCTATTTTGTCATGTAGTACAACGTTCACCTGTGCAATAATCACTTTTCTAAATGTTAGGTGAGAATTGGCTTTTTCTAGCTGTGATGTCAGTGTGCCTGCTGTAATGATGAAGTCTCTGATCCTTATGTTAAATATTTTACACTATTATAAAATGTACTGGAGTGGGCTAAGACTTGAGTAAAGTGAATAGGTGAAATATGAAGGAATACATATAAGGAATAGCAGTAACACTTGCTCCTTAATCAATGTGTAGGTATAAAGAGCTCACTGAGCAGCAGCTCCCTGGAGCGCTCCCCCCTGAGTGCACCCCCAACATTGACGGACCAAACGCTAAGTCAGTACAGAGAGAACAGAGCCTGCACTCTTTCCACACCCTCTTCTGTAGGCGCTGCTTCAAATATGACTGCTTCCTTCACCGTGAGTCTGAGCTACATTCCACATTTTCTTGAGGTGTTTGGGGAAGTTGTTTAAGAAAGGCTTTTATGTCATTGTGATTGTTTGTTACAGCTTTCCATGCAACTCCAAATACATACAAACGAAAGAATATGGAGAACATGGTGGACAGCAAACCGTGTGGCATTGACTGCTATATGTATCTGGTTCAGGTAAGCAGACTTTCACTTTCTTGCCTTGTAGTTCGCAATTTTTTATTATATATTTTTTTTGGTCTTTCCCATGAAAATTTATCATATTGGAGATGCAAGATTTTGTTCTGACAACGATATTGTTGTAAATACCCTGTACATTTAGTTTGCATGTACCCCGTATGTTTAGTTTACCCCTTTATGGCTGTGCATTGTATTTATTTCTTTTTCTTCCATTTACATAAGTGCCAGTTTCAGTTTTGGACAAATCCCTTGTGTGCAGATGTACTTGGCCAGTGAATTGATTCTGATCTCTGTCCTTTTTATTAAGGACTGAAGGTCTTGTATCAAATAGTAATGTACTGAGTGGATTATTTATATCGTTTCTCAGGATGGCATAGTGAGAGAGTACCCGGTGGGTGTCGTAGCCGAGCGAGCGAAGACTCCGCTGAAGCGTTCAGCCGGAAGACGCAGGGGCAGGATCCCCAACAGCAGCAGTAGGCCGAGCACTCCCACCGTCAGCGCTGAGACGAAAGACACAGACAGCGACAGAGAGGGAGGCACAGACAGCAACGACTGCAATGACAAAGACGACGATGACAAGAAGGATGAAACTACCAGCTCCTCAGGTACAAAGAGGAATGTTGGTTGTTCTGATTAAATGTCTCATTGTAGTGTGGCCGTACAGTTCAGATGTTCATGTTTTCTCTATATTTTAGACAAACCTTTTTGAGAATGCAAATTCTGGCCAATTTTTTTTTTGCCTGTTATCTGACCGTAATTAGTTATTAGTTGACAATTAATTGTAATTGTCAGGCCTGAAATAAAAAAAAAAACATAGTTCTAGTTTTGAAATCTGATTGGATGAGCCATGTCTGAAGCTGTTGGATAATACTTGATATATGCACACTTATGAGTGCACACATAAACTGTGTTCTCTATTAATACATGGAGATTAAAAGTTTTCCTTGGAATGTAGTAGTGATAGGTGGGGTCAGGCATCAGCGTGTACAAAGCTGGATTAAACATATCCTATGGTTGAACCTGGCTAAAACAAAGGGGCTGACTATATGTACATGATTACACGGACAGAAAGTCGATGAAATGACTGGAATATGAACTACTCATATTTCTATGTTCTGAAGTTCTATTTATTTCTTATTACTACACATTTAAAATGGTGGTTCTTCAAGCGTTCTTTAAATGGTTCTATATAGCACCAAAAAGGGTTCTTCTATTCTTACGATGCCAGGCTTGTTACAATAGAAGTGCCCTTTTTGGTGCTATATAGAGCCCTTTTCCAAAAGGTTCTATATAGAACCATCTATAGCACATTTTCCATCAATCTGAAGAACCCTTTCACAATGCAAAGAACCCTGTAATCATGCAAATGGTTCTTTGAGTGTTCATAGTACTAAATAGAACCATTTTCCTTACTAAATAACCCTTGAAGAAGCATCATTTTTAAGTGTGTAGCCAAAGTTAAAACAAAGTGGTCCTGAACACCACTATTTTTGCTGCTTGCTTCATTTTTTTTTTTTTTAGTAGCCTGTCTAGCAAAACTAATTGATTGTTGCACCATCATGTACAATTCAACAACATACTTAAACTTAAACCCTTATATTCACATAGGGACTGTTGTTTATTGGAAGTTATTTATTTATTTTTTTTTAACCAGTAGCTTTGGTCAAACAGTTGTTTAATAGTTGGTTAATGATTAATTGATTAATCATTTGCATCCTTTTTTTGAGGAGTGCTTATTCTAAAAAAAGTTTATACCAACAATCACCACTGTGCTGATAATAATACCTTGTGAGTGGATGTTGGATGGGGTAGAGTGGTTCTAAAAGATTGTGCAGTAGATGGGCTCAATGAGTGTAGGCACAATATGGGTATTCCTAATAAACTGGCAACCATGTGTACATTTAAGATCATATTGTCTGGCCTGTTCCTCGACTCTCTTTGTTAATGCTTATGTATATGTGCATGTTTTTCTGTAGAGGCGAATTCACGCTGCCAGACTCCAGTGAAGCTGAAGGTGAGCTCAGAACCTCCTGAGAATGTAGATTGGAGTGGAGCTGAGGCTTCTCTCTTTAGAGTGCTTATCGGCACTTACTACGACAACTTCTGCGCCATCGCTCGACTCATTGGCACAAAGACCTGCAGACAGGTAAAGTCTCCTGTGGGCTTAAATTGGCCCTTTTAAAAAATTTGTTTTGTAATATTTCGAAAAATAAATATTGCCCAACCCCACTCTAAAATAGCCATATTTAACATGCTGGTGAAATGTGTTATTTGTTTGCCAGGTGTATGAATTCAGGGTAAAGGAATCCAGCATCATTGCACGTGCCCCTGCTGAAGATGAAGACACACCTCCAAGGAAGAAGAAGCGGAAACATAGGCATGTTCCCAAAATGATATTTGCTGCAGTGGCTTTGTGTTTATTTGTTCATTCATAGGAGTTCTCAATGAAAACCACTCTATTTTTGTGTCGTAGATTGTGGGCCACTCACTGTCGAAAGATTCAGCTGAAGAAAGGTTTGTAGCATTTAGTGTGAGGGAACTGTCCTTGTTGATTTTTGTGCTTTGATTTTTTTTTTCCCCCTTTTAGTTTATATATAAAATATACACTCACTGAGTACCCCATTAGGGACACCTCCTTGTATCTTCACTGTCCATTTTGTCAGCTTCACTTTCCGTATAGATGCACTTTAGTCCTACAGTTATAGACTGTAGTCCATCTGTTTCTCTGCATACTTTGTTAGCCCTCTTTCACCCTGTTCTTCAGTTGTCAGGACCCCTACAGTGCTGCTGGAGTTTTTTAACACACATGTCCACTCACTGTCGTCTGTATTAGACACACCTACTTTGTTGGTCCACCTTGTAGATGTAAAGTCAGAGACAGTAGTTGCTGCATAGTTTTTGTGAGTCATCCTCTGGTCCTTCATGTGTGGTCACAGGATGCTATTGGCTATTTTAGTTTTTTGTTTTTTTATTTTTTTTAATTTTTAATTTTTATTTTTTTTTGTGGTTGATGGACTATATTTAGTCCAGCAGTTACACTGAGGTGTTTAAAAACACCAGCAGCACTGCTGTGTCTGATCCACTCGTACCAGCGCAACACACACTAACACCACCACCACAACCATATCAGTGTCACTGTAGTGCTGAGAATGATCCACCACCCAAATACCTGCTCTGTGGTGGTCCTATGGGGGTCCTGATCATTGTTGGCTTCCTTTCACACTGTTTTTCAAAGTGTGCAGAGGAACAGGTGGACTACAGTCTGTAATTGTAGAGCTACAAAAAGCACCTATATAGTAAGTGAAGCTGATATAATGGACCATTGTTTTAATTTACTTTGAGCGATGTAATCGAATATCGTAGATAATTGACAAGTAACTCAATGACTATGTTTAATGTAAATGCTTAACATAATCGATAATCTTTTTTTTTTATTATTATTTATTTTTTTTTACTTTTGTGTATTTGTACCCTATAATATAAACCAGCTGGAAACACTGAGAACAGTCAGAATCAATAATTATGTATGCATAGAAATGAATGATGGAATATGATGGATAAGCCAAAATCTTTATATCTTTCTGCTGTTAACACAGATGGCTCCTCCAATCACGTGTACAACTACCAACCATGTGACCACCCTAGGCAGCCATGTGACAGCTCCTGCCCTTGCGTCACTGCCCAAAACTTCTGTGAGAAATTCTGTCAGTGCAGCTCAGAGTGTAAGTATACTCACTCTCTCACACACACTCAGTTGTCAGGTGATTTCCATTAGGTTGTTGAATTGTATATATGGAAAAATGCTTGCATGAATCTAGGGTTTTAAATCGATTTTCATTTTTGAATATTATCCGAAAAAGCTAAATACATGTTTCAACTCAAAGATCAACTCGTGTCCAATTTAATCTGTAGGTTATAATGAGATTCTACTAAATATTACATTCTAAATAGTAAATTCATGCAGTTATTAGTACATTTGACTGCAGTGTCTGCATTTCACTTTCTGTTGTAAGTGTTATGTCCGAGCTTAGGTCACTTTGCATGCTTTCCTTTTGGCCCACAGTGAGTTTAGTGGGTACCAGCCAAAATATTCTTTCAGTACGCTGTAACTTGTCTGTAAAATGCAGCCAAATGAAAAACTACCAGGTTGCTGTTGCAGACTCTTTTACCAGTTTACTCTATATGTTCTGTGTAACTCAATTATATTCTGCTCCTAATTGGTGAGGTCAGATGATGTCATTCCATGTTTCTTTTGGGTGTTTAGAATTTGATCCATATAATTGCTTCATATGATTTTTTTAATGCTCATAATTTCCTCTATTACTTTGAAGCTTTATCATCTGTCTTTAAAGCACTTTGAGCTGCCAGTGGTATGAAAAGTACACTATAAATAGTTATTGTTGTTTTTATTTATTTATTTATTTATTTTGCAGTAACATTCCATTGTGCTGTGTCTCCTGTGTGCAGGTCAGAACCGGTTCCCAGGCTGCCGCTGTAAGGCCCAGTGCAACACCAAGCAGTGTCCGTGTTATCTGGCTGTCCGTGAGTGTGACCCAGACCTGTGCCTCACCTGTGGAGCTGCAGATCACTGGGACAGCAAAAATGTCTCCTGCAAGAACTGCAGCATCCAGAGAGGAGCAAAGAAGGTCAGTTGTTCAGCCATAGTACTCACATGTAAGCTCTGTTGCTTGTTGAGCAAGTAGATTCTGGATATTAAACTGAACCTTGTATGTCTCTAATGTTATCGTTACTTGACCTTCTCAATCTTTTTGTTTAGCACTTACTGTTGGCACCATCTGATGTAGCAGGATGGGGCATTTTTATTAAAGAGCCAGTTCAGAAGAATGAGTTCATCTCTGAATACTGTGGAGAGGTAAGGTTATTGTTATTTACCCCTTTATACTTCTGAGCTGAATCAAGAGTCCTTTTAAAAAAAAAAATCATGAGTGGGTGTGGGGTTGGCCCAAATTTCAACTTCAGCGGTTGTCATTTGGGGTGTGCAGTGTGAGATGTGAGGTGAATAGCAATGCCCGAGTAACTGCCCAAATGCGCTCCAATTGAGCTGCTGGACGATCAGGAGGATTTTTTATTTATTTATTTTTTTCCCCATGAGAAATTTTGGTTGCTTGTTTTGCAGTTTGAGCAGATCTCACAAAGTGAGTTTTCGAAGTCGCACACAAACTACACACAATCATGACAACTGCTCCTGCACAAGTGAACACATTATGCTATATATGCCGACTGCTTTATTTGACTGAATCGAATTGCAAGGTATAAATTGCAGTACATTTTCTCCCCTCCTCTTAAATTATCTCCGTAAAAAAGGCTGTAGAGAGATTGTGCACATTGTGGCAAAAGTTAGCAAAACTATAACACAGCTTCTCCTTGCTTTTGCTCAGTTTGTAATATCCCAGTGTATACCTGGCTTTATGTATTGAAATTTGGTATTGAATAACACAATTTTTAGATTTATGGTATTGAAGTCACTTTTTCAGTGCCATTAAAGTATTACATTTTGATACCAACTCAGCCTTAGTCCAAAAGGCACCTGTTTTTTTAACAAGACTTTCCCAACTTTCTGAAATTACTGTCACAGAACATAAACCAGTGGCTGCAGAGCGGTTTTAAAAGGTCATTCACTTGATGTGCTTCAGTGTCCCCTTCATAGACATGATGACTTTGTGGTGTCATTAGATTTGAACCAAGGAGTGTATCTAAATGTCCCTTGTTTTTCCATTATAGTGTTTAAGTAACTTTATTTCCCTCTTTAGATAATCTCCCAGGATGAGGCTGACCGCAGAGGCAAGGTCTATGACAAATACATGTGCAGTTTCTTGTTTAATCTGAACAATGGTAAGTCTTCTGTCCCTTCATGTCTTCAGACTTTATGCTCATCTAAGTGTAATGAAAAAAAAAAAAATGTGTTTTTAATGTAACACTTCTCTTCAACATAGATTTTGTTGTTGATGCAACAAGGAAAGGCAACAAGATCAGGTTTGCCAACCACTCTGTGAACCCCAACTGCTATGCAAAAGGTAAGAAACCCAAATTGCTGCTCACTAATACAATAAATAGAAAGACGATCTTAGCATCTGTACTCATCTCTCTTCTTGTTTACAGTTATGATGGTTAATGGGGATCACAGAATAGGCATTTTTGCCAAAAGAGCCATACAAACTGGGGAGGAGCTTTTCTTTGATTACAGGTAAGATTATGCTGCACAGTAAGACAATCTGCATGTTACTTTAACCCGTGTGGGGATACGATTTTTCTGCAAGCTAAATTGACAGATTGGTCACTGAGGGTTTTTTGTGCTAACTTGAAAAATTCACAGTATTTTTTTTTTAAATATATTAAACTGTTTCGTTAATAATTACTTATTTGTTGGGGGGATAAGACATAATTTCTCTTTTTCCCCTCAAAACCAGTGATGGTTCAGTCCCTAAAGTATTGTTTTAGTGTGAATGTTTGTGCTGTGAGAGTAATGCATCATCCTCCACTATTTTTATTTGTTCTTTTCAGATACAGTCAAGCAGATGCTCTAAAGTATGTGGGCATTGAGCGTGAAATGGAAATTCCATGAAGCCATCTACCTCTGGAACAAATGCCTTACACTCTTCAGGAATTTTCACTCCACATGCATTTCCAATACGTTTTCATATACTGGGTTTTATAGGATAAGGGTATCTACTTGGAGATTTTTAGCAATTTTTTAGATTTCAGCCTTTTTCTGTCTCTGTACCAACAGGCTTACTCTGGGATTCACTTTTTGACAGTAACTTGAACATTCACACTTGTTTACAGCTTAAAGTTTAGTAGGGGTTCTTGGATGGGTGTCTTATGGGCCATTGTTCTCCCAATATTCCTGGACCTTTTTTTTGTTTTTTGTTTTTTTTTTTAAAATTACAAGTACTTTTGGACCAAATTCACAGTAAAAGACAGGCTGTGTTCAGATAGTGCATTTGTTCAATCACAATATTGACCTTTTTTGATCTGTATGAAAACCAAAGTCACTTTCTCTGCTTGCATGTCATCTCACAGGCATCTCTATACAGAGATATTCCGTACTTTCTGGAGTGCCAGTGCATCCAGTTGCTGTAAAATATATATATATATATAAAAAAAAATTAAAAATAAAAATATGAGGAAAAAAATTGCAGAAAAAAATGTGGAGGGTAGATTCAGTATCTAACTTGCGGTGCCTTGAAATTCCAACACTGACTTGTTTATTCGGTTTCATGTCCGAAAATGTCCGTAAATGTGTACCTAATTTGTTGTATGCATGAACAAAGATTTCAAATGGAGTAGAAATCAGGGAACTTTTCAGTGTTTTATATTATTTTTTGCAATCTCCAGAGTCTTTTCAAGACAACAAAGCAAACGAGCAGCTTTCAGCTAGACCTGACACTGTAGGAAGGGGAATCTGGACAGTCGATAAGGTCTTCCTCCACCTGTACTGTTAACTATGGAACGAAATACAATCAGATCTAATGTGAGAACACATGAATCATGATGAAATCAAAGCAATACGACCAGCCTTGAATCATGTTCATGAGAAGATCTTGAACTGTCCGTATTTATTTGACCAGACTCTGTAAACAGTTTTTGCTATTATAATTTATTGAACTGTCCTTTGCTGTGATCTGCCAGATAAACATGATAGGTTTCTTATTGTGAGTTAGATAGCTGTTCACCAATTTGTTTCTCCTTGGAAACATTTGTTCTAGCATTTTGTCCTTATTTCCCTGAGGGTTTGTGACCACTCCCGTTTCTTTTTCTGCCTCTGAGCGTATAAGGTGCTGATTTGTAATGTTTACAGGGAATATTGTTGAAAGTAATAAAATTGAAATAAATGTTAGACTGTTGTTACATTCATCAGTCACTTTCTTTGTGTTGAATTAAACTGGAAAGCATTTCTGAATTAGATTGTGGCTACATTTGAGAGGACAAACATCAAATAAACAAACATTACCCACTGCTGCCCTCTAAGGTGGTAATTAAGCAAAAGAACACGAGAGGAAGTGTGTTATCGCGAAATAACGGCTGTGATTTGGTCGCAGTAGATCATCACAGCCGTGATGTTACTCGTGATAACACATGACCTCGTGTTCTATTGCTTTTATACAACAGTTAAATAAAGTAAGAAATGAATAAATTGGGCCGTGAACGTGGCATTTAATGTTTTAATGGTAGCAGTTCCTTCTGCCAAATTATAGTTCCTTAACAAGCAGCTTGTTGCTACGTCAGCATAACGAACTCCGTTTAGCTCAGTGTTGTCATTTTTTTTGCTAGATAATTATTAATATTGTTTTGTTCCAGCCAGTCTGTAAAGTATCTTACAGCCCATTTTGTTTGGCGAATTCAGTTTATTTCTGGCTAATTCTAGGTTGTTTAGGTGTTCTTCTGTTACAGCTGCCGACTGAAAAGCTGCTCAGTGGTGATGACAGTTTGGGAATTTAGTGTAGTCTCATCTTCAGAGTCTGACCAAATCGGCTGTCAGTCAAATGTAATCTTAAAAGCATCCATTTTCTGTTTGTGGCAAAGTAAGAAGTGAAAACGTTCAAATGGCTTGAGCGTCTGCTTCAGCTGTCAAAGTCGTTGCTTAGCAACGGCGTCTCAGCGGAGTGATACAGTGTGAAAAAACTGCTGTTATCAGAGCCGGGGCAGAGTGGTAATTCTCTCTACAAGTTCTCTGATGTTATGGCGAAATAACTGCATGGTTAGAACACTTCTCAACCAATCAGCATGCGTGGTTGGAACTAGCTGTTGTATAACAAACAATAAATAAATAAACATTACCCACCGCTGCCCTCTAAAGGTGTTAAGCATTAAATAAATCAACATTACTCACCGCAGCCCTTAAAGGAGTTAACAGAGCCTACAAATCCTCTAGTGTTAACATTAAATAAATAAACGTTACCCACTGCTGCCCTCTTGAGGTGTTAACAAACATCAACTAAACATTACCACTGCTCTCTTTAGGTGTTAACATTAAATAAACAAACATTACCCACCACTGCCCTCTAAAGGCGTTGACATCAAATAAACATTAATGATCTGCCAGATAAACACAATAGGTTTCTTATTGTGAGTTAGATAGCTGTTCACCAATTTGTTTCTCCTTGGAAACGTGACATCAGTGAGCCGAGTTGCTTCACTCAGCCAACGAGCTGTGTTTATTACATTTCAGACACAGTTGGAGATTCTATAGCTGTAATATCAACCAATTAGCAATTAGTAGCAGCAATGATAACCAATCAGCACTCAGTAGCAGTAACGCCAACCAATCAGCACTCAGTGTAATGCACATCAGTTTCTGATGTAATGTCAGAAATAGAAGTGGCTCTAACTTGACTCCTCTATTAAGAAAGTATATAATCTGTGTCTGAAATGGTCCTCTAATCTCTGTGTACCCTACATTAGAAAATCTGTATCAATAAATAAGACACTATTATAAAGAGAATTCATGAGAACAGCAGATTACTGTTATGAGTTCATTATTTTGATTTGATTACTTTTGACAGCAGATTGCGTCGCGTAAGCACTGTAAACGCCAAGCCACGAGTCAGGTCTGACCACTGACCGTAATCCTACTCAGAGAAATTGCACTGTGAATCTTCAAACCAAACGACGCAGGGCATTATGGGTATCCACTACTTGTTGTACACTACTTACTGCGGTGCCCTGTGGGACTGTTTGAGTTCACTGAAACTTCAACACTACTAACGTTACAAAATAGCCTAACTCTAAAATAGTGCACTATATAGTGAACAGGGCAAAGCTAATGACAGCTGTAGAGACTCCAGCTGTGTCTGAAATGTAATGAACTCCTTCTGCTCATATAGTATGAGGCAGGACGGCATCCAGTCAGTCTGAACTGAATGTATAAAACGAGGTTCCTCCGTTCGGCCATTTTTGAAGGCATTGTGGATGTGTCCTTCTCTACCTTACATATCCCATAATCCTTTGTATCAGCACAAATGTGGTTTAAAAAATATCAGAAAACAGCAGCACCGACATGGTGGAGGACAGAGACCGGTTTGTGTACAAATACTTTTATTTTGGTTATAAAAACTTTAGCATGCTAGCTACTGTTTCCTGGGTAAAAGATGCTAACGTTCAGCGCTCACAGCTAGCAGTGAACTGTCGTGTCGTATCGCTGAAATGCATCTCAAACTCGGTTTGATTGCAGGTACCTTCAACACTGCCTTCTAAGGCACTGACTTATGAGACAACACAGGCCCCTCTCTCCTCCACTGTCAGTGCTGTGTTTCTGCTATTCTTTTCCTAACCACATTGGCGCTAACACAGAGTTATGGGACGCCTTCCTGCCTCTAAGTACTGTACGAGGCAGCATTTATTACGTTTCAGACACAGACACGGCCACAGCCACCAAAACCATCCCTATCAGATAAACAGTACTTACAGCTTTCATCTTTGAGAGAGGAGAAAATCAAGCTCCACTCTTGCTTCAGATCTGAAAAAATCCACAGGCGTTTCTGTCCATCCTTCCACTGTGAGAAGACAACTCAGCACTATGGGTCTGAAAGGATGTGTAGCTTTTAAGACCTCACTGAGAAAAGGAAACAGACAAATCAAATAAAGAAGCTCCTGGTGTTTTCAGAACAATGGACTGACCACCTCAGAGGTCAGACCTCAACAACACTGAATGTGTTCGGGATTATTTGGATTGTGAGAAGCAGGAAATGCAAAACCAACTTCTAAGACTGAACTTTGGAGGTGTGGAGAAACATCCCTGCAGATTTCTTTGAAGAACTTAAAGTGAGTCTTTAAAAAAAGAATGGAAGACGCACACACACACACACACACACACACACACACACACACACACACACACACACAAACACATATACATAGTTGTTGAGACTTCTGTGTAACATACTTTTTTTATACATTGAGTGAATGATGCTCAAAATGAATAACTTGGGATGCGCGACTATTGAAAAGAGCACATAAAAGGCATAAAGAAAATTTTAAATTTTATTCATGACATTTATAAAACAAACCACACTATACAAATGTTCTTGGAGCAGATAAAGGCTGGTTACACAGTTCTACAAGGGCCAGTTTGACACGATTATATTCTGAGTGCTGCCAAAATTCATAAATTATTTTTTTTCTTCTTAAATGCATTTTTTTTTGTTGTTTTCGCTTTTTTTCAACCAACAATATTCTCAAAGTCAGTTGTCAGTTCATCAAAGTCATTTATTTTGATTAAATTAAATCAGCTAGTCTTTTTCTGTTTAGATGATAGGCAGTAGCATGCAACCCTGAAGGGTCTGACTATGGTAAGGGTGCCTTTCAGTGTCTTATTTACATATCAAAAAAGATGATGGCGATCCTGAGCAGTTGAGATGGGACTTCAGGACAGTGCTGGCAGCAATAGCAGTCCGTTTGTTTTTAAAGGGAGGTCCAGCAATACAGCTGCTGCTGACTCACCAGCAGTGATTTTACAATGCAAATCATCCGTCCGTCCGTCCGTCGTTTCCCGTTCCATGTGCACATTCCTTACAACATAAGCCGAATGCTTAAGGAATGACATTTACAAGCCAAACGTTAAAAATGAGCAAAGATGCTTAAGCCAGGTAGCTGTAGGTGTCTTTCTCTCCATCAACGCGCTCCAGGTATTCCTTCTCTATCAAAATGTCGATACATTTCTGGAAAGACAGACAAGCTCATTTTCAGTATCTTAAGTTCCATTCCAAAATGCTGCACATCCATTTGTAACCATTCTGGATTTAAACAAGCTTTTGAAGAGTAACAGCTGAGTTACAATGAGAAACATTCTCTAATAAAGGTGGTATTAAATCATAATATAGCAGTGATATGTCTTGTACGTGTTACGCCCATTCCCAGCTATTTTTTTCTATAAAAAAACAAGCAAAAATATTTTGTAATATTTTTATTAAATGTAATTTCTATCATTAGTAGTTGTATTATTATTATAAGGAGACTATTTTATGTCATTTCAAAATCCTGTAACTCCATTTTTCCCCCCTTATTTGAAAAAGCCAGCTGCCCTTTACTTTGTGTGAGCATTTAATGACGAACAGATGAATTCAAACGGCCCAAAGTGACTTAGAATAAAATTTCATTACATTAATGTACGTTAAAATCTCCTATAAAGTTATCATTTCAGAGATACGGGGGTTTGTTACAACAGATGTTTTGTAATAGTGAGGTCTTTTTGCATACCTTGATGACAGGGACGCGAGGTTTGAACCGTGAGGAGAGCTGGTTTAGCACTTCTGCGAGGAGCTGCTGGTGCTTGAGAACTTTCCTCATCTTCATGATTCTGACGATAGCAGCCTGAACACAGAGGACAAAGAGCAATGAAGAATAACAAAGGAATAAACAGAATAACAAAACATTACATTGTGGTTTATATTGTGGTAAATGAATGCTTCTGTAAAAATGTACTTTAGCTGCTACCTGTAGTAATTGTACATGGATGTTTCTGCATTGTTAATTAGTGGTGTAAAAAAACAGTCTAATAGTAGTGATGTGGTTTGATTTTGAAATGTCAGAAATGATAATAATATTCAATAAAAAACTTCCTTTTTTGTTTTTTCTTTTGACCTATTCTAAAAAGATAAAATCTGGTGTATTTTGTATTGTCTATATTTTACTACTGTGTAAACAGTTAGTCCAGCATATTTGTGCATTCAGTGTATTATTGTTTATTTTTTCTGGGTCCACTTAGATCCACTTAAAACACATACACCAAAAATAATCATAATTCGTTTTTACAGAACATTTTCCAGCCTCTCTTTATTCCTTAGAATTAAATGGGCTGGTTTTGTTACTGTGTCTTTAAGACATATATGTAAATGAGCTCCATTTTGACTGGCTGTTCTGTAATGTGTCTCATTCAAAAAAGCTGTTCAAGCTGAATCACTCCTTATAACTTAAGTGTGCTGTAGGTGGAATGTGTTGGCTGTAGTGAGGTTTTTATTTATCTAATGAAATGATTAGAAAACAACATTATCAACTGTACTGTCGCCCTCTTGTGGTCAGAATCAATTCCATAAAACAGGGATGGCGTCTACTTGTAAAATGCACCAATTCAGTTTAGAAGAGCTATCTTTGGCTATTCTGCACAAGTTAAGTTTGTATTAACTTTTAAATGATGAAATGACCAACAAGCTTGAAAGGCAGGTAAAGTCTAACAATTATGATTTATAATCAGTTGGTCAAACTGAATAGACTGTCATTTTCTACATTTTCTAGACAATCATTTTCTAAAGAATTAAATCACTGTTTTGTCATATATTTACTGTAATGTAACTTAATGTAATGTAATCTAAAGATATTAGACGTTCATTGTATTTTCTGTCAAGCTGAGGGTGAAAATTCTGCCCCAGTCAGGCCTCAGATACAAACTCACCTGTATGAGAAGCTTCCTGTCCTCTTCTATGTTCTTGTGCGTGGTCTCCTGCTCCTGTTTCTGCTCCGTCTTCATCGGCACATTGATGTTGACCCGCAACTTCTTGCTGTAAACACATACAGAGGACACAGGGCATACAGTGTCAGTGCAAGAGCTTTCTGACCCCCATGAGATTTTCAGTGAAGCAGCAAACATTACACACTACAATTTTCAAACTTACAATTTTAGACTTCAGTAGGACGATGCAGTATGACAATGTTATTGTGATAAATTGTTGCATCGTGATACAGCTTCCTGTGTATACTGTGGATATCAGTACTTAAAGAATATCCGCCAACTGCATGTTTCAGTCTGGTTTTAACGTAGTACAGCTGATAAATGTTAAATAAAAGTGTTTGTATTCATAGTTTTGATAATGTTTTTAAATGTTGCGCTACAGGTTATTTTCTGTGTGCTCTAACCTCAGAAAAACTAAATATCATGATGTATCTTTGCCATATCAGTCTTCAGTCACACAGATGTAAAGAAAATCATTCAAAGTAGTTTAATGAGACATTCTTACTCTTAGAAATGCTTACTGAGTCAGAATTGTACACTGTGGTGGTGATAGGAACCAGATGTCTGAAGAGATAAGATTTTAATCTAAAATGTAAATTTTTTAACTTATTTTTTTCAGATGTTAACAAAATTTTATTACTATAAAATAACTTAGAAGCCACATGTAGCTTCACTGGTGGCTTTGGATAGTAAATAAAATGGCTATATTTCTGTTGTAGACATCGCAACCCCTGGCTCCTATCACAATTGCCATAAAAAAAATCAGTTAGTATGTTTCTCTACAATGAACCATTTCACATCAAACCACTCTGAATGACTTTCTATGCACCTCAATGAATGATTTATGTAGAAATGTTGAAAAATTGGTGGAATGTCCCACTTTATGTATGTAAGAATGTATTCTTACAATAGAATCAGTCAGATTAGATTGGTATTAGAAAACAACTCACTTTTTATAACCCAAGAAAAGCTTTATTAAGGTATCAGGTTTGAAGTCCATTTCATCGATGTTTGCATTCTCATCCTCTAAAACCTGCAAGAATAATCAGTTCTTAATGAAAGGCGTTTTGAAAACTCAAAACACTTTATTTGAAGGTTACCTTTATATGGACTTCATAAGACCTGCATAAGCATTGAATAACATATTTATAAAGCAGTACTTAGGTATTTATGAACAGCTCATGCCAGTAATCTCAAGATGATGTATTTTATGAAGAAAGTGATACTGTATTGACAAAATAGGCCTTACACTAAAGTGACAGATATTTCTTCCACTGATAGACTGATATGCATCATTACCAAGTAATGGAACTTAAGACAGAGGCTTAATTAACCCCTGAATATCCCAGGCTTATTACATACAAAGGCTAGTTATTCCCTAACTACATGGAATATGCCCTGTGATGGACAGGCGACCAGTCCAGGGTGTTTCCTGCTTTCCGCCCAATGACCGCTAGGACAGGCTCCAGCGACCGAGGAGGATAAAGCGGTTTAGATGATGAATAGATGAATACATGGAATATAATGCGAACTGGCAGTGTCATTTTTACATTATAGAAGTGTGCTGCAAAACTCTGGCCACTCCTGGCCACTTAAGGGGTGTATCTTCGTACTTCGTACGGAAGCAGAAATATAAAGAACAGATATATGGCGTTCTTAACAAAGCCTCTGTCTTGATTACTTGGTAAAGATGCTTCATCACAACATTATAAATGGAACAAATGTCTGTCACTTTAGTTTAAGTTTAGCTCCTTTTATTAATACAATGTTAATTATTTACCTATGCAGGTAGTTGATTACCAATGTCATCTTGTGTTTACTGGCATGAAGTGTTTATAAATATTCAAGTACTGCTTTATAAATACATTATTCAACGTTATGCACGTTATGAAGGCTCTACATAAGTAGCCTTCAAATAAAGTGTTACTAAACATTACTGCAGCTCTCTAGTCATCAGAAACATAATTTGCTGAAAAGCATTAACACTTACCAGTAGCTTTGATTTCAACAGGATTTGCAAAACTTGAACCAAAATATCCTGGGAAATGAAAACACAGTTTAACCAAAACCCCACTTAACAGTAACCTGCACAAACAGGCTAAACGGAAACATAACAGCTTTTTCTTACTTGTTGAAACAAAAAAAATATATATATTACACATATATATTATATTATATTATATATATTATATGAATACAGTAAACAAAATTAAACCCTAATTATATTTTAAAGTGATTATGATTTACACAATTTTCTTAGTAATAAAACTATCATACTAATTCATACATACAATCAGCCCGCTCTATGTTCAGACATTGAAATGTTCAGGGACTCACTATTTTAATCTGAGTGCTGTCTGCCAGCTGCTGAACTGTGTAGCTGTTCTCTGTGTTAAACTGCAGTAGAATGGCCATCTGGAAGGTGGACGCCTAAAAGACAAGACAGAAAAAATACTATTTAGTAAAAATAACATACTTTAAGACTTTATAAGAGAGCAATTTTACTAACATTAAATTTACCAATTAAAGGTAAACTAAGTAGAACTGTAGAATGTTCCCAAGCAGTTTTAAGTCTTGTGTCCAGCAGATAACAGACTGCCTATAAAAAAGAATGAACATGAACTCTACTTACTAATTAAAGAGCTGCAGTCTATTTATAAAAATGCACTAAATCAGTTTAGGGAAACTTTTTTTGGTCATTCTGCACATGTGAAGTTTGCATTAACTTTTAAATTATAATATGATGGACAATCTTAAACAGCAGGTGAAGTCTAACATTACAAAAGGCCTATCTAAGTACTTTTTGGTTATAGGAAACTATACAAATTAGGTGTTGCATAACTACTCATTTTAACTAGTTGACTAGTCATTCAAGAAAGTAGTTGACAAGTCAAACAGTCACCATTATCTTATTTAGAGTCTGGGTCTATTGGCAGATGCTGCAGTTTGAGGTGTGACGGGTGTGATTTTATATCTCAGTAAATTTTAGTTTTAGTAGTACACAGACTGTCTGATGTAACCTGCATGCTAAAATCACCAAAATCTCTCACAATCTCAAGTCTCACTGAGCATTTCAACTGGCTTTGGCTATCTGTGCTTCTGAGCACTGGTTTATTAGTCTGATGGGAAACAATTGTTTATCAAGCTAAATGCTAGTAGCAATCAGTTGCATCTACTCACCAATAAGCCTTTCAGAGTGAGGTATAATCATTGAACCAGGACCTGGTTCCTACCTGGTTTGGCTTACGTGCCTGTCTTTAGCACAGTTTTACACAGCTTGCAGTGAAATTGTTTTCATAAAGTACTGTTTAGCAGAGAAAAAATATTTATCTTCCCTTCTTGTGCACCAACTACTGGATTTATTATACGAATAGTCTACGCAGACCCTATTACACATCAGTCTCCAAGCACAGACCTGCAGGGTGTATCTGTTTTTGAAGCAGTTTGTGACCAGCTCGCCCTTGGATAAGTGGTAGAGCCACGTCAGCTTGCGTCCACTGTGTCTGCTGGCGTAGAAAGCCGTAAATCTTTGGTAACTCCGCTCCAGCTGTGAAAGATTTAAAAACAAGCGCATCAAAGACAGTAATTAGGAATCAGGATGAGGATATATGTGGTTATGTGGCTAAGAGTTATCATCAGGATGCGGAAGTGCTGAGTGTCTTACCTCTGATGGTAATGCAAATGTGCAAGACTGCTGGAAGGGCCAAGAGCCAGAGCTCAGAACCTGAATACTGAAGTCCACTGAGAGAAAGAGACAGGGAAAGACAGAGTGATTAAGAAAATTACATTATGATCACACATTTCAGAATTTAGTTATATATCTCTGTATCTGTATGTATCTATATCTGTAAAGGTTTTGGGGGAAAAAAAGTATCGACCACACAAAGTCTGCATGCAAAAAGGAAACGTTGCAGCTTTTTTCACTCTGATCTCCATCTGCTGCTTCTATGTCATGGATCTAATTCATGGATTATCATAGGCAATAATTTTGATGCATTTTTCTGTGCTCAAAGGAAAAAAACAAAAAAAACAACAAAAAAAAACAAAAAAAAACAAAAAAAAACAGAAAACCCATTGCCTCAAAAGTGAAGTAATAGGAACCAATGGGCAGCTACTGAATTCCATAATTATGGATTTGTGATTATCACTCATATGCTATAGATGCAGCACAGTATTTATGATGCAAATTCACTGTGCTTATTGATAAATATGCCATTCATGTTAATTATGTACATTTGAAACGTTTGTTCAGTATGGATTTTTGACTTGGCTACAACATCTACATAAGCTCATCAACTGACATTAACCTACATAAACATTTATAAAGGCTTATAAAAACTAGCTTAAGAATAGGATAAAGGGAAAATACACTGATTTTTCACTGAGATGTAAAGAAAGTCAGAGTGGTATGATGTAAAATGGTTCATTGTGGAGAAAAGTACTGAGTTTTGAGTTTTTACGTGTAATTTTGATGAAGGTACCATAGTAGTAATTTGAAAAACGGGGGTCCTATGGGGACTGTCTTTCCTAACAACGCCCTGCATGCACCACTCTGCTAAGAAACTATTGTGAAACTACAGCTGTAGCCTTATGAACACTGTCCAACAGTAAAGCGTTCCCTTTTAAATGATTTGTATAATTTTTACTGCTCATAGGTTTGCACACCAGCGATAGGGATTAGGTTAAAAATTGCAGGAGTATTCTTTTAAGGTCATTTAGGCAATACACCACTAAACGACCACTAACACTGTTCAGTTGAGAAGTGCACTTACAGTCCAAAGGCTCCGAGTTTGAAAGGTGCTTTTTGAACTGCTCATTTAAGTCTTTGCTGACACCGATGTCCTGGAACATGCGCTGTAATTTAGATGTGTACTCAAACCCACACGCTTGCTGGGGAAGATAACAGAAAAGTAAAATAAGAAATCATTCTTAACAGGTTTTGTCATTTGAAAAATAAGAATAAAAATCACAAACCTTGAGTTTGGAGATCATACTGGCTTCTGCATCGTCACTGGCACTGTTCTGGTGCACCAGTCTCTTAGCCAGCATCTTGGCATAGAACTTCTGGAAAACGTCCTTATCCTCAATGTACTTGAAAACCACCATCTGTTAAAGAAGAAACACACAACATAACAAATATCATAAAAATCCATGTTCTTCAGTGATGACATACAAACTGTTCAACATCAAGTAAAACAGACTAGAGAGAAAGGTGTATTAAATGTAAGCATACATTTAATATTAAGATCTTTATAAGGAAACATACTGAAGTCAATCAGAAGTTCTTTTTTACAGCTCTGAGTGTCACTTAAAAAGTTTTCAGCTCTATAGTCTGAATCAGACAGGATTAAAGTCACACAAGGTCCTGGGGTAATTTCCTCTTTCCCTTTTCTCCCTCCTCCTCTGTGACAATTACAGACCGAAATCAGTGGTCTGATAATGATATCCCATCCAGATACACATCTCTGTGATCTTCCAGGCAGATGTCGCCTCATGTTGGGGGGAAAAAAAAAGTTTATGCTGCTACCCACTGCAATTGTCTCCTAGTGCACCTATTCACTTTAAACACAATGCTATTTTGTGAATGGAGCGTGATCATTTGACCACATGTGATGTAAATACCCTAGTCTGTAGAAAATATAACCCACTAGAAACTCACACATTCTGCGGCCAGTCGTGAGAGTTTCATCACTAAGACATCACAGACATCCCCCTAATAAACTGATCAAAGCCGAATAGGGCTTTCATTGCATTTCACATTTAAATACAGAGAGGCTTTATTCGTATGACTCACCACTTGGTTCAGTGTGTCCTCCAGCTCCGCCTCCTCAGGGTTCTTTGAGCTGAATATCAAGAGGAATAAAAAGAAAAAAAAATTTGTGCCCAACACTCATCTGTAAACATCACCACTAGCTGTTTTCATCAAGGCATCACATTCCCAGTAAAATACAACTAATACACCTGCACAGTAGGGGTGCAAATATCTCATAAATTGATTACAATTCTTCAGAAAATTAGAAAATTACTCAATGCATCAAGCCCACCCTCTTACATCAAAATGCAGCTAACTAACTGAAAACAGATGAGAAGAAACTTATTCTTGAGGTTGACAAAGAAGAGCTGTAAAACACTTTTTTTCTTTATTTTCATAAAGATGTTAAAGCAAGTATGTAGGATTTGGGGATTTGGCGATCTCTCTACTGGAAATATGTAATTTCACGCAACGTAAGGGAAGAACATTTAGTAATGTTGGTTGTGCGTTAGACCCCCACAAGAGGATGAATTTGACTTGTGTGAGTGTGTTTAAAGAGTATTTGAAGAGAACTCAGTCAAAACTCGGTGCAGGATGTACCTTTTGAGGATGTAAGTATCTATTATTGTCATCATATTTTCATGAATATAATGTTGATTTTGCATTTGAGACCAAAACATTGAGTTGGACCTTCTTTTTGAGTCTATACACGTGACATTAACACATAAGGAAGTATGACACGGTCCGAAAAATTTCCACAAACTCTGTCCCAGTAGCCCTGACCTTTAAATGATTATTTCAGGCTCGAAGCCGGGCACACAAACCACATTTTAGTCTGTGACTGCACGCATTCTACAATGCATTCCATGTTATACAACAGCATTTTGTACTGTATCTGCTATGTGATGCTACACTGCTGCATTGTAGTGAGGTGCCCTTTAAGACTGCTGTGGCACTTGGGAGCCTTTGGCCAAAAAAAATGAGTGCACACTTTATTTAATATTAGAATGTATTGCAACATTCAAACATTGATACTTAAACCGACACCTTCAGATTGACGAATGTATCAGTGCATTTTAACTCCCCGACAACACAGTATTCAAAACTATTTAATGTTTTAAACTCTGGTGTGATACAGAGAAAGTGTGAATTCACCTCTTCTTCAGTAAAGAGTCACAGTATCTGGCCAACAGCTCAGGAGATTTGCTGGAGGACTGAGCCATTTTTGTGACCGCATTATTGTTGATGAACCTCCCACAGGCCTAACAAAAGGAATAAAACTTTAAACTTTAACGAAGCACTTAAATGTAGAAGCAGAGCAAATGTTAGAACAAACGGCATGTAACAGAGACCACAAACCTTATCGAGAGCAGCCACAAAGCCAGCATCGTTATTGAATGCTGACATGACTAGTGCATTGTACTTCTTATGCACATCCAGTATGGTCTGCACATACATTTTGGGATCCTAGAAGGGGAGAAAAAAATAACATTTAGTGGCATAATTAGATTAAAAAGGCAGTCATTAGCAAGGATTTCATTTTACAGGATGTCAGCAGCGAATAAAGCATGTTAGAGCAGAATGACACGTTCCTTCCTTTCTGAAGCGGAAGGGTGTTGATGTGTGTATGAAAACTGTAATTTACTCTGAATTTGAAAGCATGCAATTTAACTTCACTTTGTACATGTTGCCACATAAAAACCTGTTTCAGTACTGTTTTTAACACACCCTCATCCACTTGGTCTCGCTATTTCCCCTTTTGGGATCCCTTATGCTGTCTTAAGGGCTTTCTCATTACTGTATAAGCTGTGTGAGTGAAGTTTGTTAGATGTCACCTAGGATGGGTGAGGAATCGAATAAAACCAAGCAACAGGTTTAATTTCAGCTTTTTGTCACTCCAACACTACTTTGCTTCCGCATATTTGAGTCATTATCTAAACTTTCATTCTTCTAGAAGCCAGAACTGAACAGTTTCTGTGGTGAGCAGAGCTGTTAACATGCTAAGCTAACGCTCCTCTCTCCTAGACAGCAGCATTTAGCGTTTACCAGCTGTTGTTAAATTGATGGCTTGACATTTATTGAATGCCGTATTTATAATCTTGCTCTGCTTTTATTTATTGTGGCAAAAGTATAAGCAAATTTATCTGAGAACTTGGCCATTATAAAGTAGAAGACAGGTCACTAGTTGTAAAATAAATGGGAAAGCTCTTAATGTTCAACATGTCCTCTGTTTATGGAGAAAGTTCCTTCAATCAATACATAGAGCCAATCAGCTTGCTATAAAAGCAGTGAGCGGGAAAAGCATCCCTCAGTTGTGGAGATCTACACAAGCACAGTAGCTAGAACAAGCCGAAAAAAAATGTATTTAATGCAATATTTGAACCAAACACTACAAACTATTTGAGATTTTTTTTATATTTTACCAGTAGTTTCATGTTTTTTGACATGAGTTTTTAGGTCTCTCTTCATTCAAAAGGATAGCAATCTGGTCTTGTATAACTGGAAATAACTGCCCTGTGGTGTTACCAAAATGGCTGCTCATTGGACAGACTTTCCTATAATGACTGACTTGACTGAGGCCATTAACTGCTGATGTAACATTGTTAGCTTACTCTGCCAGTCATTCTAGTAGCTAAGTGCAAAACCGCTCGCAACAACATAAAAGAAGGGCAGTGCTTAATAGTCATCTCATTCTAAACCTGAGACTTAAGCTAGATAATTATTATAGAGTAATTATTAACAAAAGTTACATATGTTATGTTTGGAACGGTTTGCATTACAAAGCTTCCTAAGCTAATTAGCTTACTGTGGCTAGCCTAGCTGAGGTTGATACATAGAGACGCACACAGATCTTCATATTATGCTGAGGGATGGACACTTTCACTAACAAATTTACGTTACAAGTTCCTTTACATCTGTCAAAAACCCATCCGTCTATAATCCCACTGATTTCAACTAAAAACACAAATTCTGCACCCCACGTTCTGCTTTGATACATCCGCACTGTGCCCTGGGGAAGCTGGAAATATGCCCAGTGAGTAAATAACACCGCCCAAAGCAGTCAAATTAGATTACACTTGCAAACTGAGAAGATACGGAGAAGGGCCTGAAGATGTAATTCAGGAAATGAGCTTCCACCTGCCTCAGCACAAAAAACAAACAGCCACAGCGCACATTTAACTCAGTGCATCAGGAGAGTAAATAACCCATAGGGGTCAGAAGGGAAAGGCCTCTGTGAAAGGCCTGAAGAACAACAAAGATGCTCAACGTCTGGCACTCTTGATGGAAAAAGCCTTTAAAATAAACACACTGCTAATTCAGAAACACAAATAAATAAATAAGTGCAGGGAAACGTAATGTATAAGTGGACTGACTGCGCTTTAAATATTTATTTTTAAATCTCTATTACTAATAAAGGCTGCACAATATATTGTGTGCTGTTTATCATCACAATATACTTAGCAATACTGATATCACAGAAGGCTGCAATGTGCAAATGATCAATCCAACCAAAATCCAGCGTTTTTCTATACAGTCATACGCAAAAGTCTGGACGCCCCCAGTCAAATTACATGTTTTTGCACATTGCACTTCTTTGCTGAAAGCTGTGGGTATTCTGATTAATTCAAAAGTAAATTATTTTGGTCAAAATCAATTTAGGCCAATCTCTACCCATCTCACATTACTGATTTACTAATGTGTTTAATATACAACAAGGCGTATAGCAGTAAGTAACAATATACTACCAATACAATTATTTTGACCATGTAGTGACCTTCTGTCTTTATGGTCTGCTCTGGACTGGCCACATTGTTCCTTCTGCATCAGCTTCTACATACAATAAAATAAAGGAACTAATGCAGTCTGATGATCTGTAATTACTGGTTAACAGTAAAACACAATGCCACATCAAAGCCCTTAACCTAAAGCTTGCTATTGCTAAGCAACACCTACTACAAACACCCCTAAACTGCCACTCTGGCATCAGTCAGCAGTTTCTACTAAAGTTATGAGACGGTACGCTGAATCATTCTTATCTGGGTGGAATAATTTTGGGTTGGTTTTTTGTGGCTCTGTGAGCTGACTGTGTCATCTTACATTGAGTGCAGAGTCCCCACACTTCTCTATGGCTGCCAGGCCCTGGTTGTGAATGTGAGTCTCCAGGAGTTTCTTTAGTTCTCCTAAACCATCTGTGATGCGGGACACAAGGTTATACATCCGACCAAGATCTGTAAATGGAGAAGAAATTATCCAATAAATGCTGGGTACATTAAAAGTAAGGATAGACACTTGAAGCAAAGTTGCTATTGGAATTTTCAAGCCAATATAGAAAATATATAAGTCACTGTATTATTATAAAAATATTTCACACTATGGACAGTAATAATAGAATAGTCTTTGATTGAAAATTTTACTAAAACTTGCTACAGCCTTTAACCTTTTCTATTTAGACTATAAAATAATATGTAAAACTGCTAAAAGAGCAAGCCTCACAATAAACCCAGTCTGTAATTCTGTGCTTTTCTATTTGAATGGCTAACATGTCCACATGCTCTAAGTGCAGTCGAGAGTGAAACTTTATATGTATATAAAATACTGTTTAGACACCTGAGAAAATTATATTTACAAGATGATCAGCAAGTGTTAATTTGCTCAGACAGACACTGGTATTTAGCTAAAGACAAACAATATTACTACAATAAATGGTGATTTTATGTATGTCGTTGTGTTCATTTACCCATTTCCAAACCTCTTGAGAAAGCCAAGTATTATTTGTAGTTATCATCCAACACCCAATTCATCAAATCAGTGTTATGTTATGTTAAACCAGGTGAGCTGGTGATAGAATTTAACTAACATATGCGGTGTCTGGAGGCATCCAGGAGACATCTGGATCCAAACTTTGTTCTTCTAAGTAGCTCACAAGACATCCAATATTTTTTTTCAAAATACCTTACAATATCTTTTTTTTTCCCAATTACTCAAACGACATATACTGATTTTACAAGCAAAAGCACACTTAATGCCCAGATAAACAGCTTTAAATAAGTGCCTAGGTGCCTAAGACATTTGCTATTACAGTACTGTGTAATATAACAACATTATTACACACTACAAGATTGAGCTGGCAATTTGAATATCAAAACGTCTAATTTGCAATTAGATTTTATGACCTCGCTCAAAGGAACAGAAGTCCCTAAAGGTAAAAGAGATGTTCAACATTAGTACATTTAATGCCGTGACCTCTAAACAAACTAAAGGGATGCTCCACCTTCGTTCTTGTCGGCGTCCAGAAGGTTCTGGAACTCTGTGTGGAAGATTTCCAAGTGCTTCTCTATGAGAACCTGTTCACACTTTCGAGCGAGCTCGTCCTGTGTGCTCTCATGGAGGTAAACCTGCACTCGCCGCTGCTCCTCCAACAGCCGCGCCTCTGCCTATACACACATGAAAAAACTCCTTTCAGCATGTTCAAAAATTAATAGTATACAGTACGAAAACGGGTCCACGTTTCTCTTATATTCTCTTATATTTTATTTTTTCCCTGAGGTTTGTGTGGTTTTATGTAACGAAACAGCTATAATTCATTATTACACTACTATTTTCCAATGTCTATTTATCTCTCAAATTTTTTTATTACATTTTTTAAACAGCATGAAATAGTCTGGTGCAAAGCACAAGAGAATTAGAAAAGCTAATCTATTTAATAAGGTCAGTACCAACACTGATATCAATCCAGAGTATCAGACAAGTGCATCAATATTACATAAACAGTTTAACAATACAACAAACAAAGTATAGTAAATAGTGCTGCAAGTGTCAATACATGCTCCACAGGGTAAAAACATAACATTTTTCTGCTTATTTTAGTGCATGATTTCTACTTAACATTTTAACATACTGGGAAAAAAAAAAACATTAAGCACAAAATGTGCCCTAACTTTTGCACAGGCAAAATTTTCTGTTTCCAATATGTTCAATTTACCAAATAGACAATAACTATGCACTGAAATGTACAGAGAAGTGTTCTCTCCGTACTTATTTTCACTTTCAGAAAATCAACAACACGTAATCTGACCAGGTACTGTGTGTGTCCAAACTTTTGCATACAACTGTATGCGACAGAATGTAAACACTAGGGTTGTGTTTTTAAACAGGCCTGCTCTCTTCAGACACAAACCCAGCAGGTTACGTTGATAACCTACCTTTTTCATGTATTCGGTTACAGGGTTTTGTTGGAGGAACTCAGTGCTTTCTCTTGTATAGAAACGTTCAGTGTCTGCCAAGAACTGGGTCTCAAAGTACTCTTTGTACACTGATAATGTGGGCCCCTTCGCGAAGGCATCATCTTCATTCAGTCCCAGCTCGACTGCAAGAGACAAACCAAACTGTTAGATGATGGTTAAGTGGCTTAGATGAAATTATGTGTCTTTTATACAGTTCTTATATATATTTATTGCTGGTCAGTGTGAAACTAAATGTAAGAGAGAAACCAAGACTGCATTCAGTGCTAATGAGTTCTTTTAAACTCTTTAAGCCATTTCCAAAAGCACTCTATACTTTGATTAGGGACGTGTACGGGTACTTGAGTACTCGGTTAAGCATTCAAATAATGACATCACTATTCAGGTATTCATTACGTTTCATCATGAGAAAACAGAGAAAATATACAGACTAAGAATTTAGTGAAACGCGACCAGTTTTTGTGAGTAAGTATGTTATACTGTGGTACGCCGAAACACGAGTGCCTGAACATGAGCATGCTGCCAAGGACGTATTGTTAAGGGCGTGACTGAGAAAGCAAAGAAAGCATGGCTGTAACTAACTAGGTCAGCTACTCTAGCTGATGTTACACTGTTACACTTCATGTTTACAGGCCACATTTAAGCTGACAACTATTTTTAGTCAATTAATTGAATATCAAAATATTTGTTGCTCTTGCAGCACTAAAACAAATACCAACGTAACTACAAACGCTAGTTGATATTAAAAGAAATGGAAAAGTCTGAAGTGATACAGAATATATATCAAATATAAATGTAATTCCTTAACTCACTATGTAATTAAGTAATCATATTTTAACAGAATAGCAAACTTCTGACTTCTAAGGGTTAATTGGTAAAATATATAAAAATATATAATAAAAATAAAAATATATAAAAATATAAAATTCCAACCTCATTATTCAGTTATAAACCTAAGACCTATGTATAGGTTTTACAATAGTTACTGAATATAAGTTCTGTAGTTACAAGAGTGACTATGGGAACTGTGGACCCACCAATGCTTAGAGTTTAAGAGGTGAAAGTATTCATGAAAAGTTGACAGGAACCCACCATAGGACTGTACGACTCCACTGATCAGTCTGGTGTTGATAGTTTCCCCGTTTCTTTCTCGTTCAATGAGTTTCAATACAGCATTTGTGACCTACACATGGATCAGATGGAGGAACAGTGAAAACTTTGGACTTTAAATGCAGAATAAGGCATAGTATAGAATATCACACTGCAACATCAATAATTAATTAAAGTTAAATGCAATTATGCCCTACCTGTTTGTTTAGAGGTCTGAATAAACACTCTCTCCATGTGACCAAGGCAAGCTGAAAAAACAATAAAAGTCACTGACTGCCTTTGTTACAAAAAGGGACAACAGAAAAAGGAATTCCACAGATTTTTCAAAATTTCAGTGCTTAGCAAACTTATTCAGAGTAGTTTGATGTGAAATGTACCAGAGAAATTGGACAGAGTAAGAGTTGCTCACAATGGCTGTGAATGTGTATCTAGTATATCCATTCATTCACATATTTTGTAAGACACAATACCATATTGTTCTGCAATGCGCACATCACATCTGGTTATAGTAATGGGGATATCCTAAATACTTTATATCTACATATTTTGCGATAGGATATGGTGCATATGAAAATGTGGGTCTCTTATGTATCATCTCGCAGCAAATCGTTCACAGTGTGCATTGTCTCGCGGTCTCCGTATAGAAAAAAAAAAGAATATTAGCATGTGCATTACGACACCCTTTCTTAGCACCTTAGATTTTCACTCAACTTCACACGTAAATGTAATTTGACAATAAAATGAATTGATTTGATTTGATATCTGTGACTGTTGGTACTCATTGCGATGTTATGTGCAATATCTGTGCTTTGTCCAATCTGCTACGTGACGCAGCACTGCTCTTCTAGACTGGCGTGCGCCAGCCTTTAGTGAACAGTCAATCGTGCTAATTTCATCTCTTACCGAATAGATCTCATAAATTCCTTTTCGTCCTTCATCGCACTCCCGGCGCACCCAGTGTCTGTTGAGGTAGGCGCAGATGCCGTTTAATACTTTACTGGAGAAGCGGTAATCCTCCCACTGCTGTGTGTAGAACTTCAGAACACTTTCGTCCATCAAATCCTCACCATCCTGCCACAGACATACAAAAAATGAGATGTGAGAGCATGAAGCACAGGACAACTACGGTCAGCACACATCACTACTAGGACAAGATATGGCCAAAAAGAAAAGTAAATATTAGATAAAAGAAATATGCTCAAACCGCATACATCCATACTAAACATTATGTCAAAAACAATACACCACCACTTGTACACCATCAATGTTTTTTCCCTTTATTATTAATAGGAAGGCACAATAATATCAGAATCGCTTCAGTATTGGCAGATTAAATGGCCCAAATCCTCCATTTACGGCATTGTATTTTTCTCCCCAATCACATTTTTGTACAAAAATTATGTATTTATGTTTCATCTAGAAAACATAGTGATAATTCCTTTTTACATACTGTTTTCCAGCCTCTCTTTATCCCTTAGAATTAAACAGGCTGTTCTTGTTATTGTGCCTTTAAGACCAATAAATTTCCGATTGGCTGCCCTGTATTGTGCTTCATTCAAAATAAAGCAGTCCAGATTGAAGCACTTCTGATAACTTCAATGTTATAATGGATATATGTAAATTCAAAAGGTATCTGTGGCATCACAAAGAGAAAAAAAAATGAGCAGGCAGTTTTTGCATTACTTTAAATGTATTACTTGGTAACTAATATTTATAAGAGCAAATTATAAAAATGAAGGCTAACAACTCAGACAAATAAATAACAAATCAGACTAAATAACAAACATCCACAGCATTCAATATAAAAGCCCATATGAAGGTTTTCAGGTTAACTTAATGAGACAAAACATGGCTTTGCAATTGAGAATTACCTTAAGAAGATTTGTTAAGTAGTTCTTCAGAAATTCCTTCAGTCTCTTGTAGAGTTCCAGCCCAACAAACTGAGCTCCGCCTGGAGTGGGGGACTTTTTGGAGGGTTTAGATGGGGGTACGCCAGCGCCCCTTGCCTGGTTGGACTGATGTACACTGGTACAATAATTATAAACATGTCTGAAATGGTGGGTTAAGGAGGGCACAGAGAAGACAGAACATAAAATTTTATCTTGAAACGATCAGTACAGCTACTAACAAAAAAATGAAAAAATTAACATTCAGAACAGTGTATTTAAAAGGTTAAACTATTGCTGATTTATTGTAAACCAACTTCTAAGACTGAACTTTGGGTGTGTGGAAAATGTATTCCTGAAAAGAATGGAAGCTGTAATAAAAGTGGACACACTAAACACTGAAAAAAGTCATGTTACATTTAGCTTGAGGCATCTGTGAGATTTTCTGCTAAACATATGTTTTCTGTTTTTTTCTTGAGATTGAAAAATCAATAAATTGTACTTAATGACCATTTTGACTGGATATTTTGCACAGCACAGCTTAATCAGAGCTCTGTGAAATCAAGACATTTTAAACACATAAAATATTGAAAATCAAATTGAACACTGACCTCAGAATCAAAAATCACATTGAACCTGAAACCGTGTGTATTGATTCAGCTCTAGATATCAGTGACATCTGAATAAACAGATGTTTTTAAGGAGACACAACTTATAAACAACTTAAAACAGACTCTGTCCTGACTCACTACGACAGTGACTCTTTCAGACTCTCTCTAATATTTCACTGCAACATTGTTATAGCATTAAATAAATCCTGCCCGAGGATTTGGTCTTGCTTCTCAGCTCAACTCATAAGCTGAGGCCTTAATCTCAAATGCATGAGGAGTTACACCAATTGTGAACGATTTAACATTCTTCTATGGACACAGAAAGCTTTCATTTGAAATCCGTTATCCAAGCGATGATGATTATTTCATTATAACCTCAGATTCACTCAGTCCACAAATCAAAGACACCCAGCCAGACAAAATAAAGAAAAAAGAATGGCCTTCATGATTTTCAGGACAGAGGAGGTTTCGGTGTCCTTAAGGTATCCTTTTCCTGCCTCAGAACAGCTTCACACAGCTATGGCTCTGCATTTCAACAAATAACAGACCATGCATTGGCTTTGAAGTAGGACTGTGCAATTAATTTATTATTTAACTGAAACTGCATCTTGGCACTGGCAGTAGGCCTGTCACGCAACGATTTGGGAAAAATATCTAATTGCAATTTTTCTTACCAACATTATGACTGATTTCAACTTCGATTGTTATTATTTTTTTAATAAGTTAACGTCCAGGCCTGTTATTTTCAGCAAGAAGACTGGCACATCCACTTTTTCTGTCTTGAAGGTGCAATCTACTGCCAGCAAGCAAATATAAACAATCAATGTATCATATCTCTATTAAAAAAAAATCTAAAATTTCTCATTTATCCATGCTAGATGAATTTCATATGATCAAAAAGACAAACATTTTACACTGACTTGCAGTGAATATATAAACATATCTAGCAAGCTATGGCGGTTACATCAGTCATGCATTTTTCCAGGCCAATCACTGAGCTCAACCTAAGTATTATTTTTGATGTTTTATTTTTGCAAATAATCATCACAACAATATCTGTCATATCTGAATTATATAGTTTGTTTAAAAGTCTATATACAGCAACAAAGTTTGCCAGTTTAAATAAATAAATACATAAATAAGTCATTATTAAAAACATCCCTCAAGGAGTACCACCACAGCCCACTGGGGGGCCGTGGCACACAGGTTAAAACCCACTGGTCTTGTTCATCTACAGGCAGGTCACAAGCTCCATGTTATTAGGTTAGTTTTTTCCACGTAAAACTTACAGACAACGTTGTTGATAATGTGGGCTATAATCAAAATCCCAGCTCTTGCAATTTTAAACCTAGGGCATCTAGGCACAGTCTAAAGTGGTCTGACGGTATGCTTTTATGGGCTTTTATAAATCCATTATAAATTCTAGGGGTTGTGATTTTTGGAGTTTGTTTTATTAGAAGGTAATAGCAGCCTATATAATAGGGTAATAGCATCAGGCACTGACAAAGTTCTGTGTAGTTTAGAGTTGCAGAAAAATAACAATTATTATAATTAAAATAATAGTATAACATTTTAAAAGTACAAAACATTGCAAGTTGAATTGGACCAGCATCTATTTTGTGCGGTATTATAATTCTACTGGGTGGTCACAGTAATTTTGTGCCTTTGTGACGAGGAGAGCATCCCCACATGAAATGAATAAAACATGCCAACATTGGCTAAGTTAGGAAACATGCCACTTCATTATCTGTAAATCAGACTTCTAGTGATGTAACCTGGCATTAAACAACAAGAAAAGCACAGGAAGCAGTGACCTGGTTTTACAGAGCCCCACCTAGAGTGGCTTTGGATGCTTCTATCCTGTTGCCTTTGTATTTGTCTCAGTGGTAGAACCTGTGATGCCAGTACACATTTCCTTTTACGCGTCAAAACGTCATCTGGGAGGGTTTCTGAGGTTACAGCAAAGCACTGTGGCACTCATGGAATTTCTTTCTATGAATTTTCTGTGGATTCTTTAGGCTCTGATGGACGAGACTGGACTATTCTTGTTCTGTTCATATCCAGAGAACCAAACAGGACATCAGTGGTGTTTCCCTTGAAAACTTCACTGCAAGCAATTTCACTGTCAATATGACAGGCATTGTGTAACAGCCTATATGGCGCAAAATCACATGTACAGCGATTACCAGAACTGTTTTTGTGACTCTTCTAAGAGTCACACCTATTTGTACTCTGATCTGGCACATGTGACAGTCACGAAAAAAGTGTTGCAACAGCAAAACCGAGATGTATTTATCCGGACACAATACATGTACAAAAATACAGACGTATAAAAAATTGTTTGTCCACTCCCGATGAAATGATATGTTTTGTTGATTTTCTAGGTAGATAATAACAATGAAATTATTTAAGGCAATAATTAAGGCATCCTCTACAGGGCACTTAAATGTGGCCTTTTTCCAGCTTATTTCAGAGCGCAATTTCTTTTTATCTACTGAGTTTCACATATTAGGGAAAAAAAATAAACATAACATCTAAAATGTGCCATAACTTTTGCACAGGCCACGTTTTATGTTCCCCTAATATATTATATTCAGCAAATAAACAGTAATTAAACATTAAATGTACGTGTTTCCTGTTGTGTCAAACACAAGGCATGCGGGCCAGATCAGGCCCAAAACGCAATCCTATCCAGCCCACAAAAGTATTTTACTTTTCTATTAATATTAGCCCATTTCACAATGCACTGCACAAGTTCCCAGCATGTACTGCAACGTAATGTGCAACTGTCCTAGCCCAAAAGCAATCTATAGGACAGCGGTTTCACCTAAATTCCACACAATTCCATACCAGTCATATCAACACACTAGCTGCATTTCAACCAACATAAACACCTTATGTTAGTTCAGCAGCTCAGAAATTGAGCCCCAAGAATGAATGAACTTGCTGCAACAAAGCCAGGTGTATAGTTCAAGCAAATAAGTAGGTTTAAAAGACTGAGCTCCTGGGCACATTTAAGTTTCGAATATTTCAAGTATTCATGTAATATTTTAAGATTTACTACAAGTGCCTATATTTTGCTGTTGACACTTTGGTGTATTTTGAATAAACAGTGGCCAGTTCAGGTCACAATGAAACGTTCATTAAAAATGAATAAAAACATAAGCGTTCTCTGGCCCATGGATTTCCTGAGATTTTTTAGTGGCTGAGTTTGACACCCCTGTTGTAGACAAAAAAAAGACACCCCCCACTTACACAAAAAAAAACAAAAAAAACAAAACTGAACATACCACAGGGACCTAAACGTTTGCATTTGTCTGCATATGCAGTATTTGCCACACTGTTTAATGTTTTCTTAATGCTTTGTTACTATAGTTTGTTACTGTTATATTTTTAAAGTTTTAGTTTACTCAATTATCCACCAACATAATCAGTACATTATTTGACATAACAAACAATAGTGATTGGCCCACTACGAATGCATAAAAGACAGAGAATGCATCTATCTAGATCTTCCGAGTGCTGATATCTGTGCTTCAGAAATAACCTAACATTATTATGGGCTGTAGCCTGACGCGGAACAGGAGTGGGTGTAATGCAAAACTGTAATCGTGACCCAGAAGGGAGAGTTATGATGGAGAGCCCTTATAACTCATGATTTCATTTCTGAGACACCCTGTTCTGAAGAGCCTGTGGGTTTAACGTGGGCCGAGAGGAGTCTGGTTCGTGTGGCCTACTTTAAAGTAAAGTAAAATGAGTTCACATCCACTTAATATATAGCTGTGCAAAAACTAAGCAGACAAACATGTGCAGGATTCAATATGAAACTATACAGGTTAATTGTTTGTTCATGAACAGCTGCTTCCAGGCAATTCAAAACAGTATTCTACTGTTAGTGTGGGCTATGAGCGTTATGCTAAATCCACATGCACACCAAGTCTGTGGCACTCAAACACCTTGCAGGCCCTTCCTGCTTTGACCTGTTTAAGCAGTATCCACCGAAAGCTTTTACACTGTAAAAAATAGTTTGTCAGTTCAACCTAAAAAAATGACTTTACGCGGTAACAAGTAAATTAACTAGTTTTATCCAAACTAGATAAATACTTTGAATAAACAATTTTTTCATTCAAAGTATTTTTTTTTTTTGAGTTGAACAGAACTAGTTCAACTGCTTGTTACCAAATGAAGTAATATTTTTAGGCTGAACTGAAACCACTTTTTACAGTGCAGCTTTTCAAAACACTTTTCAATAAAAACATATTCTCTTTGTCAATTTGCAATAATGTTTGCAAAAACTGTTTACATCTTGCCATTTCTCTTTGAAAAATCACTGCACAACTGAACTACTCATCATAAGCCCTGCATTAGGAATAAAGCTAAAGACCATACATTTTATCCCCCCAAACCTTTCAGGTGTTTCAACCAATTTTGGGCCAAAACGACTTCTTAACAACAATTAAAAGAAAACTGCCAAATCATTAATTAGGCAAAACCTGCTCTTCACATCAAGATACTCTAATGAACCTGAAGCAGAATATACCCAAAGGATCAGCACAAAGTTGCACCAGCTTCTACAACCTCTACAGTTATTTTTAATTAAACAATAATCAATTTTTAAAAAGTTGTAAAATTTCAAAAGAAGGCCTCAAACTTTTGACCACCAAAAGGTTTAAGATGACAAAATTTCAACCAACTGCTGGTCAGATTATGGAGTTTGAACTCGCTGACAATACAGACATCTTATGCACTTTGGTGCTATGTTTATGTCTACTCTGTATTATCAACGATTATGGCACTAATAGTAAATGAATAAAACCTTCACCCTGGCCCAGTTATGTAGAAGTCCTTATCCCCACTCAGAGAATCAGTACTCATGATAAAGATACGTGTAGAGTTCCATGTATCGAGACTTGGCCATGCTCTGGCGCGTATAAACCTGCTGAATGCCCGCTCGCAGGTCGTCCCAAATCTGGTCCAGCCCGATCTGTTTGAGCCCATGGGGATTTTGGGTCCTGTTGGACGACATCGTCTCTTTGCTGGCCTTCTTTCTTCAGATAAATCCCTCCTTTCTGGTCTGCTCCAAAAATACTGGCGTTTCACAAACACTCCATAGTGCACAGTTCAGGAAGGTTCAGATGGGAAAATAAGGTAAAGCTGACTTCACACACTTCACACGTTCTGAGGTTGTCTTGGCAGATCAGCAGTGTCAGAGAACTTCACCAGGTAACCTTTAAAGAAAAACACACTGAGGTTAAACAACAGCCTGCAACTTTTCAAGAGAACTGTGACTAGCAAAAACCTACAGAAATTAAACAGCCTTATTACTGTTAGAGGACAGTAATGCCAAAAATGTAATCATTATTGTGATACTTGCATTGGCAATACTGATACTGGCAATATGCAAATGAGGCCTCTAACCAACAATGTAATTTTTTAAAGTATGTTTCATCCCCCCACAATTTTTTCTACATCCCATTTAGATGTATCTAATTCCACCCACTAGTTAGGACTCCCCCAGTCACATGATACTACCAGCGCTAAAAGGGCGAAAGTTAGCACAGGCTTCCTCCGTGACCCGTGAAGCAGCAACACATCTTTTTGAACTGCTGCTAACGCAACGTCACTGGACAGCTGAACACGCCTGGAGGGTAAGCCGCAACCGCCAGTTCTGTTACATCAACGTGCTGGGTGATGGGGGGGTGATGGGGGGGTGATGGGGGGGGGTGGCCATCCTTCCCACCCAGAGAGAGCAAGGCTAAGTGCACTCTCTTGGACTCCCGGCCACGGATGGCACGTGTGGGTGTTTTGATGTAGTTCAAAAACCACAATATGTAACAGTAAGTTCATTGTATGCACTTGTATTATAATTCTGGTGGAGTCTAAAGCATTGACAAAAGAAGTTGTTTCCGAATACTAAATAAGGACACGAATACCAACAAAATGTACAAATATTCGAGCACTCTGGCCAGTGCTACAATTCTCTGCTTGTTGATGTAAACATCTCATTGTAAAAGCTAATAACTGGGGAAAATAACTGTGGTGAGCTCAAATAATTGCAATCAGGCCATCATGTAAAAACTGTATCAGGCTTACTACAGTTTTTTTTTACTGATTTGGTGAATTTGTGTATTTATTTTGAACGTTAGGATCTGCATCAAATGAAGAGAATGAGTAAAGGAGAAGGAGACTGAGAGCTCACTGAGGTTCAACAACAGCCTTTTCAAAAGAATTGTGACCAGCAATAAAAATTAAAAACAATAATATAATGAATAAAAAAAAGTCTTGATTTATTTTACCCATACATTTGACTGATCACATACTGGCCATACGAAACAGTGAGTGTTTGTACTTCAGGCATGTCAGTCCTGTGTATATCAGTAAAAGAGCGTGGCCAGAGTTTTGTCTCTGCGGTACGTGACTGGCCGCATTACGGTGTTACTATTAATAACATCCACACCGCCCTGGCTTACTTGTTTACAGACAGCTGGCAGTAACTGTAATAAGGTCACAAGCTGGTGATAGTAACCTGCATGAATGAACTGAACCCTGAAGACAAAGGCTAATAAAATACAGGTGAGCACGTATTGTGCTAAAATACATCATGACACACTTTTCTGAGTATATGATGAGTATCATCAGGATTTCTGTAACCCTCAACAATCACATCCTAAAAAGACAGATTTAGACCAATTAACTACAACAAGAATTGCACAGTAACTGTATAAACTGCACTGTAACATGTAGCTATAACATTCACCTATTATGTGTGGCCCTTTAAATAGTTCAGTTTGGCAAATAAATTCACAGGCTTCAAATACTTTTTGGTATTTAATACCAAAATTAAAACAACACCCTTAAAAACAATAACATGATTAATAAATAACCACACTTTTCAATGTGTTCACTACAGCAGTTCAACATATATCCAGTATGCTTCCATTTTAATCAATGTTTCAGTCAACATTAGCTTCACTCATCATCTGTTTTCCATCTGTGAAAAGTGTAGCCGAAGGCTGTGGCAATCGGAAAAGGATCCTAAAGGTCTTTGCTGGTGAAATGTATTGTAGATTAGGCTACAGTTTTTGTGGTTTAAAAAAGTACAAAGCTTCTAAATACTTGCTAAATAGAGAAGCAGATTCCAACAAATGAATACTCAAATTCAGGCTTCCATTAGGGGTGGGCAACATGACAATGTTTTATTGTTACTATGATGTGAGCATATTGTAGACATCATCAACACTTAAAGAACACTGACCAACTTTGTGTTATATTATAAAGAGAACAATATTAGTCCTGTTTAACTGGATGTAGTATAATATGTAAAATATTGAGTTTTTGATGGCAGTTTTTAAATGCATCACTACTAGTGCACTGCATCTGTCAAAAAATTGTTACGCATATTGTTAATTGTGAAAATGTCTTTAAGTACTGTGATATATTTTTGTTGTATCGTCCACCGGACCTGCCCTAGTTTTTCAGGCTTTTTTAAATTGATTCGGTGAAAAGGTTTCAGTTCAGTTTAGTGCCACTACTGTTTCACTGGTGCATTTTATCCCTTCATAAAACCTCCTATGCAAATTCTTTCAAGAATTATTATTTTTATTTTTCTGCAACATCGTCCATAGATCCATGGAATCTTAGTCAACCGAGAATAAGAATAAGGAGAGCCCCTAACAGCCCCTAAATCAGTGCCATCAAACAGGCTCTAACAGCGTCACAGTCCTGAGGTCAGTCAGTCTTACAGTGACACAGATCGGAGGCGACGGGTCACTGTCTGCCACACAGCTTTCAGAGGACACTGACTTTTAATCCTCATACAAACACAAACAGGTCTAAGGAGAGAATCAGGTCAGTTGTGTACCTGCCAATCTAATCCATCACCTGCTGTGTGGCAGACTTTTTGGCCTAGTGCTGATTCCTCCAGATCCTGATTACTTTCAACCTGGAAATACAGGCCTGTGCTTCAGTTTAGACAAAAATGCTTAATAACAGGAATGTAAAAACAGTCGTGATTCAACTGGTTCAATTCTGGAGTGTTCATAATATAATACTAACAATTACTGGGGTGGGCCATATGGGAAAAAAACATGACATAATACTTGAAGACATTTTTATGATACACAATATGCATAAGAGCATTTTGTTGTTTCTGACATTTAGTAAGTTAAGGCAAAAGAATCATGCCACTTAGGCCGTGTTTACACTTAGTATTAGCATGCGTCCTGAGTGATCTGATAAAAAGGGCACAGCGAGAGGCGTAGCCGTTCACACCTTGCATCTCCGTGTGTCTTGAATGCTCCTCCAGTGACTAGATTTCAGGAGGAAGGGTACCACCCACATTTACCACGTCAGTCTCTTGCTGCGTTTGTTGTCAGACAAAAACGTACGTGTTCGTGTAAATGAAAGGGCTGTTACAAACATTTAGACCACATGAACTGCCAACATGACATCTAAACAAACAGCAGAGGAGGCAAAAATTAAGCTAAGTTGTCTCCGCTGGAATGTTGGTGCTGATTAAGGTGGTCCTTCGCTGCTGTCGAAGACTCAACAAGACACTTTAGCATTCACACTGTAAAGGTTAAGCGGTCATATGCGTCCTTGACCACCTCTGCAGGTGTATTGAGTGTTCGGATCATAATGTGTCTCCAAGACGCATTGTACCCTGTTCGCACTTGTACTTAGCACTGTCCACTTATGATCGGATCACCCAGAATGCACGTTAATGCCAAGTGTGAACAGGACCTCAGTGTGTTGTATGTTGCTCTGATAGAATCTGTGATTTAAGCGATACCATCAGTACCTTCAGCAGACTGCGCTGGGCAGTATTCGCAGAAGAACTATGGATACATCAACCAGCAGCAAACTAACAAAAGCAACAGCAAAGTGGAACATGCAGCCACTTTTACTCCCTGGATGTCAGTGATGAAAACTAGAAACTGGAAACTAGAAATGATTTTCATGTTCAGGTTCTGCATTCACACAATGAAAATAATGTTACTGAACTACCAAAGGTAATAAATGCTGATAAAACATTTTTGGTCCACTCATAACTATAACAAAACGCACTGCTTTTTGGTCATTGCACTCTTTGGGGTCACGTTTGAGCACCTAAGACGAACGCGAATAATCACAAATCAACTACACAAAATAATGATTAATAATAAACCATTCATTATTTTAATTGTTCAGCAGCCTTCATTTATTTATTTTTGCTGTTTTGTTTTAAACTGATTTCAGCACTGCTTTCATGAACACAATATGGCAATAATCACTCATGAAAATGATGAACAGCGCAATGAAATTCAGGCATGTGTTAAGATTCTAATCAGGCATTTGAAATCAGGCTGAGTGTAACTTTAATTTGTAGCTGGTTTTGTGATAAATCATGTTTCAACCTATGCTATCTTACATCTAAACAGATTCTGACACATATTCAGCAAAATCTTTTACATCACAGGTCACCTGAGGCCACTTTTACATTCTTTTTCCCCACCACACTTTTTCAATTAAATAATGGAAACCAGGCAGAAAGTCTCTTTTACATCTAACCTAAAAAGCCAAAAATCTCAATTTCCTTCAGGAAGAGAGCAGGAAAACATTCTGCATTTCAATAAAAAGGCATCCTACTTTCAAATAAAAAACAGACTGAAGTTTGCCTCTCCTGCTACTCTTCTGGGATGACCTTACACCAGATGTTGGAACACTGTGGTAACAATTTGATTGCATTCGTCCAAAAGATCATTAGTGAGGTCAGGTACTGATGTTGAATGATCTGATCACTTCAACTCATCCCAAAGGTATTTTAATGGAGCTCCATCACTCCAGAGAACGCAGTTTCACTGCTCCATGGCTTAATGCTTGGGGGCTTTATACCCCTCTAACTAATGCTTAGTGACCTTAGGCTCATGTGCGGTTGCTCCACCTTGGCAGGTTGGTTATATTTAAACAAACCCTGGTGCGATTGCTCTGTGTGGTTCAATAGAACAAGTGAGAACTCTGCTATTTGAACCCTGGCATACACCAGATAAGTATGGAACTTTGGTGTGGTTTCCTTTGAAATATGTGCGCAAACCGGACATTCATGTGCTCCAAACACATATTCAGCCCTCTCCTCTTTGCAGACCTTCTTTGCCATCTGCAATAGACAAAATTCTGGCACCATTTTCACTTGTGGATATGTCTGATCATCTCTTCATGAGCTCTGAATTGGTAATTATATGTTGTGTGCAAAAGTTTGGGGACCCCAGGACAAATTAAGCTTTGTTGATTTTCGAAGTGAAAATACATTAACACATCCTCTAACGAAAACAATTACCTGTTTATTTGCTGAATTTAACATACTGGGGGAAAAATAAAAAGTAGCCCATACAATAGTTATGGCATTTTTTATGTTATGTTTTATTTTTTACCAATACATTAATCTCTGCAAATAAGTAAAACCTGTGCAGTAGAATTAGCAGAAAATTTTCAGATTTAAATTAAGTTTGTTCCCTGTAAAAGATGTGTTAATTTATGTTCCATTAAAATCAACAAAACATGTAACAAAACCATATACATCAATGATATTATGTATTAACGTGAAGCCATATACTGTACTGATGAAAATGCACCACCATTCGTGGCTTACTGCTATGGAATGCAAAACAAGACATACATAACACATATGATACATGAAATCCATAACCTTAGTTATGCCAGACAACATAAGGTTTAGAGTGTTCACTGGGTTTAATCCTAGTTATTTTGGCCAAATAACTAATAACTGCCCAATCGTTTTGTAAAATCAAACATACCAGCATGAACGCTAAGCAAACTAGAACTAAAAGTGCAGCAACACATCACCTTCGGCTTTGGTCCAGACCAAGAAAGCTGAACTACAAATGTAAACATACCCTTAAAGTGGCTGAGTTCACTAATAAGAAGGGCCGTCTGGGCTGTTTGGACATGCAGTGCTGGTTAGTCTAGGCTTAATCCAGGTCTGGGAAATTGGCCCATAGTGAACATTTAGGTTAGTCTCAGCTGCATCTGGTCAGAATGACATTCAACAGCAAACCAGAGACTTATGACCACTGATTCTAACCTAGTCATAGACTAAAATTGTGGTTTTCAACTAAAAATCTACACTGACTTCACACTAGTCCAGAATTATGATTTATCTCTCTGAGTAATCAATTCCATGATGTCAGAACTGAACTAAAATATTCAGTAACCTCCATTCAGGTAACTGGAAATACCCACATTCAGGTTCCTCTTTATAGGCTGCACAATTTTCCTCAGAGCACATTAACTAAATGGCTGAAGCAGTAATAAAGTTCTTAAAAGTGTTCTCTGTCCAGATCAGCCACAACACTGAAATTATCCATCCTCTAGTATTCAGCACTTAAAGCCAAAAAGGGATCAATTTCAGCTACAGCATGAAAACTCAGATAACTAACCTACGTGTGTTAGGATTTGAAGTGTGGCACCGTAGCAACATCCAGGACAAACTTTTAACACAAGCTGATTCCTCGTTTATCTACTCTTTTTATATCATATTATGGTTTTGGTGAAACTGTCCAGTCAAACGTACACTTTAACGTTAGCTCTGCTTGTTCAGCTAATTCATACATAACGTTAGCCTGGCTGACATTAGCCAGCTCAGACTTTCTAACTATATTAACTAAAGTTTACAACTATGTTGTTATCTAAAACCGTAGGTTAGATAGTAAATACTTACATAAAACAGTCAGTTCAGGATAAGGTTTAAACCTCAACGGCGACACACTGGTTAGCACAGTTAGCTAGCTAGATGAGGCTAACGACGTTATTATGGGGTAGATATACTAAGCTAAGCTAGCTGAATGGATAACGTCGTCGAGAGGAAAATATATAACAAATCTAGCAGAGTTATAAAGTATATGATCCCAGGTATCACAAACAAGGCTAAAGACGTACAGTCGTGTAGTCTCTAGATGTAGAAACGGATTAGACAGCATACAATAAAAATGAAGGTAGGTTAGATAAGCTAAGCTAACAGGTAAGTGATGATGTAGCTAAAATGGCTTCCTATTCAATGCGTCAGAGCTATTAGCTAAGCTAGCTACTCAAAACAGCTCTATATTTCCAAAATATCTGTACCCGGCCAGTTGGACAACATTATTCACATTATGGTGGTTTGGCTGACAAGTCAACAAGAAAGGTTTAAAATGTAAAAACTTACCATTTTCCACCCAGCTCAGGTGCCCAGCTTAGCTGAGGATCTTTACTCCTCTACCGCCCTGAAGCTTTACTGAACTCACTCATCCACACATACTAACACTACACCCCTAGTGTCCATGTCCTGAAACTGAAATATTAATATAGGTAATTACACGCTAATGTGTCTGTTCCAGTCGGCGGGCAACGTAAAACGCTTAAAACCTTTTCAAGATCCACGGTCATATATCACTGTGGAAATAAAAGACCCAGCCTAATGACATAATGTGTTATTACATCAGCGCCTACAGACACTGGTTTTTGCAGAATGCCATTGTTTATTTTTAAAGGGTCCATATCACGGAAAACGCAATTTCCTTGGTATTTTGTTTTAAATGGAAAAGTCTGACGTAGTAAACACTGTTACAGTTTCAAACCATACAGCTCACTCCGAAAACGTTTTGAATTCATGTCACAAAAACCTGCGCATTTATAAATATCCACTCATTTAGACCACAGCAGTTTATCCCAGGTTTGTCGCTAGGCCAGAATGTTATTTAGCCCCCTTCCTCCTCCACCTTCCCAAATAAATGTACATGACTTGTTCAAATAATCTATAGTTTATTCTCATTCAGTATTCATTACTCAGCTGTGCATCTCCAAATGTACAATACATAGCAGGGCGCGACCTGGTGGAGGCGCTGCTGTGGCTCTAATGCAGCGCTGCCTCTGCTGTGCTACCGGAGATTAACATGAAAAGTAACGTGAAAAGTGGAACATGGCCAATCATATCAGACCTCGTAAATTGTAAGCCAATCATATCAGACCTCGTAAGTTGTAAGCCAATCATATCAGACCTCGTAAGTTGTAAGCCAATCATATCAGACCTGGGGGAGGGTCTCTGATTTTACTCACTGCAAACTGAGGCAGGTCGGCAAAGGTTGAACGTGAAGTCAGGATTTCGGCTGAAAGCTCACGAGCTACAATAAACATTGAACATATTCAGTATCTATGATATACAGAATGAAACGGTAACTATATACAGAGTAAATATACCCGCCTACAATATGGATTTGTGGCAAATTATGGTTAGTATAGCTGGCTTTCAGGACTTCACTGGGTTGCTTGTTAGTTAGCTAGGTTAACCTAGCTAACTTTGGGTTTTTACATGAGGCAAAGAAAAGGGGTTGGTCTAACGCTGCCGTTAGCTAGCTAGCTAACCTAGCTGACAAACCAGCTAGTTTAAGAATTTGAAGAAACTTCTCTTTATAGTGAGAGTGTGAAAGAGTGACAGAGATATTCTTAGTTTACATATTTCACTTTAGTATTTGGAAACAGTAACACTAGTACTTGTCATATATTGTTTACAGTAAGTAGTAAAAAGGTGTATATATACATAGGTATACACAGAGGTGTAAGTAACAAATTACATTTACTCTCGTTACTGTAATTGAGTAGCTACAGTTTTCCGGTACTTTTTTGAGTAGAATTAAATCATAGTACTTTTACTTGAGTTTATTTTTGATGAAATACTTTTACATCGCTACTTTAATTTTAATAACATTACAGAGCAAGCAAGCAAAGTTTATTTATATAGTGCTTTTTACAACAGATGTTGTCACAAAGCAGCTTTACAGAAAAATCCCGGTCCAAGCCCCCATGAGCAAGCCAGGGGCGACAGTGGCAAGGAAAAACTCCCTAAGTGCAAGAGGAAGAAACCTTGAGAGGAAATAAATAAATTATGACCGAATCAGCTCAGAAACCAATACGACCGACGCACAGTCAAATGTAAAAGATTCACCAATCAAAAAACAGCAGCTCCAGCAGGAAAAACACTACAGAGATGTCCAGTTTAGTGGAGAAAGACAGAGGAGGACTTAACCAGCACACACGAAGAACAGACCACGTCCTAACGGACATCTGTATTCATTTTCACATGAACTAAAGAAAACAGCGCTATTATCAGGGACCAAACACGAAACCTGCTGAGATCTATGGGATCTCACACAGCCTCAGAGAGAAGGTATCAGACCAAACACAAGCCTGGTCGAGCATATACTGGTTCGTATAACTTGAAATAAATAGAAAACTATTGTGTATCTCGATATAAATGCCAGTATAACATTTTCACAGTTTATTCTGAGGCCGTTTGGCTGATGTTCAGTTTCACCTGATCTGAGACATGACGGTGTTTTTTCTCGAGACTCGAAGTCGTTTAGCTTGAGGAATGATGCCGTTCTGACTCGGAGGTCTGAGGATGTCCTAAAATGTACCCCGTAGCCGTGCCTAGTGCTAATTAACATATATTTGCATGTTGGTCAGTTTGAAAACGAAAAAGCAAAGTGGGAATTGAAAAGTAAATCTCCAGCAGGTGGCGCCGATGTTCGTTTACATTTGCCTTTTCATTCTGATACTTAAAGCATGTCCACGCCGAAAACTGAATCACAAACTGTCACTTTGCTGTTGATTTATCACTTTTGCATTTCCATTTTGTCAGATATGCAGCCTATTGCTATGAAAAAGAAATAAGAACGTAAACATTGTGTTTTGATTTTAGTTTTGACACATTCTGCATTTCATGATGAAAAGCCAAAGCAAAGTGAAGCTTGGAATTTCTTTTTTCTATTAGCTTTTTCATTTTAGATTTGGCCATGAAATACCAAAATAGTGATTAAAATTAAATGACAAATAGCAGTTTTAAATTTATTTGTTATTTTTGTCACAAATGACTTGCGTTTATGTGAAAAACGAAATTGCAAATGTAGGTATTTCATTTTATTTTCAATTTTGGCAGGATATTTGCGCAGATGTTTGGAAAAAGAAATGGCAAAAAGAGGTTTGCATTTACATTTTATTGTTTTAATTTTAAATTTCTTTTTTGGCTGGATTTGCCTCCCATAGAGATCCGCTCTCACAGCTCAACTCCAGCCTGAGGGAGCATTAGCCGAGCTAGCTGACCCGGGCTAAACAGGTACCTTGTTCACGGTTTTCTCATGTCTTTTATAATGTTTCTGTTTATTAAACTTAAAATCTGCTGCGTATATTTTATTACAGGTGTCTGTCAGCTATTTTAGTTAACAGGTGTCGCCCACAGCCCGCAGTTTACTGTTTAAAATACAGCCTAGTTTAGCTGCTGTTTTGGAGATAAACGGTTGTGAACGGCTGAGATAGAAATCAAGTTTAATACAGGTTCTTCATCAACTCTGTACAGTGATTCTGTCGCGCTGTCGACTGGCCTGATATGATCCCTCCCCACCTACCACCCTCTCTCTGTCTCTCTCTCTTCCTCTCTCTCTCTCTCTCTCTCTCTCTCTCATCCTCTCTCTCTTTCTCTCTCTCTTCCTTCCTCTTCCTCCCTCTCTCTCTTTCTCTGTCTCTCTCTCTTTCTCTGTCTCTCTCTCTCTCTCTCTCTGCCTTGGTGTTTGTCTTTAACTGTGAGAGGCTGTGTAGCTGTTTAACTGTCTAATGCAGTAATAATGTCTGATTCTGTAGCTGGGTAAGTTGGTAGAACAGATATCAGTGAAAATAGACAGTTTGAAGGCTGTGAATATGTTTACTGCCTGTAGAGGTTCACACCTATTAACGTAAGCTAGAGTCCAGGGAGCTGATGGGCAACAGGACTCTCACTAAAATTATATTATTAATTAAACAATCTACTCATAATTTTGTTATGAGTTTTTTCTCTTAAATGAACATGATTAAACCGTAATATCCTCTGCACAGTCTTTCAGGGATTCTGAAATATGTTATTGGAAACAGAGAAACTAGGACGTCTTATATAATCATCTAACCATGAAATGCATGCAGTTTAATGTAAACCTTGTTCCTTACACAGCTCACAGAAAGGTGTGTAAATATTCAGTAGCAGAGCGAACTGTGATCAGTCTCAGCTCTCAGAACTGCTTTAGTGTTTTTCTGTACAGATTATTTCCAGTGATGTAGCCAAGTCAGCTCAGAAATATGTTCAGGTTGTGACAGTGGAAATACGAAAAAGTAACGAAAGCAACTCCGTACTTAAGTAGATTTTTAATGAACTACTTGTTTACTCTTACTTGAGTAATTTTATTTACTAATACTTTTACTTGTACTTGAGTAAATTATCACTACAGTAACAGTACTTACACCCCTGGGTATACATACACAGGGTGTTACTCATAAAGCAATTTTATATCCCTCAATTCCTCAACCTGTAGATGGAAATTAAGATGCGATAGCTCCATCGAAGGCCATTCAGATGAGACGATTTTTACCAGTTAAAACAAAACATTTGATTGATTAATCTCTGATTATTTGTTTGAGGTCTTGTAAATCTGCATTTAATAAAAATAATGTATAACTAAACACAGGAAGAGAGAGAGAGAAAGAGAGAGAGAAAGAAAGAAGCTGCAGGAGACTGACAGGATTGAAGGAGCAGATCTGATGAAGGTGAGTGATCAAGAAGGCGAGGGAGAGTTGTTAAGCTTTTAGTTAAATTTAATACTGAATTTAATTGAGCTTATCTGAGAAAATATAATCAGTATTAAATTCCGTCACCTAGCGTATTAAACATGCCTACAGTGCAAAATCACACTCTTTCTAATTGCACTTAGTGAGACTAAACTGATCTATAATCTGTGTATTTGAATAATATATTTAGGACTTTGTGACTTATCTAAGAGAGGAGATAGCATTGCTTGACTTCAGTACCTTTGCTTAATCTGTGCCTGTTGTAAGTGGATGAATGTAGTATTTAAGTCATACCAGCTCTGTGCTTGATATACTACTGAGACGGATATACTGTGTGCCATTTTGACCAAACGGCCATTCTGGATAAACTTTTTGGTTGTTGCTACTCTAAAGGTTCATGATGAGCAGACAGTTGATATTTTGGGGCCATTAAAAAATTCTCTAGGGGGACCATGCTCCCAAATCTCCCTAGTGCAGCCTTAGCCCCGCTATCAGTTAAGCTCTAGTGATGCCCCTGGTTTGGATCCACCTACTCATGCTCAACATTTTAGTCTGGATGGCTTTCGAAGGAGCAGCAGGGCAGCCAATCAAAACAGAGCTCATTTACATATATCGGTCTTAAAGGCACAATGACAGAAACAGCCTGTTTATTTCTTAGGGATAAAAAGAGGTTGAAAAATAGTCACGTAGA